CCTTGACCGTTGAGGGTCTCGACTACCTTCGCGAATGGCTCCATCTCCCCGCTGAGATCGTGCCTGCCACCCACGTCAAGCAGGCCCGCAGCCACGCTCCCCCCCGCGGAATGCTCTCTGGAGACGGTGGTGAGAGGAGGCAAGGTGGCCGTGGTGGTCCCCCCGGCGAGAGGGGTGACAGGGAGGGTGGATACAGGAGGAGGTTCGACAACAAGGAGGGCGCTCCTTCAGGGGGCTTCAACCCTGAGTTGTATGTTTATCTTCTTCTACGGTTTTTGGGAGATGGGGAATCGATTGCTAACGTTCGTTTGTTATAGCCGCGGTGGTTTCGGTCGTGGTCGTGGCGCTCCTCCTGCTGCGGAATAGAGGAGCATTCCGTAATTCTCCCTGTACCCTCCAAAAACCATCTTCCTCTTCCTACCTTGACTCCGTTTTTTTGTATCTTTCTCGGTTGAGAAATACATGCTTTTTTTCACTACTACTTTTTTCTCTTCTTTTCATATCGGAAAAAAAAGAGCGGTCTTGGGTTTGGCTTGGGGGAAAATGGAATGAAAAAATTAACAAAGTTGTCATGAAAAAACTAGATACAAAGACTTACTTTTTTTTTCTTGGTGCAGTGTTTTAAATAGCTTCTGTAGTATCTCGCGCGACTTTCCGGGGCGTTTAGGGAATGTACTAAGTCTGGTAATACCTCACATGGTGCGTTGCACGAGGAAAAGTGCTGTTTCGAAGTTTCACGACCTATGACGTTTTGGCGCTATCTTCACCTACTGCAACCTCCCCTTGAGCGCTCCGCAATTTGTAACAAAATTAGATAATGACAAGAGTAATAAGGCTCCAATGAAATGCTCAAATAATTCTTATGTTCACAAAACACCTATTTGTAGCAATTGCTCAAATCGTTAACTAGAGATCACAGCGATAAATAGTTAGTCTAAGCAAAAAATGAAGAGTTATGTATAAATGCCTTTCAACTAATTTTGCTCAAGTTATTGTGAGTTTGTAGAAATTGGAATTTGGTTCATACTTGCAATTTTGGACCTACGACTAAAAAAAGACAGGATATTTACAGGAAGGTGGTTTGGCAAAATGCCAAACTAAGCCAAAGGTGAAGGAAATGACCGCGAGGAAAGCATGGAAAGACCCTAAAGATAAGAATCGAAGAGAAGAAAAACAGCACCTACTTTCGGAAGAAAAAGAAGGGATTGTCAATGATTGATATAAGCTTCGATAGAAATCTGTCCTTCATGAGACAAATTCCCGAGCTTCCTTCTTTCAATCGCATTCGGGCTTCCTCCTGTTTCGTTTAGTTTCGTCCAATCCTGAATCCCATGTTGCAGAACTCCGCCTGCACAGTACTCCCTATCGAACCAGCGAGAAAAGGAAAGAAAGAAAAAGACGAAAGATAAAGAGAGAAGGGAAAAAAGGGAAAAGTTAATTTAAAGGTTTCCACCCATTCCTTCGCCTTTCTCCATATTAATTGGATGGAATGGGTACAGCATTCGTTTCAGTCGAGCTTCCCTCTGGTGCTGTTTGCTCCGCAGCCGCCTTGCCCTCCTCTTCTGCGCTGTTTGCGCTGCTGAGCTCCTCGCCTTCGATCGGCTGCTGGGAGCCCATGGGGGACTTCGCGTGAAGAAGGCTACTCTCCTTAACCGGCGAGCTTGAGCTACCGCTACCAGTCGGAGTACCAGGACTGGTGATCTGGTGGTGGGGGATATTTTCAGGGAGGGGATGCTGAGAGCCGATGTTGGTTACGCCGACATCGGAGGCCTTCCCGGCTTTGGAGAGAGCATAATCGCCTGAATCGAAGTACTTGCGTTCCTAAATCATCAAAAGGGAAGGTAAATTTCCCAAAGGTTAGCTTGATCTGATGGTTGAAATTTTGACGATTCCCTGTCCTCTGATTCGCTGATAGAGAGGGGTAGGATAGGCATTGAGAGCAGGGGGTTATGGATGGTGGTGATGGTGGGGATGATGATGATGGGGGGTTGTTACCTTAAGCTTGTTCTTCAAGATATCTTTCTTTGAAGGCAATTTTCCATAGAGACGAAACAATCTTTGTTCTTCCTCTGTGAGAGACTATATTGACTCGACACAATCTCATCCTCGAGATTTGGTCCTTATCGTCAGCTCAAGTTCCGGTGGCCCATTCATTGTTCTCGAAGCGGGGGAAGAAGGTCAATGCGTAATGGAGTGGGGTAATGAAGAACACTCACGCTGATATCAACTTTGTTCTTCTGTGCTGGAAGCATATTTGGATTGTTATTTCTCCCTTCTGACGGAGGTATTTGTTGATGGGGGGCGGGAAACCGAAATTTCTTTTGGTCTCGTGTGGAAAGGTTGCAAGCTGTAGTAGGATGTCGCGGAAGAGAGATAAGTGTGGGATGACGATGTATGGTTGTACGCAGGAGATAGTCTGAAAAGGACAATGGAAACAGAATAGGATGGGCAGCTCGAGTTATGTATTCACTAGATATGGAAGCAGAAGCCAACAAGACGTTTAGAGAGAGAACCTGTTTGGGGTTGGGGTAGGTAGAATGGTTGGGTTTCGTTATTTATTTTCCCTGCAATCTGCTGTACTACAAGAAAAATGGGTACTTTGTAGAGAGTAGGTATATATTATTTATGCAGAGGGGTCAGTCAATCGAGGCACTCATTTCATCCGTAGTCATCATTGGGGTTCAACTAGAGTGGGCTTATTCGAAGCAACCTCTCCGCGGTATCGCCCGCAGCTTAAGAGTAGGCAAAGCATTTCTATGAAAGTTTATCTACACCTGTAAGCTTTTGTCCTTTCAAATTCTTATGGCTCCTCAGTCCAGAAGTGCATGTGCTCTAATCTGCAAGTAGTTTGCTCCCACTCCCATGAAATGATTCTGATGCGAACCGTGGGGCTGGCCCAAAAAATCATTCACCCTCACGGGGTAACCGGTGCTCGTTCCTTCTGGCACCTTGCCGAATGCCTAAGAGTCTACAGGTTATGACTGAACTAGCGCTCCAGTGATCAGATACTATATCCCACACACGATCAGCCGTACCAGGCCAAAGCCTGTTCACCTCACGGAAGGGAAGCTGCACCCGTAGATCCCATACAGAGCACACGCCGTAGCTCGACGGTATTGATGTGGAGAGCCGCATTCGAGCTTTTTCGCTCTCTTGGTCACCTGTTTGCGATGATGCGGGATCGACAAAAATAACACGCCTATCGCACCCAGGGAACGGGGAAATAACTAAAAGGCGGGGTTGATAGGCCATTATTACACGCAGATAAATAAAAACCCATTGCGGTCATACAAAGCTGGTCCAATTATCGCCTCGATGGATCACACTAGAAAACAAAGGAAGGAAGCTTAAGCATTCCTTATCATAGGGTAACCCTACGGGAAGCGCCTGTAGAAATATTGTACCTGCTTTCAAAACAAAGTATCCGCCGTGCCGGACAAAAGTTCGTCATCTCAATGTGTCAGTTAGCCAATATGAGCCCCCGAAGTTACATGTGGTTGGTCCCATGATGTGATGTGATGGCCGTATATGGGTTATGATTGGACAGCGCTTGAGTTATTTGATGAGAAAAATCCTCGAGGACAACAGAAGAACTTTCAAGGCCCTAACTAATACATATTCTGCTGGCCTTGAAGGATGTTGCACTTATCCTATGACACACGTAGCCATATCAAAATGGGCTGCATCGGCTCCTCACAAACCTTGCCAAGTTCTCGGCCACAAAAACGATGTTAAATGTGCCAAGATCCTGGAGTCCAGTATGGAATCCCCCCGAGTGATTCCGATTGTAATACATACACGGAGTTCTCGAATACTAGCTATCCAAATAATGGGTTTCCGGCAACACGGTATGGTAAACTGATTACTCTGTTTCTCATCATCTTAATGCAAGATTTAGAAGCTAAGCGAGCGAGTGAGACAGATCTCCTCATCCGACGATATTCATCATTCATGCAAGATCTCTTTCAGATACTCACCGAACAAGCACACCGGGGTGGGGAGTATTCTAGATGCTACTATCCTGCGGTGCTGCGCGAATCGAAGCTTCCTGTAAGGTACAGGTAGTAACTGGCCTCCAATCACTCTCGCCCAACCTGCGTTACATGCGATTTAGAGTCGTGCCCAGTAGATATATGTCCTGACTGTTCATGTAAGAACATCATGATGTGTGACAAGCCCCACACATATGCTATGAACAAATCTCACATGGCGGACCTTGGACAGCTAGGCTCTGTTTCTACAATGATTAGAAATTCTCGGTGTACCTATAGTCCAAACGATTTTGGAACGGTGAGGATGTTTTCTTCAAACAGACAAACTTCATTTAGTTCTCCGTATTTCGCCATTACATTAGCGCATAGTAGTAAGGTATATCTAAACTCAACTGAATAGTATTGCTTACATGTGTCTATGTGATTTTAAGGCATAAGCCAGGAGATAATTCCACTCGAGTGATCTACTGTGATCCAAATCCGACACCAGTTCCGGAATAGAGAGACTTGGGTAGATCTATCGATAGCAGGCGCTAAAAAGGAAGAATCTTTTTTGAAGGTATGTGAAACTTTAAGACTTTGATCAATAACCTCATGGGGATAAAGTGAATACTTACACTAAAATTGAAACAAATCCGTACGCAGTGCACATGAATGCAAATACACCTGGAGCTTAGCTTCTTATAGGCTTTATAAGATTTTTCCTATTGAGAAGCAAAGACTGCTATGTTTTCTTGGTGTTTAAATCTGGTTACATAGCTGTTTCTGGTTAGAAGCCACTTTCTAGAGTAAATTATTAGCAAAAACTTCCGAAAGAGCTCTTGAAGCCGTCTGGAGAAATAAATCTTATTAAACCAACCATCACCTTATAAAGTCCACCTATTCAAATTATGACGTTTTACCTATTAAGGGTTAGGGTTTCCAATTCAAGATCCAAGTTCCACTCACCATCACTCCACATCTGACCACAACTGCAACCATAACTTCGACCATAACCACAACTTCAATATGAAACCCACAAATATCGCCCGCGTGTCATTTACCAAATCCGCATTATCTCGCTTCACCACTCTCCTGAACACACCCTTAGCTGGCCCCGCCGCAGAATCAGGAAAATTCCTCTCACTAATCAAGGAATCGTTCCGGTCTTCCCTTGAGGCCTCTACGCCGCCGGTCGCACCAACTGACAGTCACTTGAGCCGTATTCTCTCTACAGAGCCCTTTCTCTCATCCGGAATTTCCCCTGCCGCCGCCCCGCCGCCCCCGCCGCCTCTAAAGCAAACATCAAGAAGTTCCTCCAGAACCCTCTTGAGCTGTTCGAGGAACAATGTTTACTTGGAAAGGCAAACGCCGAACTTGCTGCGCTCTGCCTCAATAGATATGTCCGTGACGGACTGATGCCCGAGCCTCCCGCAAGCATATCCGTGCCTAAGGAGCTCAAGTGGAGCGCTGCCGACATTGTGCTAGACGGACTAAAGAGGTCTGGAGTCGGTGAGCCGGCCGATGTACTATCTAATCCAAAGCTTGCGCGGGCTGTTGCGGAGAGTTGGGCGATTGAGAATAAGGTCGAGAAGATTGTTCGGTGGTCCAACCTGGCAGGAAAGGAGACCTTAGTGGCGCGACAGAACATTTTGTTCTTTGGGCTTAGGAAGATCCTCAGTTTAAGAGGATGGGAGAGTGCCGTGGCGATGTTTATGGAGGTTTTGGACGGGCATCAGCAGGACTGGAGGTTCGCAAGGAGGGAGTACTCCGGGGTGGGGGCTATGTTGTGCGAAGAAGGCATGAAGGGCTTTGCGAAGCACCCATCGTTCACAAAACTGATTTCTAAATCATCAGTGTGGGCACTTAACTTGCAAATGAAGGCATGGATTCATTTAAGGTTCACACGTCGGGTAGACGTGGGGGTGCTTTATTTCAAGAAGTTAGCAGATCATTTGAGTGCTGGGGAGCAGCCAGCATTGAAGAGCTGGTATCGTCAGGATGTCAAATTCCCTGTAAATCTAACGAGGGAGTGTTTAGTACAGGGAAGGATAGAGGATGCAGAGATGATTAAGAATGTAGTGGAGAAGATCTTCCTCCACAGGGTGACCGAGGGGCATCTTAATGAGATGAGAAGGATGATCGAGCAGGCCAAAGCTGGAGGGGGGATAGCAGGAACGGGCGAGGAAGCGTCAAAAGAGAGTGAGGATATGACCGATCTGCAAGGCATGATAAATGCACTTGGTTGATCGAATCGAACCTGGGTATCGAGCCTGTAAATTTCTTTCTTATGATTTCGATGTTTTGTGGGTGGGGTTGTGATTGCATTGACCTGCGCACAGTAGGGTACTGTGCCTGAGTGGGATCCGGATTATTATGGCCTGGGGCGTTTTATTTACGGCATACCTATCATTTTCCTTATTTTACTATCATCATTATGGATTGTTTCTGCAGTTTTTATCTTTATTTCCCCCTTCCTCTTTTAATTTCTGCTTGCTCAATATTGTCGGATAGCTTTGTATCTTTAAATATTACTTCAATTATTCACCGTGTAAGAATAAGCAACTCTGTGCAGGCGCTGAGTGCATGAGGTAAGAGATGCGGCGGCCACATCTACCGAAGATATAACCCTCATCTCAGTTGTCCGCGTTTCGTTTGATCCTTGGTTTGACTCTTTATACCGCGCGTTACCATAACTGTAGCCGTAATAATCGTAAGCAGAACATCGATGCATGCATCTCCTTACTTTTACATACCCGATCCCGGACGTTGGTACCTCCGTGCACTGAGTCCCCGGGTTATGTACGGTCTGGACATGGGACTGGCATTGAAGACTCACCGCGGATGTTCAATGGTTTCTTCAGCTACTGTAAGTTACAGTGTTTCCATAGATCTATCTAAGTACAGATAGTTAACGATTAGAGAACACATACTCAGTGGCTGATTGTTTCTATTATTTCCCTTTATTTGTTTATTCTGTCTCTCAGCCATGCTCCATCATCATCCCCATGGTTCAGCCCAGACGACTATCACTCTTACTTGGCCTCAACAGGACAGAGTTATGGTAGACTCGTAGTGTAGGCACGCAGCAGTGCAACAACGAGGCTGCACATGCATGCATGGAAGACGTGTCAGCCATCCTCGAACGAGTTGATTTTCAACGCCAGTGGGGAGCTTGTACACCTCACAGCCCGAAGCACCCACTCTATGGACCATGCACTCTTTTCAATACATGAGACCCTGGAGTACTACTACATGGAGTACTCTGCGGAGAGAAAAAATGGAAGAGAGGAAAAAAAGGTATTTGTATTCCTCTCATCGTTACATAAAAGCGATGGGATCATGGGAAATGCTGATTATCTGGTACTGCTGGCTAATCCGATGCCACTGCACACGTATCTAGCATCAAGCTATGCCTATTCATCATCTGTATCCTCGTAGAAGTGGTAGTCCACTCCACATCTCTGCCCCTCTGCCGCTGCTGAATAGGCATAGAGATGCGGTATATGGTGGGTAAAAGTTGCAGAGTACATGAGGTAGGTACACTGTTGAGCGGAGTAGGCAGGCAGTGTGAAGATCTGTACAAATGGCCCTCCCTGTTGCAAGAAACTGGGTGAGAAGAGAAGGACAGCCTACAATACGTCCAGAAAAGTGTCTCAATTTTCATCTAGACCCGTTAAAAAGCGATCTGTTCGGAAGTTATTCTTTCATTCTCATCCCCCATTCTCCTTCTTTTTTGCAAGTCCTCTTCCCCTCCCAGCGTCCAGTGTTGCACACATCGTACGTTGATACCGTAGTTTACGCATCCGCGAGATAATCTACATACAATAAGAGAAGAGATAGTCACCGGCAATCCTTTTTAGTGGTACACAGGATTACAAGAAAGGAAAGGAAGGGAAATAACAAAATATCGCTGCCCTGCCCTACCCTGCCTGCCAACCATCTTTCTTCGATCATCTCCATCCATCCATCCATCCATCCACACACTCAGCGACTGACCTCATACCTCATCCCTGGCAAACACACACCCTGATCCATATTAAAGTACCTAAATGCCCCTCCCCCTCATTTTCTCAACATATCTACAACCCATACACACCCTTTTCAGCCTGGCCCAACCGCCCTACGAAACTCGTAACTGAATCCATACACACCCCACAAAAGTCTCATTCGACTTAATCACAGCCAAGCTGCTACAAGTGGTAGTAACAGTAACCATCTACCAACAGAAGCACAACGCGCTATTACCATCTTAGTAACTACACTGCCTACTAAAGCTTGCCTCATCTTAAAGGCACTTTTAGTTTCGCTTCAGCTCCACTTCTCACTCAACCCTCCCCACTCCCCGGTGTGGGTTCAATAAACATAGAATCTATATATTCTCGATAAATCCGCAAAGCTGGAGCTCGTACCTGCAAACCAACCTGCTCGCTATCGCGATCGTCAACCTAGGCGAAATATGACTCCGCCGCCGCAGCCCAAACCGCCCAGTCCTAAGGAATTCTGGGGGTATCTGATCAGTCGGGAACAGCCGACGCAGCCGACGCCGCTGTTTCGGAATTTATTGATCGCTATCGCAAATTACATTGTACGTCGCTTGAGGATTTTATATCTTATAAAGATAAAGATAGGAAGCTAATAGGGATTATAGACAGAAAAGTTAGAACCTTTAGAAGTACGGTGCTTAACGCCGGAAAAGATCTCAAGCTTTTATCATAATGTTGGAGGTGACCTTGATGGTAAGTTTCTCTCAAGTCCCTATAAGCGCATCGAGAGAGTGGGAAATTGGAAGAGTGGATATAGTCTGAATAGAATACTGATTTGTTAAATAATTAGATTTGTTCCTCTCAACACCGCCGGACGCATTATCGTCAATCTACACCACCCTAGGTTGCTCACATACACTCCAACCAAGTCCTAGGGATGACTTTGTCCCACCATCCATCCCCGCACTAACATCACGCGGCTTCGTTACATGGCAGACTATTCAACTACTGCTCGATCCTGTGGAACACGTGCCTTACCTGCAAGAAGCAGTTCGCGTTTTCCCACTTCAAAATCCAGAGTCAGGAGAGTTCTTCCCACGGGAAATACCTTCTGAGGCGTTTCCATCAGCGCCAGACCAAGAAACAGTCAGATGGCACGATGAAATGTTTGAAAAGAAGAAGGAGAGGGATGCATTGAAAGAGGCCACAGCTGCTGCAGCCGCTGCAACCGCCCCGGCGAGTAAGCATGGAAAGGTACAGGTTCCGGTGGGTGGGGAACATGTGGAGCAACCCCCCGCACAAGAATACCACCGGCATCATCACCACTATGCGCCACAACCGCAACAATACCAGGAACATTATGTAAGTTCCCGGAGTCGAAAATCCAGGCGAGCGCCGGCACCAGCGCCAGAACCTCCGATAGAAACGGAGCGCTATTCGAGAAGCGCACCAGGCGTGTCAGATGCCAATAATCCGTTTACGCATCATTCTAGACACCATGGTAACCATGTATCTTCAGAAACAGTATTCGCTTCTGATGGCGAAGGTGGACATCCGCATAGTAGACATCAGTCGAGACATCACTCTCGTAGAGGAACAAGGGAACGAGAGTTTGTGAAGCCTTATCACTACGAAAATGGCGTCGTGACGCCTATTGCCCCAATTTTCACTACCGAGCCGGTCTATGTAGAAGGGATTCGCATACTCAACGACCAAATTCCTTCCTCTCCTCCATTAGGTGGTGCCCAGCATTATCACTACCATGCCCCCACAGTCACTGCCGAGCGCCCGGGTTCATGTTCATCCAGTAACAGCGACCTCCATGGCACTTACCACAACCATTACCATAGCCACCACCAATCTCCAGAGCACCTCTCCCACGGCCGCCACCGCGATCGTTCCCGCCCATCACGGTCCTCATCCCCAATTCACGGTGAACCAATTCTTCGGAAAAGTGTTAGTGCGTACTATCCTGGTCCGGAACCACCTATTCATGCGCACTCTCACTCGCGCTCCCGCTCTGGCAGCTCCGGAAGACGCATTCGCCGTGAGGTTGTGTCGGATATGGACAGCGATGTATCCGACGTGTACATCAACGGCGGTGGCTCAGGGTGGACTCTTCACAATGAGCGGGTAAGACTTGACGAGGAAGAACGACTAAGGAGCAAGGAACAGGAAAAGTTGGAAAAAACATCGTAGAAGACAAGCAAGAGAACTGGCTGAAAGAGAAAGAGGCGCGAGTTGGGGGGGAGCTTACGAAACTACTGCTGCGCCGATCAGCGGAGGTGGAGCTGGAGCTAGAAGCGGGAGGGGCAGCGGAGGAAGGCGATACTACAGAGTTGAGGTGGAAGAGGCTAGCAGGGGGGGCAGATATGCTTAGTAGCTTTGGGTTTGGTTGGTTGACTGGGCTGGATTCAGACGGCGTTGAGGATTTCATCTTTCTATGTGAATAATTTCTTCTATGTCGTTTTTTTGTATGGGGATTAATTTATTATGTCGTTTATGAGGATCTCTGCATTTTGGGGCGTTGATAATTTGATATCCAGGATTTGAATTCTTTGCATGTGGTGATTTTGGGGTTATTATTGACTTTAAGAGATAGGATCATTTCTAAACTCATCTCGTTTACAATCACCAGTAACTGGAATTTGTAGCTTGTAAAGTAATTACACTTCTACTTTATGATGTAGCTAGATGTATGTTGTTTAACTAGGTTTCGTCTTGAGAGGTCATTAGTTTAAGAAGTTGTTTACCAGCTAAGGAGACATTAGCTACTTGGAGCCGATCATTTTAGGGCTAGTAGTAAAATTTGCACACTGAAGGATTGAAGTACCTACCCTTAAAATATTTAAGGCTTGATACTCTGGAGGTCTCACGTTACTTCATTGATTATCACTCGATTTGGACATCTATAGAGCAATACTCCAGAGTGTTTTTAATTGACACTTGACGACTCAGCAAAAACCCCTACTCCGGTGCGTTCTATCACCCAGCTTGTCACTGGTGAATAGTCGCTGGATGCTTATATGCAGGTCCGCTATATAAAGAACATTTCTTCTCCCGCTTTAATTTCCATCGTGGTCCTCTTCGCACCCGATCTCTAATTAAACGTATTGAGTGGTTGATGATGCTTTTGACGCTTCCTGTTTTCAATACTACACTACAGAAAGAAATTTATCCTGATTTTTTTGTTTACCCTTTAGAGAGCTAGAGCTGGCAGAATGGTTTTGTTGGTTTTGTTATTACAAATCTTGAGTAATACGAGTGATACTTCATGATTACAATGATCTCAACATGGAAAAGCTTACTCACACCATAACATTAAAGAGACATACAGTAACAAGCACAAATCAGCTCTTTAAGAGTTAAAACTTGGTCTTAAGCTCGCTAGGTGCTGGGAAGAAGCTTGGGTTGTGGGAGCCTAAGAGGTATAGCTCATGGACTCCCTTGGCCAGAGGCGCCTATATACCTCGAATACTGCATGGCCAATCTTCCTAGAAGGTCTGAAAAACTTGAAATGGTTTAAAGATTGAATCTACTTCTAATTATATGAAGCTGCGAGTAGGAAGTGGGCCTCATGAGATCAGCATATTCTGCAGCTGGTAATTAACCAGCAGCAGCATATGGTTCGATAGGTACGGAAAACTGATCTATATTGTCATTGTTATGTCTAAATACCCCTAGTGTATAAGAGAATGTTCCTTACCACCGCAACTTCTGGTTTGTGATCTGTTTCGAACAGCGGGTCAGAAAGTATGTACATAGTAGTACAGTTCCGGAATTCTATACTGTCATGTCGATCCGGGAGAGTAGTAGTTAGAATGTGGGTAACCTCAGGAAAATACAAAATTCTACCATCACAACCTCACAAGGTCGGGTTGATTATTACTGTTAAATTGATGCCAGAGGGCACGATTGAAAAAGATTTCATATGGCTTCTACGCGATCGTACAATTCGGTTCAATATGGCTATGGGCTGTCAAGAGCACTGTTCTGATGATGAGTTTTGGAGCTGACGTAAAAAATACAAGTTCTTTGAAAGTATAAACAGTGGGTATCTAAAACAAATCTCCCCAAACTCCGATAGCGCCACGGTATTCCAATTTCTCGAAACGAACAACATCGAATCTTTCATTTAGCACCGTTCCTTTCCAAAAACGCCATGGTATGATCCGCCGCGCCAAACCCCTTATCCTGATGTTTCCACTTGCACGTCCTTGCCCTCTCCAAGATGGTCTTCCCCTCCGCGTCTTTCGAGTTGATATCCGCCTTATTCTCCACCAACTCTACAAAGATCCCCCTCAGCACCCTCAGCTCCTCCGCCGAGGTCGAATCCGGGTACTCCATCATCCTCTCGAAGCACCAATCCAGGGGCGTAAACCCTCTCTTGTCCTTCGCGGCCACATCTGCGCCGCTCTGAAGAAGAAGCTTGACGATGTTGAAGCCCGCGGGGGTCGTGAGCTTTGCGGCAACGTGGAGAACAGTGTACTGCTTCTGCTTCTTGCCGTCGACCGTGGCGTTTATGTTGGGGGATGAGGGGTCGGCGAGGATCTCCTCGATGAGGGAGACGTTTTCGCTGCTGACGGCGTGCACAATGGAGGGCATGTTGTGGTGCGAGGAGCGGATTATGCCTATGGCATTGTCGAACATTATGGAGAGGTTGGATTGGGATCGTGAGACCAGCATTTTTTTCTTTTAATTTTGTGTAGTTTAGCTAATTTGGTGGAAGGTGAATATTTTTGGTTTCTTTGGGGGGAATGTTTGGAGTGAAGGGCTGGTGGGCTGAGGGGGAAGATGTTGTGTATATATACAGGTACCCTGGTGGTATACTATTAAAGGGATCGTTATCTGAAACCCTGTATTCATTTATTGTGATGTAGTGGGTACATCGGCAGAACTCCCACGCCGCACTTACCTGGGCCAGATTCAGGGGCATTCCTGGAGATTCTCTTTTCCAGAAGTCGTCTCTTCAATGGGTATTAATACCCCATCGATCCAAGAACATGTCAATGAATGCATTGCTCTATGGTGGGCATACGGCGCATAAATTGCATCCAGAATATCGTCGTCATTGAGCACAGCTATCTCACAGGCTTTAGGAGCTCGTGAAGGAAACCAGCCCATCCTAAATTTCATTGGAGGTTGGACCCTTTGCATGATAAACGCCACCGGCGAGTGGCTTACATGGGGTGGAAAGCACCGCCTTCGACATAAATAATCTTGTTTTGGCAGAATGGATTATTTCAGCCGAGCTGAAATCATGTAGCAACGTTATCTGTTATCGCATGGATAGGGGTTTATGTAACCCCGAGTGATTGGCTATGATCCATCTGGCATTTAAACATCTATCGAAAGTCAAGACGGACAAGGGAGTTTGTTTTCTTCAGAGCGGCGATTATGGCCTCGTGGATTTGTAGCTCGGGGGTAGTCTTTTTTTGGAGCACAAGCTTGGTTGGTATTGCTGATACGACGGTTAAAAGTTACCAAATAATCATTTCCACCAGTTAGCTTCAAACTTCCCAGGTCCCGCTAAACGACTTCACTCGGAGAGCTAAGGGCCACTTGTACTTCAGTCAACCACCCCGTGAAAAGCTGTATGTGGCCGATCACAGGCTACCACATTCTGCTCTTCCCCGAGTCTCTATGGGCCTGGACTACATGTACTTCATCTTGCCCCCCACGGCCACCACACAGCAAACGGCATACCTACATTATATGCACCACGAATGTGCATGTGTATATAACCATCCTTGAGAATTAAGTCAGCACCTTGGTCCCGCAACTAAGTGTCCTCCTAGTTACCAGCCGTCTTCGTGTTTGTTCTCAACCATGCATTAAGTGTACCATGCCCCCCGATTCTACTTACTCGGCTTATAATAGGGGGCCAGGATACTCCTGCTATATCGCAGGGCTTCGCACAAGGTCATGGTCACAAACTTGAAGCTAGCTGGTGCGGGGAGCACTTCCAGAGATCGTTTCCCCATCACACTAACAGCTTTCACTGTAACTGTGAAGGACACTTGCAGTGTTTGCAACCCCGGTTTCCTATAGAGTAAATAGCTGCCTAATTGACACCGGCCGGCGTTAGTCGTTGATGTAGCTGAGTGCAGGGTGCAAAACCATTGATTCCGTAACATCAAGATTTGTGGCCAACCATCATGCGCCAGCTACCCCATGGATTTCCACCTCCAACCCGGCTCTCTGCAGTGCCTACTACACAAACACACGTTCTAGGATCGACTTCCAGGATCCCGGCTTGAAACGCACCAGGGCCTGGTTTCCAGTGCGTTGATACCCGCACCGGTGTGAGCTAGATGTGGTGCCCCGGTGAAGATGAAACACGCATATGCGCATGTAGAGCACTCTATGTACGCGGTGTCGGCATCAATAGGGAACCTACCGGCAAACGCTCTATGTCTCGGGGAAGAGATCGAGAGGTTGGAGGGGCCAATCAGCTGGATTTGCTTGGGATAGCGACAACCCTAGCCCTGAGTTCTGGTTCCAACATCTATTTGGCTCATGATCACAATTATACTATGAACTCAAGGAGTAATATCGGAGTAAAGCCTATTAATTCTACGGCTCAAGTAATGGTAATAATAATACAGTAATGATACAGCGCTAAATACAGAACCTATGATATTGTACAATGTAAACTACCACCAATCCGACCCATAATGAACCGCCAACTCCAAAGAGACAAGAAATAAGGGAAGCCCGCTCCCCAAGATAAAGATAAGAGTATGAAAAATTCCGAGCTCATATCTTACTTCGGGGAAGCAAATTCCTTAGGGCGCCTTCCGCCTCAGACGAACTCCTATCGCCAGAGCGCCCTCTCCCTGACTCTACTCTCGACGCGCCAATCTGGGCATTGCTCTTCCTACTCCTCAACATGATGCCCTTCATAGTGAACCCGACAGCTCCCTCATTTTTGGCCTGCTTCGTCTCAATTGGTTTAACAAGGTCCTTTCCCATCAATCCACCGCGCTCCTTCAGCGCGTTCTTCATCCCATCAGACTGCGCTTCCTCCAGCATACCCATGAGATCCAAGATCGCCCTGTCTAACGGTGTGCGGCCCCACTTATCAAGTGCATTGATATTCGCCCCACACTCAAGAAGCAGATAGACAATCTCGAGGCACTCCCCAAGCACCGCCCAGTGCAACGGGGTGCTCCCGTTCTCATCTGCCTGATTGACTACCGCGCCAGCGCCCCATGCCTGGAGCAGCTTCAACATCTCCAGCGACTCCATAGGGTCGTAGCACTTCACCGCGGCGTGCAAGAGCGTATTCTTCTCGTGGTCCATCACGTCCACGGATGCGCCACGTCGCAGCAGCATCTCAGCGATGTTGTAGTGTCCGTCTTTGACCACCTTGTGTAACGGCGTACGTCCATTGTTGTCGTAGTGGTTCACGTCCGCGCCGCGCTCGAGAAGGTGCTGTATCAGCTCTGTGGAATAGTAACCCTGGATTCTGATTGCAAGATGCAGCGGCGTGCACAGTGTGTCGTCGTGGGCATTTATGGAGGCGCCCAGCTCAAGGAGCTTTTTGGCGGCAGGAAAGTCCTTGCCGGCATCGCAGGCGTAGTGGAGTGGTGTGCGGTGGTTGCAGTCCACAGCAGTGATGGATGCGTTGAAGGCGAGGAGATGGTGGAAGATTATGGGGTGGTTATGAAGGATTGAGAGGTGCAGGGGGGTTTGTAGGGTATCGGGGAGGCAGACGTTGGGGTCGTCGCCCTCCTGGAGTGAGGTAAGTGCTAGGTCGGCATTTCCAACAATTGTGGCCCAGATGAGACGCGGGACGCTGTTGGTATTGCTAATAGGTGCGTATGATCTGCTGTGTATAGGAAAGTTATCCATTTTTAAAGAGGTTTAAGACTTAGTGATTTCTGGAAGATTTGGTTGCTCAGTTGAGTATTTAGAGGTGAGCTTCTTCTTATAAGGACCAATCCGGTTTTCAACTAGTGGTTATGAAATGATGATGATTGACACTAGTTTCTTTTTAGTATTGATCGTGATGCTCTCGACGTTGAATTTTTTGGCAATCGCTGAAATTTGTTTGATATAGTATCGAATAAAGAAGTCCATACCTCGCGGGCACAAACCGATACTATATATCTTCGTAAATATCACCCCCCTTCTCTCACCCCTGCTTACTATCCCTTCATCTCGCTTTCCTCCATCCGGCCATCGCAAACGGTACGGTGTCTGAGCCCAGTCGCTGTCATCTCCAGTACGTACCCGCACCCCCTTCACACCATTTCCTATCACCGACGGTCAAGGTCATTCCTCGAGCCAATTACTTCGCCGCAAAACGTAGTACGGAGTGCTCAGCCCTGCATCCTGGCCTCTCCTCCGCGCCAAGACACGGATCAACTGCTGGGAGGTATCCTCCCGAACACGGAAGTGCTTTTACCCGTTGCGCTTTTTAAATTTTGGTTGGGCATTCTGGCTTGGCATGCTGCTGGCCGCCTTTCCTGGCTGTGTTCGCATTCCTGATCCTTCTTGCGAGTTCTGGTGCTCTGGTGTTCGCTAGAATTCTTACTGGGCAGGCAGACGAATATAGTCTGAGTGACTTGTCCCCATGCCCTAAAAATTGGTCATGAGTGAAAACTCTAGTAGAGAGAATTTGCACCACCCGCATTTCGGCCTAAATAATGCTCACACTGCCTCTCTCCAAGAGAATTTTTTTTCTCTTGGACTACAGTATGTACTCAGGAGGTTACCTATCGGCATTTTTTTATTTGGGCTTATTATGGCTGGCGCCTCGATACGCTTCGGGGGACCGCGCGGTAATGACAAATTTCTCGTATCCCCCTGATCGGTCGCCCCGATTCGATTTGTTGGTGGAGGTCAATCGGGCTTAGGGATCAGGAGTTTATTTTTTCTCCTTCCTCTCTCTTGGTTTTTGTGGGTTGTTTTGAGCCTTGGTGATGTAGGCCGAGTGTTTGATGTGGCACGAACCAATCATTTGCCTACTGCGGCTTCTAAAAAACCTGTAAATTCTCACATTGGCACTGTGATACCTAGCGTCATTACTTCTCGTTATTCGCATCTACATACATGTCCTAATATACAATAAAGTTTTTCAAGAAACAAAAAACTACAAATTCGTACTTGGAATCGTAGTCGCCAGAGCTGCCAAACCCTCTGTCGAATTCGACGCAACACAATCCACGCCGATCCCACCGGTGACACCATCGCAGGTAAACACCTGATCGCCGAACGGCGTGGTCATCTCGATATCTTCCATGTAGATGTCCTCGCAGACGGCATTGGGCGAGCAAATAACCTCGACCGTGAGCTTCCCGCGCGAGCCCGACGACTCACCGGTAAAGTTAATGAAGGTGACGTTTGAGATATTGACTTCTGACGGGTACTTTGCGCACTCGGTGCTGTTGATGTTGAAGTAGCACTGGGTGAGGATGAGCGGGTAGTCGACGTTGTCCATGACAAAGTCCTTGTATGTGATGTTGTTCATGCGGCCGTATCCCGTGCTCTCGCCCGCCCACGCCTTGAGGCGCGCACCGTTCTGTGAGTTGTGCATGGTCACATTCTCGATGTAGACGTTCTCAATGATGTCCATGACTCCCGAGTACTGGCCGATGCTGCCCATGGAGACACCGTGGGTGCCGTTACACCAGAGGTTCTGCACAAAGATGTTGGTGGTGTTTGGCTTTGGGCTGAAGCAGTCATCGCCGATGTTCACGCGCGCGTTGGTCACGGTTAGGCCGTCGACGTTGTATGAGTCCCAGCCGTCGGTGTTCTTGGGAAGATTGGCGTTGGTGGATTGGGCCTCGATCAGGACGTTGTTGTAGAAGATATCTTTGGACGTGATTAGGAAGTTGGTCCAGCATGGTGAATTGCGGAAGGTGATTCCGTCAATGAGGAGACCAGTTGCGTTTACAGCAGTGAAGAGGTTAGGGCGTAGGTAGACGTTGTTAGGGTCCTATTTGGATGGTTAGTTTTTTTGGTTACAGATATCATTGACAGTATGGATAAGGAAGATTCATACAAGAATTTCACGGCCAGCGAAGCCGTCGTACCAGGCTTGACCATTGCCGTTGATCTCTCCGGTACCTTTGATTACGATGTCTTTCCCGCCCCATTGCCAGAAAGTGATGGAGTTCTGGAAGGGGTGGAAGAAGTTGTTGGCTTGCCAGTATGCGATATCGTCTGTAAACTGTTGTACTCGCGGCCCGATTAGCTTACAGTTCTCAATAACATCCTATTAGAGGGGCTCTTGGTTCTGCTGCAGTAACTCGGAAGGTACCTAGAAAAGCTGGGGGGACGAGGCTACTAGTCATAGCTCATATACTCCCAAAAGCCAGCTCCCCCCAAAACTTCACAAGTCTCCATAGTTCCCGCTAGCTGCAGAAAACCGTCCTTTTCCTCAAATTTAAACACAAGGACAAAAAAATAACCTACCAAGATCTGACCATCCAGTTGCACCACAATATCATCCAAAAACGTCAAGTCCAATTTTTTTCCTAGCACATAAGTTTTGCCCTTCTTGAGCACTAGTGTGCCTCCGCAATTGGCCTCACTGAGAGCTGCCAGGAACTCGTCCGCTACATCATCCGTCTCATTGCGCGACGCCCGCAGATGCACCTCTCTGCGGTGATGGTGTTGCGGGAACGCGTGGTGACGCGGGCCGCCTGGGTTATAATGGCCGCGGTACTTGTTTGTGCGCGGGGCCAGGGGTATGAGCGCGTTAGAGGAGACGGGCTTGGAGAGGATTGAAGAGGGCGCCGCCAGGAGGACGGAGAGTAGGGTGAGTGTGAGCTTCATGGTGGAGGAGTATTAAGTAAATTAGCTAGAGCAGAAGAGGGACAAAATTAAGTGGCCGCTGATAATATAGGGATGCTACTGCTACTCCAAAAACCCGTGGGCTCTGGCACAGACGAGGCAGTATTTAAACCCCCGTGGCCAGCTCTTCCTCCTCCTCCTCCGCTCCTGGTCTCGGCCTCGGTCTCGGTGAAGGGACAGAGCCTGCATATCTTCTCGGGCACCACTACAGCGAAGTCGGGCTTCATGGGTCTTGTAGCAATCAGTATATATACTCATCAAATTATCCGAGCAAGTCTAGAGTAGGCGTACCTACATTGGAGATTCCCGATACTGCATCATATCACCCAAACTTAAGAGCCAGCCATTCAACGGCATGGAACACAAGGAAAAAAAAGAAAAAAAGGCCCGGGCCTGCTGCAGCACAATAGCCGACTGTGGGGAAGCCATGCACAAGATGCTTGTTTGACTCGGCGTTCTGGGCGGCACCTCCGAGGGCCGCCATCCCTGGAACTGTGCAAGATCTTCGTTTTTTCAAATTTTGCGTGCGCTTTATCCACTGCATGGCCATGGACCTACGTATACAGCAATTAATCGTCATCCTGCAATCCGGGGAAAGGAAAAAAATACCAGACACATATCCCGGGAAAATGGAAAAGATAGAGAACCAGGAAAAGAAGGTAAGTCCCATACTTTAGAGTAGATATGTGTTTATCTTGCGTGCGGAAAGAAGACCGTGCGCGCGTTCGTCCGGGCCGATTGTGTAGCGGTGGACCATGGGATTAGTTGGCAGCTTGCATGTAAAGTGGGCATGTAGGTACTGTACCGGTTCATAGAGCACATGTGGGGGGAGAGGAGGAGAGTTCTATTCTGCTTACTCGACCTTGATCTGGTGTGCGGTGAAGTGGACCTGAGACAACCTGGCTTTATAAATTGACTACATATCCACAGAAGCTGAGAAACCTTCTTGGCAAAGCTGTGCCTCCAGAGCGATTTCAATTAGTATTCTCAAGTGAAATTGCTTTTCTTTATTCTCCCGGTTAAAAATTTAATACTAAGGAAATGTGGTACCTCTACTCTAGCTAACAGCAGCTGCAGCAGCGAGTTAATATCATAACAGAAGCATCAATTACTCTAGCTACATACATGTAGAGACTAGTTGGTGTTTAGCAACATGATGTGAGTTAAATCATAATTTATGTACATAGAGTACACAGGTTTAATCGCCCGTTAAAGTCACATATTCTAATCTTCATGATCTTTGGCTCAAAACTTATCATAGGATCTGATTCGGAACACTCATCGATTCTGACTCGGAACGTCTGAAGCGACAGGGTTAGGGTTCACGTATGGGTCATAATTACACAGCTCAACTTCTGATAATCTAACGTAACGATAGGCGTGATTACAAGCAGTCAAGATTAGGAACTTCGTGCCTGCGTGACAATTATCAAAGGAGCGTCGTGGCTCAGAGTGAAATGAACTAATGAACTGTGAATTTTACCAAGCTCTAGACAAGTTCGGGGCCTTGGCAGGACTCAATGTAAAAGCTGTTATAGCTGTAGGATTTTGATATTTTGATAAATTGATTTGAGAGAACGGTTTCTCCCTATTAATGATTTGTATTCTAAAAAAAATCGACGTAGTGGGGTAAAAAGCGGATAGTAAATCTATACTGAAAGACCCCCACGAAATTTTGAGCATGGAATATAATAGACAGCAAATCGATAATACCGAGCCCTTTATATGAATACCTTAAGTAGCCAGCTGCTTACATTGCAGTGTCATTGACAGTATACGTCGACTTTATCGTGGCTTCGTACATGACATACATACCAATTCATACAAACTAAAAGATAAGATGTGAAAAAGCAGAGAAAAAAAGGTATAATAGGTACAAGAAGAGAGAAGAGAAAAAAAAAAAGAAGCAAAAAAGCAAGAGCGAAAAACAATGTATTAAGCCCGCTATTATTGAGTCCCCGATAGACGCATACCCTGACAAAGAAAGAAAAAAAAATTTACCCAGTGACCCAGAAACAGTACCCTTTGTAATTGCCAAAAGCAAGTAGGAAAAAAAAGAGAGAGAAAAAAAAATGATAGAAAGTAGCTCCGACAAAGAAAACCTCGTCCCAAACGAATCTCGTTTAGGCGTAAACTCAAAAATTCCTTGTTCGAATAGATACCCTTCCTAGAACACCTCGGCGGCTGTTCTCATCCATTTGCGCTTCATCCGTACACCCATCTTGCCCATTAATGGTACCCTCGCACAAAGGCATCCGAGGAGAACTCCTTTTTGCTGATTTTACCTCTCCCCCTTCATCATGTCTTTGAGCTTGTTCCATTCCCTCAAGTCGTAGACGTTAGGCTTAACACCAGGACCTTCGTACCTCATCGCTGGTTGGTTGGGTTGTCTGTCCATTGTGAAACGATACATCTGGGTGGCCTCGTCGAGGATTTCGTAAGCGGTGACTACGTAGAGCCCGTCGTAACGGATACCGGCGCTTGGCGCGTAGGCAGAGTGCTTTTTGCTTTTGGTCGAGCGTAGAAGGCGGACGGGAGTTCCGTTGGCCAAAGATGTTTGTAGCAACTTCGTGCCCCCGGAGGGAACACTGGTGCCTGTTCCCTTGACAGGAACACCAACTGTTCCACAATACAACACCCTGTCGCCATAGTCTTCGTCCTTGCTGTAGCCGTGTGACATGACGACACTTATACAGCCATATTCCTTGTTGCCAGAGATGCCTATCAAGCAATTGTCAGTTGGTTTCGATGAATACAACGAGTATGGTTGGGAAAATTACCAGCTTCCATCTCTCCGTGAGCGCCATCTCGCATTGCACATATCTGCAAGGGCCACCAATCGCCAACTGTAAGCCCATTGTGACCGATGACGAGAGGCTCAACTTTGTGGAGGTAGTTTTCCTCCAGCCGCCAACCACTGGTGCGCTTTATTATCTTTCCACGGACCATATCGCGGTTAATTGTCGAGGATGATGCGATGCCTCGCATCACCGCCTTGTCGAATACGGAACGCTGCCATTTGTTACGAAGGCTCTGGGCTTCAAGAATAATATCCTGAGGAATCCTCAGTGCGTTACCAGCTCGTACCAACTTTGACAAAGCATCCAAAGTTTTTTTTGAGAGGACCATTATTGAATCTGCTGGGATGAACGGCAATTTTTGGACACATTCCCTCAAATTTGTAACATCTACTGCGGTATGGGCGTTTTCCGAAAACCTCCTCATCGCGATATTTATCGTCTCCGTACTGGTTTCAAGCGCCAGACCCTCACTCCTTGTCAAGGTTGACTTCAAGGCTGGGGCCGGTCGGACCCTCGTTTTTTTCCTTGGCTGATCAGAACTGGCAAGATTGATTTAATACATTAGCTATTGATCGTCAAAGCAAGAGGAAGGAAGAAAGGAAGAAAGAAAGAAAGAAAGAGAGAGAGAGAGAGAGAGAGAGAGAGAGAGAGAGAGAAAGGACAGGAAAATAAAATGCAAAATACTAGCAGGATGGGGGAATTAATTACTTTGCTTCCTCTTCGATTTTAAGGGCCCTTGAAAGAGCTCGTTTATTTTTTTTCTCCAGCTGCCTTTGAGCTTCATCTTTGTTCGATTGGGCCGCAATACCAAGGCCAAACATGTCCTCTAGATCTGGATCAATGTCATCATCCTCGCTCTCATTTTTAATATATGCATCATCGTTCTTTTCACTTTTGGTTAAAGCATCGTAACCTCTTTTCTTTGGGTTAGCGTTGGAGTTATTGGTATCAGCAGAGCTAATAGGGCTCCCCAGATTCTTCTTCTTTTTGGGCTTGATTGACCAAATAGATGGCGCAGGATTTCCTGACATTTCTATTATAGTAGAGAGTGTGGTGTTTTAGAGGGGTAGTGAAATGTAACTTTTTTTTTTTCTTCTGGAGATGATGTAGAGACACGGACGCGATGGAGGGAGAACGTGTTGAGGGACAGAAGGTCTTAAACTCTTGGGTGCAATCTTGGCTTGGCTATTGGATTCAGTCACAGAACTATCATTTACGTAAGCAACCCAACTGCTAGGAGTCACCTCTCTGAACTGGGGGGTCAGCATATTGTTTCGAAGGGATTTTTATGCAGTGCGGGTTGCTCGACTGACTGACAGGCTCCTAGTGCAGATCCTGGTTAACCGCCTCCTTCCTCCTTTGGCACTGTTACAAGACAGTTTTAAGAGGGCAATTGAAAAAGCATCAGCAGACATCCACCAAATCCCATTGCTCTGCTCTGTATGGAAGGAGGCATCCCCGTAACAAACGAAAATCCCAGGTTCTTGTATGTCTTCCATCCATGCCAATTGTATCCTTGAACTCGACTTGTCGCAATTTAGATTCGATTGCTAACAGCTATTCAAACGCCTGAGCAAACACAGTAAACGATAGAGTGTGCAGAACCTTCAGAATTCACCATCAGGATCCCAACAAAATCTTCCGATTGGCTGTGCTCGCATTCCCGCCCTGGCAAATAGGATGGGATGACCGAGGTACATTCCTCTCTACCATAACAAGCCTCACCGTACTAACTTTAAACTCGTTGTAGGTGCTGTATTAGATAAGTGAAGTCCGGCATGCTATTAGTTATCGAGTCACCTCCGTGGCAAAGAAATGAGAGGATCCAGCCCTCATCATCACTGCCGCGCCGTTAGCCTAGCTCTGAGGCAGGAGGAAATCGTCGTTGAATATAGACCTGGATGAGGAATTATTACAATAGCTGGATAGACAATAGGCTTTATAGAAATAAAACCACGGTACCCATGTCCGTAGTTTTACACAAAGAACCACCATCCGCAGTCCGCAAGCAATCATATCCCACAACCGATTAACAAAGAGCTCGCCCCCCGCGCCAGCCCACACAACAAACCCTCCCTTCCATATCCTTTCATACTCCCCCATACTCCATATTCCCCTACCCATATTCCCCTATCCTATCCTTCCTCCAAACCTCCCCATCCTCCACCTCATGCCCCCACCCACCTCCCCTCCGAAAAACCAACCCCCCAATCATTGTCTCCCGCGCAAATAGTAGCCACCGCCCTCCACAAAAGCAGTTAGCCCGTGCCGTCCCTACTCCCAAAATTCCTACTAAACGATCATTCCCCTCTACCTACCCGTTCCGTGGGCCGCGCGGCCCTCTCCCGCGCTCTTTCCGTAGGGCTAGGGTACATTCAAAAAAAAAAAAAAACGGCGGGCCGAATCATTGACTGTCTGTTCTACAGAATTACGTAAATCCCGTAGATAAATGCTTAGCAGCTGGATGCATGGCCGACCACCACCGCCGGAGACAGGGGAGGGACAGGGTTAGGGTTAAGATCAAGGTCAAGGTGATTATGACTTTTCAGGGCCTGTTAGTTCCTGCTAGTTCGGACAACCATGATTGTTAGACAGACTGGAGTACTATCGCATGGCGATAATAATAATTACAATGCTCACAGACGGCTTCCCTAGCTACTCGGATATCCTCCTCCTCAATCGGACCGCAGTTCACTTGGTTGCCAGATTGATCAAAGCCGCTCAAGGTAATTGATCCAAAGACTACAGGTTTAAAAAATAATATGTGGGCATTTATTGACTAGCTGCCAGCCTAACTGCTCGCCATACATACAGTGATGGGGAGAATTATTGCGAAAGTGGGTTTTTCCGTGACCCGATAGCCCTATTGGCCCTTGAAGGAATTTTTTTGCAGTGAGCACGGACTTGCAAGAAGCCCACTCTTTTAGTTCTGACTTCCGCAATAATTCTACCAGACTCTGTAGTTCCTTGAATAGCTATAGCTTTCAAACCTCTTCTCCACTAACCATCATTGGCGGTGGTCTGGGTGAGGTTTTGGGGGGGGGGGGGGGTGTCTGAGTGCCCACCAGCCACACATGTACCAGTCGTCCATAACCACTTAAATAAATCTACATGTTCGGGAAAAACGCTGCAATTAACAGGCATATCCGGTCAAACATCTCCATGGTGGTTCTGAGTTTTTCTCTTGCGATTTTTGGGAATCCAGAAATTAAAGTTGGGCTATTCAATTGCACAATCGAACCAGCATAATTCCTTGCTTGCTTGTGCGCGCGCCGAACCCACCATATATTACTTACAGTCGACAATCCGTCAGGTCATCCCCAATAACCCCGAATCATCCGATCGATCGCGAACTAGCTAGGCCCTCGACAATTACATGTATAAATCTCACGTATAATACATGTACACACACTAATGTAATTATGCACAGCTTACGGGCGAGCTAGCAAGAGGAATGTAGGTTAAATTTTTTTTTTTAAAAAAAAAGGCTTCATCTAGTATATATAAACCCAACCCCAACCCCAACCCGCACACCCAGCATTCTGCAATCTGCGGCCAACCAAGAAGGAAAAATACTGAGATATAAAGAAAAGAAAGAAGAGAGAGGATGGAAAGAAAAGAAAGAAAAAGAAAAAGAAAAAAGGATATCCCGAACATATTCCACTCCCCGCCGGCCCGGTCCCCTGGTATAAAACAACCAACAACCAACATAAAAAAAGGCACACATAAAAAAAAGATAACTACTATACAGTTTGGAAAATACGAGAGAAGGAGAAGGAGAAGGAGAAGAAGGAGAAAACACCTACAAACAGAAGAGAGAGAGAGATCACCTAGCTAACCAGCCAACCATGTAGCCAGCTACAACTTCACCTTCCCCGCCCTAATCCCCTCCCAATCCTTCTTCGTAAAGCGGACATACACCCCATCCTTCAACCACCACAACCTATCCCCCCCGCCCTCCACCATCTCCGGGTCCACGCCCTGCACCCTCAGATCATGCTTAACATGCTTCAAATTGCCCGTCGTCACCATCTCCCTCGTCACCCTCACAAACAACGGCACGGCAAACCTCGGCAGCCCCTTCACCACATGCTGCCCCAGCACCCTCATCACCTCCTCCTTCACCTCCGCCCCCTTAGGTCCCACATACGCCCCCTCCCGCAACACCACACACGCACACCCCGCCCTCCCATCATGCCCCGGCAGCTCAACCCCATACACATTCGCCTCCGCCACCTCCCCACAACCCCCCAACACCTCCGCCACCTCGGCCGTACTCACATTCTCGCTCTTCCACCGATACGTGTCGCCAATGCGGTCCACAAAGTACCAAAACAGCCCATCCACACTCGTCCGCTGCAGATCCCCCGTGCGGAACCACGCATCGCCCTTCGCAAACACGTCGCGCAGGATCTTCTCGTCCGTCGCCTTGCCGTTGCCGAAATACCCCTGGAAGTTCTTCTTGACGTTGTTGGGGTCGAGGCGCCATAGTAGCTCGCCGGCTTCGCCCGGAGGACACTCGATTGCGAAGCCGGTGGTGGGGTCGCGGAGGGGTGTGTCACCGCTGGCGTCCATGCGCACGGTGCGCGCGCTGCGGCCCATGAGTGCGTGGAGGAGCGCGCCGCTGCGGCCGATAGCGCCGACGCCGAAGGAGCCCTCTTGGTAGTTCCATGAGCCCGATGAGCCCTCCGTGGAGGCGTAGAACTCGGCGATGACGGGGATATTGAAGCGGTCCTTGAAGGCCGGCCAGATGTCTGGTCTGAGGCCGTTGCCAAATGCCATTCGGACAGCGTGCTGGGTGTCTGTGGGCTGCGGGGGCGCGGAGAGGAGGTAGCGGCAGGTCTCGCCGACGTATTGGATGACTGTGGCGTGCGAGTCGCGGACGTCGCGCCAGAAGGTTTTTGTGGAGAATTTGTGGCCGAGGGAGAGGGTGGCGCGGGCGTAGAGGACGTTGGTGAGGCCGAGGAGGACGGCAGAGCTGTGGTAGAGCGGCATGCAGGTGTAGTAGACGTCGGTGGACTTGAGGCCGATGTAGCGCGAGGCGAAGCCGGCGCCGAAGTGCAGCTTTTGGAAGGAGATGATTGCGGGTTTGGGCATGCCCGTGGTGCCGCTGTGGTGGGTTGCGTTAGTGGTTGTGGCAATCATTGGCAGGGGGGAGAGAAGGAGGGGTGATATCTCATGATGGGAGTTGTAGCTATATAGAACCAGTTCTATTACCAAAAACAAGAGAACATACCTTGTATAGATCAGCATCGCCATATCCGGCAACTTCTGCCCCCCACGCTCCTCATCCCCCGGCCTCACCGCCTTCCACGTCTCCACGACCCTCTCCGTCGCCTCATCAAACACCACCACCTGCCTCTCCCCGCCCTCCGTCTCCAGCATCCTCCTCGTGCGCTCGCCCTCCTCCCCCTCCAGCACGCCGCGCACCTCGCCGTCCACCAGCACCAGCCGCGCCGTCGACGTCCTCACACAGTGCACCAGCCGCTCGCCGCTCAGGTTATAGTTGATCATTGCGGGCTTCGCGCCAATGGCCCACAGCCCATACCACACCCAGATCAGCGCCGGCTTGTTTGTAAAGTCCAGCGCCACAATGTCGCCCTTTGCGATGGCGTAGCGCTCCTTGAGCCACGTGGCGTAGCGCAGGATCATGTCGTGCGCGGCCTTGTAGCTCCATGTCGTGCCCTCGTAGATGAGCAGGGGCCGGTCGCGCAGGGCGGCGTTGGGCGAGAGCGCGAGGTCCTCGATGAGGTAGAAGGGCGAGAGGCGGTCGCGCTTCTCGTAGATTGCTTGCTCGAGCGTGGAGGTGAGGAAGGAGCGGATGAGGCAGAGGTCGTGCGAGAGGAGGTATTTGGCGTCGAGGTAGGAGAGGAGGGGGAGGGCGGCGAGGAGGCTCTTGAGGATGGCGGCGGGGAGGGCCATGCTGGGATGTCTGGGACGTGGGGGGAGAGCTGATTGAAGGGTGTGGGTATAGTGGTATAGGAGTAGAAGTAGTAGTTTCAGTAGGTAGGTATCTAGATATCCAGGGGGGTCTGAGTGGACGCAGATATCAAGATATTTCTGTACTGAGGGCAGAGATGTGGAGAGAAGTATCGATGGGGGGGGATTTCAGAAGTACTGCTACCCAAGACTTCGCTCCGGGGGGGGGGGGGGGAACTTTCTGTCTCTGCAACAAGCCTCGGCTCTCGCTTCGCTGCGCCAATCCCGGGCCCGCTACGGTCGCACGAGAAGAGCAGCAGTGATTAGACGCCCGAGTCAACTTCAGAGACAGACAAGACAACTCAGATTGAGGACCATCTCCTCCCCTATAGACTAAATATGTGATAACCTCTCCAGAAACACACACCGACAGACTGCCCAATTATCACTCCAAGATGTTCAAACCTTCTCGGTCTCTCTCTCGGCCCTGTGCAGCCCGCGCCCGCGGCTATCTCGGAACCTTTTCTTTCCCTCAAAGCAGCCGAGGCAAGCACGTGCACCGCCCACTGGAAGTGCATGAGGGTACAATTCCCAACAGTTAAAAAAGGACCCCCCACCTCAACATCCAAGTAATCAATTGACAGCAGCAGTGGGTCAGTCTCCGATCGGGGAGCTTCTCCGTACGCAGGGTTGGTTTTGTTATCGTTTTTGACAGTTTGGTGCGCTGTAAAGTACAATACATACACAACCTTACTCTGTGCTTTCTGCTCAGAGCAGGACTGATGGATATTGCGCGTGGCTTGGCCAATAGGGGTATCGGGGCCGGGAGTAATCACTCGACATCTAGAGTGGAGTTTCTGCACTTTTCGCTGATCATGTGTCCTATTCCGGGAAACGTTATTGATCTTTTAAAGATCTTTACCTTAAAGTAGCAATAAAAAATAAAGGTTGGGTTCGGCCATTGGTAATTAATTAGGAGGAATAGTAAACCTGCAAGTCTTGGTGTCTATATACTCATGGCACGGGGCACTGCATTAAAGACTCTGGGCTACATGTACTATGCGTTTGTGATAATTATAAGTGATAAAGACACGGTAACTTTAAGGAGACGTTACAAGAGCACGATAAATCGAGCTTGGTAGCTACAGAAGCCCCCCCCCCCCCCCCCCTTTGTGACTTTAGCAGTTTGAGATCGACTTACTTTGATACCGGCCTGTAGCTAGCTATCCCTCAAATACATCCGTCTGTCCCTCATTTTCCACTCTCATAAGGCCTAGCTAGGTAGGCCAAATTGAGCCAAGTTAGGTATGTGTATAGCTATAGGCCCCGAGTATAATGTAACGGATATATATTTGAATGTAAGACAACCAGTATACTACTACCACATGTAGGTACATGCATGTTAACTACGCACGGATATTGCACCCTCCCTCAAGTAATTAGAGAAACTACAGACGTTGAATACAGACGAAGGGAAATTGCATGAATATTTGAGTAGAAGTGATGAACAGACGAGGATCAAAGATCGATCTAGAGAGTATAAGAAAGCCTCTACTCTAGCTCTTAATATACAATCTACAGTTAGATCTAGATAATAACATGTTCTAGTCTTCTAAAGACAAAACTTCAAAAGTACAGGCTTACAAGTTTGAGGCCACAGACTACATGCACAGTCGTGCACACAACAAACTATTATATTTCGAATTCCCCTCTTTATAGGATACCCGACTGCAGTTCCATAACCACTGTACAGAGCTAGAGCAGATCTTTTGAGGTGGTGCTGCTACACACATGTACAGGAAGTGCCTACATGCCTGCTCTACATGAAGTTAAACGCTGCATACATGTATATAATTTTGATATATCACGTACAAAGTATATATACGGGAACTATTATAATATAATTTGAAAAAGCTTATTACAAAGATATATCACATCCATGGACCGAGAGAATCAATGCAACAAAGTCGCAACCCGCGCAGGTTTGTATCTGAACTGTGTTGTAGAATCAAGTGTATAGTACGTGTGCGCCTGAAGACAATTAGATGCTATGGTCAGCTTGTTGGTGTTAATTGCATCTCCTTCTCTTCCATTAAAACATCCTACACTACAACAACTACATGGCGATTGTTCAAGTGCATGCACATATCATACTCAACGTCCTAGTTATTTTTGAATACCGAATTTCACCAAGTTCAAGGCCGGCAGCTTCATCCACAGTCTTCCATTCACACCAATATCTACATTCCCAATTCTCACAGTCACAGTACAGGATATTAACACTACCTCCAATCAAACATCTACCTCCACACACCCTCCCCTCCCCTCTACACCCCATTCACGCCCTCCCCCTTCCAATTCTCCATCACCATCCCCGCCACCTCCTTCCCCCTCCTCACCACAAAATCATGTCCCATACCGCCAAACACCCTCCCCACCACCCTCCTCCCCTCCCCCTCGCCCCCCGCCAACAACTCCACCATCTCCCCCACCAACCCCGGCTCAATAACCACATCCTCCCCCGCCACCACAACCAACGCCCTCTTCCCCTCCTCCCTCCACACCCTCCCCACCTCCCCCCACTCCCCCTGCCGATCAAACAACGGCCCGTTCCTAAAGCTGCTCAAAAACGCCGTCAAAAACCCCCCATGCGCCCTCCCCTGCCACTCAATGATCCCCTCCACATCCACCGCCCTGCCCCCCTCCCCGCGCACCCTCGGATCCGCCCCGCGCGCCGCCACAACCTCCGCCGACGGCGTCCCGTGCGTCCGCCGCACGGCCAGCCACCCCGCCACCGCGTTCGGGACATAGCCCGCCTGCGCGAAGCGCGCAAAGATGCCGAGGCGCGAGGAGCGCACGAGGCCTGACGGCGCGAGGAGAACGAGGTCCCGCACGAGGTGCGGGTACAGCCGCGCAAAGGCGACGGAGATGCCGCCGCCGAAGGAGTACCCGATGAGCGTGAAGTTGTGCCAGCGCTGGGCCTGCGGCGAGGAGTGCAGTGCGAAGATTAGCTCTGCGGCGTAGAGGCGGTAGTCGTGTGGGACGCCGAGGGGCGTGTCGGAGTAGCCGCGGCCGTAGAGGTCTGCATCCCATATTCCATGAGTATGAGTATATATATATCACCTAACTACAGAGAGGGGGAGAGAGAGAGAGAAAACATACCAAACACCAACACCCGACACCCCCCCTTCTCCACCAGCTCCCACAGCAGGTCGCGCGCAACCACACACGGGCTGCCAATGCCGTGCACAAACACAACCTTGCGCCCGTCCTCGGGGCCCCACTCGTACACGCGGATCGTGCCATACGGCGTCGCGACCCAGCGCGCGCCCGGAAACACATCGGGCGGGTACGGCAGCCTCTCGATCTCCTTGGGCGTGAGGCGCGGCAGCTCGACCCGCGGCGACTCGATCGTCGTGGGCAGCAGCGACCCGAGCGGCGAGCGCAGGACCGTGTACAGGAGGGTGCCGCCCGTCAGTAGGGCGAGCGCCGCCGCGGACACGAGCGGCGAGCGGCGCAGGTGCTGTTGCACGTGCGGGAGGAGGCTGAGGTACTGCTCCATCTTTCGATAGCTGGGTGGATTTGGTTGTGCGGAGAGGAGGAGGAGGGGGAGGAGGGGTTGTGTCGTTATGTAAGCTGCGGTCGGGATCTCCGGGGTGTGTTCTGAGAGCGAGTGATGGGACGTGATTGGCCTTAACTGTTGGAGGCGTGGGTAATGATCGGTTGGTGGGATTTGGATATGGTGGTGGGTGTTATGTGTGGGCTGCTGATAGACACTCACTGCAGCATAGTTGGGTCTCTGGTGTTCATATAACGGTTCCCGGATAAACATCCACACTGCAGCCAATGCATGGGGTAAAAAAACCCCCAGAGGCCAGCCAGCCAGCCAGAGGGTTATATGATATTAAAGGACTCCAACTGTGTTCCAGAGGAAGGCGTATAAGTACATGCCTTCAAAGGACCAAAATAGTTTATATATATGTAATCCATATTGACATTTTCGATATCGAAGGGAGGTTGCAAGGACATAAGGGATATAGCATCTCTCACGCTTATGGCGATAAAACCCGAAGGTTAGTTCTTCACCGCACTAAGTCTTAAGGAATCATAATCTTCCAAGATATCCCCTACTATATCAGACCGGCAGCTAGCAGCTGTCAGAACATAGAGTAGCAGTAATCCAATGTCGAAGAGAACGCATCACCCGAGTGTATCTAATCAGAAGATATGTTCCAGAGTACCATTTCCGCTCGTCCTCGCTTTACTGTACATACGCAAACAGCCGCCCTTTAGCTAGTTAGGTTGGAGAAACGGATCAACGGACCCAAACCACTGCCAGCTAGCTTGACATGGCATTAAGGTAGCAGCAGAGTCCTACGGCGAGGTTGGGTGGGTACATGACGGCGGTCGACTAAGCCCAGCTGCAGCCCGCGGATGAATAAACCGAAAGGCCGGCTCTCTCCCCTCCCCCGATGTCCTCCAACCCTCTATGAGCCGTATATAAAACTAGAGCCCTACCCAGATGTTCTGCTTGTGATTGAATAGTAACTATCCCCTCCTTGAGGCGTTTGCGAATGGGCAAGCCAGCCCAGCCAACAAACCTTCGCGGCCGGCTTACGCCTTTGAGCGAGATACCGTAGGCACTTTTGGCCGGTAAAGGTGATAGTCCCAGGCCTCTTTCTTCATCGTAGATCTATTGCTCTGGCTCAATCGAACAGCTGGCGTGTTACTCAGAGCCGGGCCGGAGAAACAAAAAAGATTCCCACTGCAGCATCACACACATGACACCTCTTGTGCTAGATCTGTCTTTTCGACCGAGAGAGACACATAGGCATATCAAATACATGGTTCCACGTAAAATCTGTTTGACTTTCAGGACCCACACGTACAAGCTTAGGTAGAAATTTAAGCTTAAACCACCAGTCGATCCCTCACTATCCATAAGTCGGCATTCGTAATGAGCTCCGTGGGCCAGTGTCATGCTTTTCGTAAGATCTAGTACGTGTAGGAAAGAAGGCTGCATTCTTTGTGCTAGAGCACTGATGCAAGAGCGGGATGGGCGGGATGAGCCAGTCCTGTCAAGACAGATGACCGCTCTGCAGATACGAGCCTTCGTAACTCGATAACCTGTCGTCCATAGGGCGGGGGTGTAGTCTCGTGAATACACCGTGGCATTGTGATGGGCTTCTAGAAAGCTGCTGAGGATGACACGGAGTAAAGACGAGCAGGACAGAGCTAACTGGGTCGGGAACCAGCTACAGATCAGGCAGGCATGGAACTTTATCTAAGCCAATTCAAGTACATGTATCTATGTACGTAGATGGATAGGGCAATGCTTCACTATGTAGACAAATCCACTGCACGAATGAATCAGTCAGGAGACATTACAGAACGAAGGAACTCGGAACGCATCACTTTTACCATTCAAGCCATATCTATAGTAAAAGTCTAGATCTACAACAGAGCACACAATTAATCGCAACCGGTAGAGACGTCGTAAAAGCCGGTCGGCGCACGTCGCACTCCTGCCTTCTACTCCCTCTCCACCGCTCGCAACCAGTCGTCTCTCTCATGCACACGCAGCTGTCCAATGCTTAAAGGAAAGGGTGGAGGAAGGAAGGGTTGGGCTTAAATAGCACTCCCGCCCTTAACCCACCGTGGGATGCCAAGGCCCAGGCCTAGCTAGCGCGAGTGACCTAGCCAGAATTGGGTTGGGGCGGGCAGGCCAAGACTCCCGAGTGATTTTGTGTGATCACAACTCCGCAGGCGCTAGGATTCGGGGTCATTGATTCCGAGTACATTTCATACTCTTTTTTTTTTTGCGGTGATGAGAACGTTTCATTCATTAAAATAGTAAACATCAAGATGAACAAAGTAAAGACAGAAACAAAACACAAAGGAAACACAAGTTTTTTTCGGGGCAAAGACATCAGAAACCGAACCAGAAGCCCCCTCCCCCAATTCTAAACCCACAACCCAAGAAGCCCCAACTCCCAACTCCTCTCCAATCCACTCCTTATATACACCCCAGCTAATCCGCCCTCTCGCCCACAAACGTCGGGAACCTCGGCGTACCACTATTCGACAGCTCCTGATACCGATAAATCACCGTCGCGCCAATCTTCGGCGGGCTCCTCCTCTGCTGATCCGTCAAGCCACTCCCAATCTTAAACAGCTTCCCCGTCGGCCTCCCCTTCGCATCCAACATCTCGACCCTCAGCGCGCCCGTACAATTCGCATTCTTCCCCGTTCCCCTCTCATGGCCCCTCACGATCGCATCCGCATCCAAAAACCTCTTCACCTTGAGCAGCGTCTTGCTGCGCCCATTGACATACGCCGACCCGGGCTCGCGCAGCATCAGCCCCTCGCCGCCCTTTGCGCAGATGTCGTCGAGCATGTCGAGCAGGTGCTTGCGGCTCTTGCACTCGGTGTGCGCGAGCACGTGTACCCAGCGGATGCGCAGCTTCTTGAATGTCTCTTGAACGAACGCGATGCGGTCCTCAAACGGCTCGTCGCCCTTGCTCGGGCAGTCGAAGATCTGGTAGCTGACGCTGAACTTCCATGCGTCCGGGTTGTTCTGCGTGCGCACGATGGAGACGCATTTCTGGAAGTCGCCGCGGGTGGTGAAGAGTTCGCCGTCGAGGCAGATCTATCCAGTCAATCCCACTATTAGCCCAATATCCTCCCCAAACACACACACACACACACACACACACACACAAAGGAAGGGAGAGACAAACATCCTTCGGCATCTTCTTCGTGAACCACTCGGGCGCATAAAACGGGTTCCCCTCGCGACTCTGGAAATTCTTCCCATTCCAGTACGCGCGCACGCCGTCCAGCTTCTCCGAGATGAGGTAGCCCTTCGGGTCCTTCCCCTTCTCAATGTCCCACTTCTCGGCCAGCAGCGGCTTGAAGCTCACGTCCTTCGCCAGCCTCTGCACGGGCTCCACCTTCCGCTTCGGCCTTGCCACACCCGCCGCACTACTACTACTACTACCCGCCGCACTCCGCGCCGGCTTCGCACCAGCACCAGCATTTGAAAGCTCCTCATCACTCACCACGCCGGTCTTCACCTTCCTCTCCCCCCTCGCCCTCTTCACCGCCGGCCTTGCCGCCTCCTCCTCTTCATCCTCCTCCTCCTCATCATCATCATCCGGACTAGCCCTCTTCGCCAGCCTCCGCCCACCCCGCGGTGCCACGTCCTCCTCCGTGGCAACCTCGTCCTCCGTCTCTTCCCCCTCCTCCTCTTCCTCGTCGGCAGTACTCTCCTCGTCCGCCGCGGCCTTGGCCTTGGCCTTCCCCTTCCCTTTGCCGCCCGCCTCGAGGTCTTCCGCTTTACGCTTCAGACTGCTATTGGGTGTGGAGGCGGAGGTGGTGCTGGGGTTGGTGAGCTCCAGCCGCGCCTCTTCGTACCCGACGCCGAAGAGGGATTGCAAATGCTTACAGGTGCGGCTGTTGACAGCGCCGGCGGCGCGGCGCCAGGCGGGGCAGGTGCAGTAGTCTGGAATAGCTTGTTAGTATATCTTCTATTGATTATATATCGGGGGTGAGTGAATGGGGTACGGACAGTGGTCGCCGGTGCGCTTCATGGTGTACAGTCTATCTGAGGACTCGGAGGTGGCATTGAGGGTGGTGCCGTCGGGGAGGATGACTTTTGGCTTTACTCCGTTCTGGGGGGGTTGATGGTGGGTTAGTTATTTGGATTTTATTTTATGACTTATGGGTTGGGCGTAATTAATTGGTAGTGAGAATTGGAGTGCTAACTCCTCGCGGGATATATTAAACATAGAGAGGAGAGAGAGGGAGCTTACAATCTCGAGCAGCTTATCCTTAGTCCTTACTTCCGTCCTCGACATTGTCTATGCTGAACTGCTATATAAGAATAGTAGTAATAAAGTAATAAAGTAATTGGTACTATAAAAAAAAAAAGGTCGTTATAAAAAAAGGCTGTTATAAAAGTCTCAAAAAAACAATACTGGACTTAAGAAGGTGAATAAAGATAAGGATAACACTGGGCTAAGAATACTACTCCGACTGCTTGTAAGTAAAATAAAATAAAAAACCTCTCGAGGACACACCAGAGGTTTTATACCAAAAACACACGCCTTCCAATGCCCCCATATCCCCTATGTCCCATATTCACCCATATTCACCCCATGCGCAGTCCCCTTCCATCTACACCGGAACAACAACACCAAAAAAAAACAGGTACCACAATAATCACTCGGAATGTAACGCTAAGATCCCACTCCCTCCACTCCCACGTTGTGTGAATCATCGGGCCCATCCCATCCCATGCACGATGGCGAAAGGCAAGACAGAAGACAGGGTCCCCCCTTCGTTACACGAGTGACTCATGCAATCTTCACCTTCCCCCTTAAAAAAATATATATATAAAAAAATCGCGCGCGCGTCCCGTCCCCACCCTGGGAAGACGCGTTCGGGGCGCGTTGGCGCGTGACCTGGCTGGGATAGGGTTGAGCTGGGCTGGGTTGGGGTTGGGCAGAGATAGGGAGGGATGGATCGACCAACGAGCGGGGCTGTGAAAGTCGGTATGACTGTTCTGCGACCGACTGCGACGTGTCGTGTCGTGTCGCGCGTTGACCGACGACGCGATCCTGAGATTCCTGACTGAGGAGTCTGAGGACAAGGCGCGAGATTGTTAATTGTCTTGTCCTCGATTCTAATTTAACATTTGCGCGGTCGGCTGGGATTGGGATTGGGATTTACGGCGATGTCATTAATCCAGGAAACTTGTTTTGTTAGTAAGTCTACATGTAACTACATGTATGTACCCACTCTTCACACTTCAGGCGCATCGAGAACAGCGACGCAATGGGCATTTTGATCGCTGGGTGAGGTGAGGCCTGCTGCCAGAGTACCTACATCTTCGCCTTCGTACTAAGGGGCGGAAAATGAGACGCTCAGAGGTGTATGCTCCAGTTTTGCGAAATGAAGATGATCACCGGAACCGACCCTACCCGTCCCCTAATTCGTAGATAGGGACCTCTGCCTGTTTACCACTCCACTCAATAACTTGCACAACAACCACTTTCTCTCGCTCTCTGCGAGAGTAAAGTGTATATTTCCATATCCTACACTTTATATTAGTAGAAGATCGAAGAAGGAGGGGAAGAAGCAAGAGTCAACCATTCGTTTCTGGACTAGCAGCTTGGAGGTTGAACGAGTGATTTCTCATGATTAGCAGTACACATCCCTGGGCCAAGACTGCACGAGACTTGGAGCTGCGTGTAGATATTTAACCAGAACGATAAGAAATACCAGTATAACAGAGATCCCTCTAGGAGGATACATTTAGTAAGTCAAGTATCAATTTTTCTTACTACCCTCGAAATGTCAATTGACCGACACGCATGTGGTACTGTATTCACTACTACATACGTTTGTAATGATATTTGGACTATGGTGGGTAGACTTCTTCTTCCTAGGGTAAATCGTCGTCTCAATTAACACAAGTATCTTGATATGAGTGACTTTCTTTATAGAAGGAGCTCGAGGATGGGTACTGCAAGGCGTTGTGACTCTCAGTCGCTACAAAAAGACCAAGTTATTGGATGAGAAGGAAGACGATTATCTGATGTATTAAGAGGACGACCAGAACTTCTAGCTTTATACGACACGATTTAGGACAGTTTGTCACGTCACCTGTTCTTTGCCGTAAGTCCACAGTTGTGATATACGTAGCTGATAGTCACGTACACCGTACGACAGCACTCTGTCCGGGGGTATATACACATAAAGGCCACGTCCTAATCTGTTCGATGACCAAAATCTACATTACTCATACGGTTTTTGCGCCATATCCTCAAATCATATGCGTGATATGGGTGGCTTTATGTTTTATTCGTAATCCTTTTTAGTAGAACAAGAACGGCCCCCAAAGCTGAAGATACCTATCAAGTATATACGCAGATATACCGAGTATGCAATATCCAGTCTAAAGAGCTTTCAATTGTCCGTGTTTAAGAATCTGCGCGCATTTCTAATATGGGCTTCTGTAGCTTGCCGATTCTGAGCCGTCCAGATTGTTGGTATCGATGATTGTAATTGCCTGTTATTGGTACAATCAGTAGTTCCGACTTCTTTTCTAGAATGTTGTTTGAGTCAGGCAAACAATAAACATCATAGCGGGTTGTTTGAGCCGTGAACTTGGAGCGCACGGGGTAGTTCAGGGCTTTATATGATTGTTGTGTTGGTACGTGATAGATACATGTACTGTGTATGTATATGCTCAGCTACAGATACTGTTCAGGCTAGAACTTGCTCCGGAATCCGGCCGGAAAGTGCTTGTACATATAATACTATTTAGATTCCGTACCGGCCCACCGAGGCAGCTAGAAGTGCATGCAGTTATGAACCCTCGCCTGTCCATCCAACAGTAAGAAGTTACATGTAGGTATATGTAGTCAAAATAATCCACCCCTTCATCATAGAATATAAAGTCGTACCGGAAACACATATCGTAATTCATCTTAGCCTGTACTTACCTCCGCAGCCTAATTACTAGTTAAGGTCTTTTTTGATCCAGACAAGATATATTCTACAAACAGATAGAAAGGGTGAGAATAGAATAATGGGAAGAAAAATAAAAGATGAAGATAGAATAATGGGAAGAAAATAAAAAATAAAAGTTAAATACCAACGATACAAAATCAAACTAAGCAAGTAAATTCAAAGATAACCAAGAGGATGAGAACAGTTCACCCTTCTACCGGGAGAAGGCTCGAACCCGTGATTCCTCCTAAAATTAGAATCGAAGAAGCCCTCTGAAGAATGGAAAGTCAATAATAAAGTGTGTAGCGAAAGAAGGCCCTATAACGACAACGCCAATCGCAAAAAAAAAAAAAAAAAAAAAAAAAAAGAGAATTCAAGCCAAAGAAAGCCGTCCTGCCCTCCATATCTATAAACAACACCCCTTCCTTTACCCATTTCCACATCTTGCCGCAACGTGTTGCTTAGTCACAAATTCACTAGGCATATCCAATTGCTGAGTCCTCATAAATCTTTACTGCTTCTTGTTGCGTGCCTCCAAATCACCTTCGGCCAGCGAAACAGCTGCCTTGACCAGCTGCACAACATTAACGATTTGCTTTGCGGCGCAAACTGGGAAGGTAATCGCCGCAACGACCCACGGCCATGAGTGAATCGTCATGAACTGGGGGAAGCTAAGGAGATACATGGCGAGAAAGAAGACCTCATTCGCTGCGCAAAAAATGAATAAGACTTTCTATGGGCAGGTTAGTTGCCTGCGAAGCAAGAAGTTGAACCAAAATAAAGTGGAGAGACAATTGCGCACATTATTGGAGTAATAAAGGTTCAAAATACGAGAGCGTGTTTTCTCAACTTTCTTGTGTGAGCCGGCACCGCGATCGAGTGATGCATACCTGCGAAGCCAATTGTTTAGCGCTCTAGATTCATGGAGAATGCTTAACCACCGGAAGGCTTACATATGCATGTAATGACTCGCCAAGTCCAAACTGATCAGAGACTGGAACAGGATGGCCCATTTTGGATACGCCGAGGACAGGAAGCAAAGCAAGCAGCTCGTCGTACATCTGTCGGTGACCATGTCCAGCACAGCACCAAACTTGGTAGATTGATTGTACTTGCGGGCAGCATAGCCATCGAGGGCATCGAGGAGACAGGAGATTGAGTAGAGGATGGTACAATAGTGGGGGTGGTAGGACATGTAGTAGAGGGAGGCACCAGCAAGTACCACACGAGCATAGCCTAAGATAAATTAGTTATTACTATTACGAAGAAACCCGTTAAAGGGTTGGATCTAGTGATAGGGCTGCATACCAATCAAATTGGGGATAAAGAGGAAGATGTTTTCCGGCCGAGGCTCTGCGGACATTGCCGCGGACTTTGATCCAGTTGATTTGGCCATTGTTGAGGTGGAGAGATGAATCAATAGGGGGTTGAGGTTTGTAATCGAGACAAGATTTGGAGATAGAGAATAATCCTCTGTCTGTAGTTCTTAAGTGTGGGCACGCGACAGTGTGTACAGCTAGACGTAGTAAAGCGTGATTAGGTGGTTGTTTCTCTCTACTCGGGGTGATTTGAGTGAGAGGGAGGGAGATGGGGGGAGACTAAGTGGTAAGACGGATTGCTTACAAAAAAGCATAGAGTGTTCAAATCATGGAGAGGAAGGATGGTTTATGGATATAAATGGAAAAAAAGAACTGATAACGGTTACCAAGACAATAAATCGTAACTTACATTAGAGCTGTTTGTTTCCAGAGTGTACCTCGGCGTAGGTAGGTGCAATTTTGTACTTACCGCGACACAGCAAGAGCAGCACTTGGGTCTATCAGCACCTGCAATTGGTGGTGGGGAGAAGGAGGGGTGATAGATAAAAGAGCGTCAGGGACCCGAGACAAGAAATATCGATATCAATATCAAGAAAGAAGAGACGGAACGGTCAAGCTGTTGTTCAGTTCACGCAACGGGAAAACAGCGCAAGATAAGTGAGCGATGGGTGTGTCTGATGTAGTGTGCGTGCGAAATCTGGCCGCATCCCGACAGCACGGGTGCTGTAGCAGCCCAGCCTGATGTGCACAGGTTGGAAATCGATGTGACTAAGCAGAGGTGAAGAGGTAAGCCCATCATGCCCAAAAGTCCCTCTAAGCAGAACTTGCAGGAACGTTAACATCTTCAACGTCTCGCCTTGTGCCGAGCTCCCTTCTCCTTACCGCCGCAACAAAAAGTAGCAGCGCAGTTCGTGCCCGCTCCTTGTATCGATTGTCGGTCACATTCGCCAATCCCCGATCGCCGGACGTGCATCTTGAGTTTTTTCTTTACGGCGGCGCACGCGCTTCTTCTTGTCTCCCTTCATCCCAGACCGTAACCTACCTCTCTACCTTACGTGATTTATTACCTACCATACATACCCAGAATCAACAAAAGAGACAGCTGCAACAAAGCTTCATGGAAAGCGACTAGCAACTTCATCGAGCTCTGTTACGCCAGCCAGCCAGCCAGCCCCCAACTCCCCCACCACTCTTTTGCTGCAGAGCCTCATCGTCATACCCAGCAATACATGTATCCACACAGCCAGATTATACATACATACAAAACCTATACTTGCACTTACGTTCGCATCTGCGCCAGTATCACTCGTCTAGTTCCGTTCTACATATAACCCATCGTACAGAAATAAGTCATCACGTTAGCCCTGCCACACCACTTAACCTTAATTCAACTACAACGTCAGGCTACCACTCACTACATCCCACCTACCACCCCTCCCCCCCTGGATTTGATCTGATCAACATCACACCCCACCCACCCGCCCGCTTGCCCACCCACCCCAACACCTCTCCTCCAACTACCTCACCCCCCCCCCCCATAGTATAAGGGCAAGATATGTCCACCTCAACTTCAACATCATCAAAGACGCCCCCCCTACATTCTCGTATCAAGCTGAATCCAGTAAACAACACCGCTCCCCGTACATATACGGGGAAGCATCTCCCTCCAGGGCAACAACGATCAGTGGGCTCTGGTACGAAAACTCGCCCGCCCCCATTACCTTCACCCACACCAAACTCGAATGGTAGCGGCGGAAATAACGGCGGGGCTGCAAATGGTGCTTCTAATGCGAATACCGGTCCAGGCACGAGGATATCCGAACGACGAAGAACAACCCACAAGCCCGGTGAATTCGCGAATCTAGCAAAGGGAAAGGGTAGGGGGGTAGTGTGGACGACAAGGGGAAAGGCATCGGGGCAGAGGAGGAGGGGGAGAGCATTGTTGTCCGTGGGGTACCGGCAAAGGTTGGTTTACGTCTTTCGGGAAAGAAGCCTTTGCCATTTGTTACGGTATGGAGTGTGGAAGAGAGGGACAGCGCACAACTATAATGGGAAACTATCATGGAAATGCAGGAACAAAGGACAACAGCTGACCTTGTAAACCCGCCGTGTACAGAAAAAGAAACTCCCGCGCGGGCCGTTCGTAACTACTACTTCATCTATCCTAGAGAAGTATCGGGGCCAGCCGCCAAGCATCATAATACATCTGCATCCCCAGCACTTCCGATTCGAAGGGCAAGACGGAAGTTTCAGCTATGGAAGTCCTATGAAGGTAAGATTGACTTTTACCCCCTGCATAATGTGGCGGCGATGATCATCGGATTCTTTGATTGGATAGGCGTTTAACATTTCGGCGCGCGGTGTCACAGGCATTCTTAGAGTACCTGAAATCTGAAATAATTCCCCATGAAGTAGTGGAAGAATTCAGAGATGCTGGAACAAAGTTCTATGACGGTATGTTTATAGTTCCCCACCCACCCCCCCCCCCCCACATCTCAAACCCTCTACCTTACTAAACAATCTCCTAGGCTGTCTTATCGTCCAGATCCATGATCACCGATCTGCAACAATTACCTCTTCTTCAAAGAAAAATGATAACAAGGATATTCCATATTCTATCCATAATCGCAGTTTATGGCTCACGCCTTCCCCCTTTGTTCCATTTAAGGAACCGCCCTGCACAAGATCTGGGGCTTCATCGGGAGAGAGTGAAAATAACAAGGAAAATCCGTCAAATACTAAAGAAGACAAGGACCCAAAGGATGTAAAGACGGAGAAGAAAACCAGGATATTCACTACAGTTCTTCACCCTTCTGCTATGACTCTCCATGGAGATATGGCTGTTCTAGCATCTACACCTGTTCCGGTAAGATCGATCAGTTTTTCTAGACAACAGCCTTTATCTGCGGCCGGTACACCGACCTCCGCTACTATGACAATACCTCCCACGCCAACCATGAATGCACGAACAAAATACACTACTGTAATAACGGAAAAGACTGCTGCGCAATTTGAAGCGAGTGTACTATTGGCCACATCACCCGCTCTTTTACTTACCCCAGCCAAAGACCCCGAGCATTGTCAAAAAATAATCAATACTCTACGGAATCCCTTGAACTCATTTCCTTTACCCCCGCCCAAATCGCGAAAAAGAACAACCGCAGAATTGGCCGCAGATGAAGCACAGGCAGCAGAGGAGGAGCGCGTGCTACTTATTATGGACGAGCGGCACTTCTCATCTTCCCATGCTCAACCGGAATCTGCAGTTGGAGATGGTGTTGGCGGGGGTGGAGGCTTTGAACCAAGCTTCAAGAGGTTCAAGGTGCTGGAGGAAATCAAGCGTAAGAGAAATGAGCAAAAGGAGAAGGAAAAGGCGGAGAATCAACGGCAAATGGAGAGACAAAAGGATATGAAGCGAAAGGAGGAGGAGAATCGACGAGCGGCAGCTAGTAGGTCATCGCAACAGGGAAGTCCGGTTTTGGCGCAAGGTCCTATGGCTATGGGTGTACCTCCAAATCCAGCCCAGATGGTGGCGCATGGGCAAATGGCAGCAGCGCAAGCACAAATGGTAGCACCTGGTCAAATGCCAATGCCATTAATGAGGGGTCTACCTCCCAATACGGCGGCCCAAGCTAACGGTGTCACTGCCACGGCCCGCCCTGGGAGCGCCGGGGCGGGCCAGGGGCAAGTCCAAGGGGCGAATAATAATCCAGCCCACGTCACGATGAGGACTCCGCATCATATGGCTCAACAAAGTCCAATGCAAGCGCTGCGCCATCAAGCTCAGCAACAAGCACATGCGCAACAAGCACAGCAGGCCCAGCAGCAGCAGCAGCAGCAGCAGCAGCAAGCCCAGCAGCAACAGCAGCAACAGCAAGCCCAGCAACAGCAACAGCAGGCCCAACAGGCTCAACAGTCTCAACAGGCTCAACAGCAGCAGGGCCACCAGAACGCGCATTTACAGCACCAACAGCAGCAAGTGCAACAGCAACAGCACCAACAGCAGCAGCAGGCCCAACAGGCCCAGCAGCAGGCCCAACAAGCCCAGCAGGCCCAGCAGGCCCAACAGGCCCAACAAGCCCAACAACAGGCCCAGCAGCAGGCCCAGCAGCAGGCCCAGCAACAGGCCCAGCAGCAGGCCCAACAACAAGCTCAGCAGCAGGCGCAACAGCAGGCGCAACAGCAGGCGCAACAGCAGGCGCAACAGCAGGCGCAACAGCAGGCGCAACAGCAGGCGCAACAGCAGGCACAACAGCAGGCCCAGCAGCAGGCCCAGCAGCAGGCCCAGCAGCAAGCACAGCAACAGGCCCAGCAGCAGGCCCATCAGCAAGCACAGCAACAGGCCCAGCAGCAGGTCCATCAGCAGGCTCAGCAGCAAGCGCAGCAACATATTCAGCAGCCTGGTCACCCTCAACTCAGCATGCAGCCACAACCGCATCCATCGCAGCACCACCAGATGACACAGGCCTCTGCCAACCCAGCGCTAGTTGCTCAAGCCCAGTACAGCCAGCTCCAACAACAACAGTTGCAACAACGCCTCGCTGCACAGACTGCTGCACAACACCAGTCCCCGCGTCCTACCCATCTTTCGCCCCATGTTGGCCATCAATCACCCCACCTGGGTCATCCCTCCCCACATATGCAGCATAATTCGCCCCGTATTGCTCAGCAGTCCCCGCACATGCAGCATGCCTCTCCACGCATTCCGGCGCAGATGACTCCACAACAGCATCAGAGTGCCATGCTTGCGCAGCAGCAGCAGCAGCAGCAGCATGCACAACAACAGCAGCAGCATGCACAACATCAGCTACTTTCACAATTAGCTCAACAGCAGCAGGCGTTAAACCAAGGCATGAACCAAAACATGAACCATGGCGCACGCGCAACCATAATTGGAAAGACATCTGGCGCAAGTCTTCGTCCTGGGAACCCAATGGTCGGCGCAAGATCACAGCCGCAGCAACACAATTTCCAGGATTTGGGGTTTGCGCTTAGCGGTGCTGGGGGTGGGGGTGGGATGATGATGGGAAACATGAATGGCATGCAACCGGGAGGTGGGATGCAAATGCCGCCTGGGATGAATAGAGAAATGATGGTGATGATGCGGAATGCCACTCAAGGCATGGGAAGAGGAGGGCGGCAGTAGACGGTATGGAAGTTTCTACGGAGGTTTCTTTCTTCCTACGACTAAGGGCTATTGATTTTATGTGCTACGGCTTTTGGACCTGTTGGATGGCGATTTCGTATTTGGTAGGGATCTTTGCTAATTCCCTGTTTTTTTTTTTTTTTTTTTCTCCAATTATATCATTGGAATGTGGGCGTGCGCGGGGGATATGGAAACTTTCTTTTCTTGTTTAATTATTTTTTCGATTGGGTTGGCGTCCTGTTCTTGATTTGAAACTATTTAAACGTTTCTCAGCCTTTTACCCTCTTTTTTTCTTTCTTTCTTTTTCCTTTGGGGTATATCATATCGACCGCAAATGCGGATGTTAATCTGTTAGAAAGCTTGGATTTGCACAGTTGTAGTTGTGGGTGTGTAGGAGGATGAATAAATGGCGCTCTTCTTGTTGGAATACGATACGGAAATTTGCAAGTACTTGATGAGAATGACCATGTTTTTCTTTGTTTTTGTTTATCTCCTTAGTTTCTTATTTTCCTAATTTCTCTCTACTTTTTTCTTTTTCTTTTCTTTTTTCTTTTTTCTTTTTTTTCAGACGAAGCGCAGGGTGGTTTATCTGAAAGACACGGATATATCTGGTGTGGAGGTCTCGATTTCTTGAGACGCTATGTACAGTTTTTCCCCAATTTTTTATTATTCACTTAGGTACATTGTTCTATAAGGGGGTTCTTTCCTTTTTTTTCCTCTTCCTTTCTATCTTGTCATTTCTATTTCCTATCACTTTTTTTTTCCTAACAGTTAGTCGAGTCGCTTTCCTAATAGAAAAAAAAAACACCATTTGCTCTTTATCGTTGTTGTTCTTTTTCATGTTTGGTGTTGGTGATAAATCGGGGGATCAAAACCATGGTTTTGGCTGCTACTGTTGCTATCAAACCCAACTGGCCTAGCTAGTCCTGTAACGGTAATAAATAAGCTTTCCACAGTGGTTTGACAGCTGCGATGTTCTGCGCTCCCTAGTGGCTTGGCAGTCTAATCCGCAAGTTTTGACCGACAGGCCCGCCCCATCTCATTCGATCGTGGGGAAAGGAGAAAAAAAAAAAAAAAAAAAAAAGGGAAGATGCAGATCCCCAACAACCATACCCCCGCCACCACCACTACTACCACCCCCGCTCAGGCTGATTTAGGGCGATGTGATATCATAGTCGATTGGGATAGCTATCGACCAGGTTAGTAGCTAGGTGTCCACAATCAGCTAGTTTGGGGGAGCCGCATGCAGCTTTGTTAGAACCCATCAGGCTCAAAGCACATCAGTACTTCTGCAAGCACAAGGTGTATCAGGGATCAAAACACCTGGAGATACGAATTCGTGGGAATCGTTATCTGGTTCCTCACAAAAAGTCGGGTTTATAATGCCATTTGTTTATCAAACCTCATACATTACACAGCATCTGCTTACGTTTTTCTTCCGTGGGCTTTGATTTCAGATACCCTCAGGAGTAAATCACTCTAGGTATTGGTGGTGCACGTGTGCTTTAATAATTTTATTCACAGCCTCCATTTTTGGCGGCAATAAGATTGATATCCAAGCCTTTCTATGCCCTCTCAACAACTTCAATGCAACTTACGGCGCTCAAAAAGCATATGCAATTGTGCTATAAACACTTTAGGGAAACAAAAAAAATTGTACTAAGAAAATATAAACAAAACCTATATACAAAAGAGATAATAAAGAATTACCGCCTTACTGCCTCACTACGCCACAACACACAGCACACTCCGTTTACCACGAATCAATCTTCATGGTGCCAGTCTTCTCGAGCTCAGTGTGCATCTTGAAGACGCTGTTCAACATGTGCGGCTGGTGGCCCCATCCCTTCTTCAAACAGATGCGCTCGGCGGTCTCGAAGTAATCCTTGAGCTGGGGCTTGTAGTCGGGGTGGGCACACTTCTCGATGATGACACGGGCACGCTCACGGGGTGACAGACCACGAACGTCGGCAAGACCCTGGTTTTCTGTTAGTATTGAAAGACATGCCTACGGTGAATAGAGGAAACAAACCTGCTCAGTGACAATGACGTCCAAGTCGTGCTCAGTCTGGTCTACATGGGAAACCATTGGCACAATGCAAGAAACACCAGTGGGGTCGGTCTTGGTGGGTCTGGTTGAAGGAGTGTGCATAATGGAGATCTTTGCGTTTCTCAAGAAATCCGCAGATCCACCCAAACCATTCAACATCCTTGAGCCGGAGACGTTGGTCGAGTTGGCGTGTGCGTACATGTCAACCTCGACGGGGGTGTTCATACCGATGACACCAAGACGTCTGATGATCTCGGGGTGGTTGGAAACGGTCTGGGGGCGGAGAATAAGCTTGTCGTAGTACCTGTCCCAGTTGTCATAGAACCTCTTGAAACCATCGGGAGAGAAACGGACGGAGGTTGCAGTGGCAAAGTTAAGGTGACCAGAATCGAAAAGGTCGAGGAAGGAGTCCTGGAGGACTTCGGTCCAGACGGTAAGATTGGAGAAACTGGCCTTGCCCTTGGCGAGACCACCAATGACGGCGTTGGCGATGTTACCGATTCCGGATTGTAGAGGAAGGAGACTAGGGGGAAGACGGCCCTAGATTCTATGTTAAAAATTTATACAATGGTCAAGGGGAAGAGTATGGAATACCATCTTGACTTCGTGCTGGAGGAACTCAATCAAGTTGTCTGCAACAGCCTGACTAGTAGCATCCTCAGGCGCATTGTCATTGGTAACATCAGGCTGTCTGCTCTCTACAATAGCCACAATCCTGTCAGGGTCAACCGGAATATGAGGGGTCCCAATTCTGTCCTCAGGGGCCATAATCAAGTACGGCTTCCTGTTAGGGGGAAGATCGGTCATGGTGATATCGTGGAGCCCTTCGAATGAGGGTAACAATGTGTTGACTTCGACAATGATCTTGTCGGCCATTTGGATGATTTCAGGAGATGCTCCGACGGAAGCACCACAGATGATACCACCCTCTTCGGTGATGGCACTGGCCTCAATGACAGCTACGTCAAGACGGTTCTTGGGGCGGTCCATAGTGTAGTATCCCTAAAAATCTATCAGAATACATACCAATGCAATTCATTTTTCAAAGATTACTCACGTAAATCAGATCGACGGGAAACATGGAAAGATGCTTGTCAAAGAACTTAATCCTGCCATTGTTGATACCCTTTGCAATTTCCTTTCCGACTTGATGGGGTGATCTTCGCTCAATCATATCGAGCCTGGCCCATCTGTTCTCAACATCTGCACCGGAGGAAGCGCCGACAAAGAGAGAGTATCTCATCTGCCCTTGGAGCTTGTTGTTCTCAATGTGGTCGGCCAATGCCATGGGTACTATCATTGCATCATTCATTAATACTCGATACCTTTACTATTGAGTCAATGGCCACATACCAATCTTGGGAGCACCAACACCGGTGAATCCAGACCATCCAATGTATGCGCCATTGGGGAAATGATGAATGAGATCCTCCGGCTTTGCGAGCTTCTTCAGCAACGCAGGACGGCGGACTCGCGCTTTGAGCGCAGCAGAAGCAACCATAGATCCAGACATGATTTATACAGTGACCAACAACCAGCCGGCTGGCAATACACAAGAAAGGTGATTGAGTGGAGAGGGAATGAGATAGATGATCTGGGGGAAGAAGAATCAAGATCAGGGCCGTTGGAGGGGTTTATGTACTTGCGGTCCCGGCCCCGCAATAGCCTTACAGAAGGCCGGCCCGGCTTTAAATTTCTCCATGGGGTGATGTTTGCTTTTTTCTTCCCCTCTGTGGAGGGGAATTTGATGAAAGTAACAGCGCTTGAGTACATAGCGAATACATATATGCCTGAAATAACCTAAGATTACTTTGCTGTGCTTCCGGCGCGGCATATGCAAGCCCTGTGGAAGCCTTTGAATGGTTGTGTTATTGTGACAGCTTCCGTTCCTCCATCGATTGTTCTCTGCTAACAAGCTTCCTTCGACCATGCACTTGGCGGAGCTGTCCCTGGTGCTGTTGGTGCTCCCATACAAATGTTCCGCGGCTTCTCACCACCTGCTGACGTCATTTCCGCCCGGCCGAAATTTATCCGAGAAGGTACCGGTTACATAAGTTTTTTTTTTTCTCCCCGGTGGGGTTCTTCCGGAAACTAAACTGCATCAGTCTGTGACAGAAAAAAGGGTACCGGGGAACGTTGAGATTGGCGGGAAGGGTGTGTGGGGATAGATGCTAGTAGCCGGAGTTGTGATCTTGGGGATCATGGAATCTCACTCGCGGGGAGTACAAGGTGTGCAGGGTGTTTTTTTTTTTTTTGTTTAATTCACTAATTAGGTGTGCAGGGTGTATCACTACTAGTGGATACAGACAGCAAGGAGATCGAAGCGTCTGCAGAATCAACTATTCATTAAGATATAAGCACGAGCACTTATTGTGTAAATCATGAGTAGGTCATATGCATAAGGAACAAAAGTCATTTCTAGATATTGGTAACCCCTGGCGTTTCTGTGTAATCTAGAGCTATGAAGGACGGGGACCCTGCATTAGTAGCAAATCGTTTGAAATCCTGAAAATACCTTATCGTTCCTAGCAGATCGAAGGCTCGATCTCCCGTTCCATTACCCCCCAAAGGGGCTCCGCTATGCACTCTGGGGGCTAGAGGTGTAAAACGTGGTACATACATGTAGTTGAGTGCTTGGTCGTATGTATTATGGGTTATCAAAATTATCCGGACGCTCGCGCCGCAACCAAATTTTGAAACTACTTTAATTGAGCTTATATTGAACCTTAAAGTAATAGAGGCACAAGAAATCACAGTAATCAAATCACTTGTACTCCCTCCTTATGGTTGTGGAGAAAGGCGACGTTGAAGTTAAAAATTTGATTGCAACAATGTTCGGATAATTTTGATAACTCGCAATACCTAATCCATCAAGGATCTATCTCTCTCACGAACAACCTGCCGTTCTCACTCACCCCAGCTCCCCATCTCCCCAGCTAGCCATGACCCTGTCCCATATCAAAAGCTTCTCCCTCTATCCCAGTTATATTGTCTACCGGGTTGATGCCATCGCCTAAATTATAAAATTACTCCTTCCGATCTCCAGGCACGTTGCGTCATTGCACACGATTCCTAACCAGAAAAATGAGCACAGGAGTGATAAAGGACTATCAATCTTCCGTGTTAAAAGGTGGTGGGAAATCCCCGTGTCTGGCTGGAATTCACAGATAAAAGATTCACAAGGACCGCTCTACCGTAAGGTTTGAAAACTTAAAGTTAGCGTTGGCCACATCTGGATGAAGTGAGTTTTAGTCGAAAAAGTCTTAGAGTGTTACAATCATAATGAAGTTCGAAACAGGCGGAAAGTGATAATGGTACCACAATTTGGAATTTCTCCCACTGTCCCCACCAACCCCGCCATGTCCTTTTCCTTTCCCTACTGACGATGCATGACTTGCACCCTTACCGCGTTTCCATACTTACAACGAACCTTCCAAATATATGCTGATGTTCCGATAGGTGTCAGGAACACATACTAATACGACGAGAAAAACAAAGATGGACGGAAATGGAGCTCTAGGAGAGGTACTGGACCCACCACTTACCGAGATCTCTAAAGCCGTCTTGACATGTCGTGTCGCACACATATATGTGTTCCGTTCATCCCACTGGCCCGGCCCCCAAACACCGTGTCATGTAAGGCTGACATTCCTCCAGTGATTTGTTCTGTTTCCATATGACATGTATGCCTTGGCCTTGTATCCCTCTATCCAACCAGATTTATCGCTATCTTGAGGCTAAGATTTCGACTCCTCATTATCCCACTTGAGTCTGGGGGATCACTTCTTCGAGGGTTGATTCACGTACGGATATAGGCGGTTACTCAAATATTTACGGCTGAAATGTCTTGGACACACCAACTCCAATCACCAAGGCTGCCCGGGGCTGAGATAAGAAGATCGCCTTGAGGTCGCTCAACTGTATCGGACTTTGGCCTTATTTGGCCTTAGAGCACAATTACGAGACCAACGTCCTTAGTAAAAACAACCTCTTGGGAAGTGATTAACACGAATCAGTCTTTAAGTTCAAGCCAGCTTGGTTTAAAGTTCGTGCCCGCTTGGCTTGTTCTAGTGCTTAAAGGAATATGCTATTCATGGGGCGTACCCCGTTTCCATCTGAAAATATATCCTGTGCTTTCGGTTGGTCAGGGATATCGCGTTCTCTGCTTTAAGGTAAGAGATCGGCTCATAGAGTGGAATAACTATTTTATTCTATCGATCTCGTACGTTTTCAATATATTGTGAACTTTATCATTAGAAATCGTAAGTCACTCGCAACTGTTTGTAGGCGCTATGTCTAATACTCACTTCATTGAGACCAAAGTATTTGTTCAACAAAAGCTACCCGAATATCTTTTAATTACTCTTCTTTCGAAGAAGATAGTACGCTGGATGTATGGCCCTTCTTATCCGCCAAATGATACTAACTATAGGTTACATTACCTGCGCGTAATATTCAATCATTTCTGGATGGATAGGTATTCTATGAATCTAGGTAGAATTAACAACCGATTACGTGGAGCCCGGCGGTCTCTACTAGTGTCAAAAAACTCACCTCTGTGCTGTTCGAGTTTTCCCCAAAATCTTTATATCATATTTCTCCTGCCGTGCACTCTTAGGACCGGGCGCTATGGGAAATATCTACCTAGCTGGCCACATAATCCTCTCTCAAACCCTCCCCTACTAAACTGAAATATAAACCCGTGAGCCTTCTAGATCTCATCTTCAAAGGCCGGATCCTCCTGTCTCTACGTACCAAGCTAGCTACGCATATAACCTTGGCGGAATTAGTATATGGATAACCACTAAAGATCGTAGGGTAAAAAAGCAGCATGAGACGCAAAGCTTTAAAAGGTAATCTCATTACTCCCTTGATATTTCATTTCTTTAATTTAGTTCAATTACTCGCTAGACCATTTCTCCGAGTGATCCCTTGTGTTCCAGATTGTTACCCGGCCTATACTGCATGCATGCAGTTAATTATGCATGCATGCATAACCACCCATAAACACCTTCATATCAATGTTAATGTCCGCAGGCGAGTAGACCAAAATTACTTTTCGCGGGTTGCACCAACAAGCCTTTTTCGGCACGCCCATAGTAAGGTACATGTACCTAGACCAGAGTACAGTACGTACTATCATACGTATGTACATGTAGTAGTACGTACACGTCGCGACAAACGCACCGGGCGAAGCTACGCAGCCACAGAAGAGGCTTGTTGAGATGCGAGCTCTGGCGAATCTGCGAATATCGCTATATATATAAGATATTAATCTATATACCGGACCGATATTTTAGGCATGACTAACATGTTAGGCAAGCGCCAATTTATATACCCGCCTTGGTATTAATGATTATCGCGTTATCCCGCCTCACTTGTGCCTATAAGGCATTTGAGGCTGAACATTAGATCGTTTATGTGTGGTTGATCATGAATTTGGACTATCTCCCGCCGGCGAAGAAAGAAAAACTGCATGGTGGGAAAGGGCTGCTGCACTAGATTTTTTTTTTTGGTGTGCATTCACGGCAGTAAACTGCTCCGTTGCATATTTAGTGCACAAAGTTTATAGAACCGTCTCAGTTTGAATATCCAACAACCCTTTTCGATGATAGGACTGGTAGACACTTTTTTAACAGCGAAATAAAGTCATGGATTATCACTCGATTCGATGTACTCTAATACACGATACTTTAGACTCAGGCGGAATGCATACCGCATAGTAGGTCAGCTTCAAAGAGCTGAAGCTTTACATGAAGCGCCATAGGAGAAGTTGATTCTTTGAACAGATACACACATAGGGGAACTAGGTGATTGAACTCCAACATCTATAATAGATTATTCCCGGACGGTAGTTATTGTCGGGCGGCGGATCTGCTTGTTTTCGTCCGACTCTGAAGCCAATTTTTGACTGGCCTTCCATGTGGCCACACCCGCTGTGTGATTGGCCTTATTGGATCTCTGACTCTGAGCTTGGTTGTGGAACTATCCGTTATGTATTTCTCGCACACTTTACGGCTACGCCAAGTCCCCCAGATAAATACGAGTGACACATCATGATTCGAAATGCCCTATTTCGATACCGGTCTCGCAGATCATCCGCTCCTGCAGTGCAGCATCGATCCCGTCCCACCAACTGAGGACAAATTCAGAACCGAAGTTTGAAAAGACAGTCGCATTCCCACCAGGTATTCCATAAAAGTGGATTCATAAGAGAATCCCGACTGACTGGATGAGTACTCTAGGTAATGTAGGAAATTAACATCATCCCCGAAAGATGGGAAGGGTTATGTGATGCATATCGTTGATTTGATTTGATTTTTTGCTGTTTTATCCGGTCTCTTATTCCGGACGAACCATCTGCAGGTAGTTCAGGAAGAGAAGAAAAAAGAACTCAACTACACGGCTAGTTGGCATGGCAGACTCTACGGGTATTTTTTCGCTACCACCTTGACGAGTGGGTACTGCAACACGTCCAAACCGAAGAAGCAGTAGTAGGAGAGGGTAGCTATGCTGTGTAAAGAAAACGAGATCTTGTCGCAAAAATGAACCCTTTCGAATGTGCCGCGGAACGAAAGATTCCCGGAAAACAATGCACTCGTTCAGTAGAGTTTATCTTAGTCTTGGTAAATCTCTGATACGACGAGGGCGCTTTTAAGCTTCCTCCCCCTTGCCAACCCTATGCCGATCGTGCATGTTTTGGTGGATGATGGACGGGACATGCACAACACAAGTCGTCAACGGAATAAAGCCTTCGCGCCCTGTACGCACAGGATCCACATAGTGAGTGCAAAGGAGGGAAAGAGGATTAATTGGGTGGTGTAAACTGGGTAGAATAAGCCTCTGGCTCCCTCTTCCGCGAGATATTTTTCTACACTATGTCGTTCTGTGCGGATTTGTAAACTATCGTGACGATACGATTTCTCTCCGGAAGTTGTTTCTCCTCATGCGACCTCCAGGGCCGACTGATGGGCGCCATGGGCTGATCTGGCAATCTGGTTGGTTGATCGTTGCAATTGTGGGGAAGGGGGAAAAGAAGAAACTTCACACCTTGTGATAGCTACATAAACTACAACTCCTCCTTACCTGCCCAGTGAGCTCCTCCAATTAAATGGGAAGCCCCGTGATTGATGTATTAAATCCACAGTTGCTTCCCCACACTAGAGAAAGGTCCCGCTCCCCCCGCCCACTCCTCTGTACTCGGCCATTTTCTCTTTATTTACTTGTCCGAGGCCGGGGAGGGGGGGGGGGTTTGTTGAGTAAAGTAAAGTACTGCTGGTCTGGCTCCCTGCATGCAGCTGTCAAGCATGAGACCACAAAGTATTGCTGATCTGATCCCTTGGCGCGCGCCGGGGAGCACGCAACGAGCGAAAAAAATAAAAAAAATAAAAAAATCCAGGAACCTTGAATTCTAAACAGGAAGTAATATATGGACAGCATTTAAAGTATCACAACATTCGATTATTGTCCCATTATCTATTTGTTCTCGCTGAAACAAAGAGAGTCGGAAAGGGAAGAAAAAAAGTGGCTCATCCTCTCACCCCATAACAGTTGTTTACTTTTTTCCTTTTCTTTCTTTCTTTTCACCTCGCACGGGAGACGCGTGCCGATCTGGACGCCCGACGACTCGCTCATCGGCCACGTAGAGCGGAACTGGGGTACAGAAGATGACGGAATATTGCGCAAGGAAGCGGATTTATGGGAACGATTTTTTTTTACAAGATGGATTTTCATACTTTGAAGGGAGAAAAAGTGCGTTCATGGAAACCTAAAAAAAAAAAAAAAATTTTGAAATTGACGATGTGCGATCGATCAATTATTAGGTATAGTAAGTGGTAGTAAGTAGATACAAGAATATCCCGAATTAGCTTTATGCGCACGTGAACGTGTCTGAAAATACTGTCCAACGTGTTCTCAGAGATAGCCTGTGAGTAAGGTATCCTCAAGCCTCAACTATGTACCCACAGATGCGTTATGTATGTATCCCCAGATGTTGAGTTTATGTACTAGGATGATGACGAGCCGGCATATGCCAAGAGTGAATCCCTAGATGAGATTTGCAATACTGATTCGGCTCTATGAAATGTCTATAAAATAGAAGGTTAAGTCCGACCAAAATATCCACTGAAATAATACCACCCATTTCTCCAGGAAATCGAAACAAACGACTGTTGAAATCCCCCGTACTTGCACGCATACGCATCTTAACTGAGCGGGACGAATTCATTTGATGATCGTCACCTATTGAGATCCATCTAGTGAGATAGGTCGTCCAGGTATAAGATATGGCGGGTATAAGATATGGCGGCTGTATGTGTGATGTAGATTCGAAGAATGCACCATACGCTAAAGCACGCATGCTCGTTGGTGAAGTGTTATGTAGAGAAATATTCTCTGCTGCCATCTTAGATATCCCACCCGATACAATGAATTCAAACCCGACAAAGGAGACCCAGTTGAGATCCAACTATACTTCAGATCGTGAGGATGGGAAGAAAAGAAAATGAAAGTGATAGGAAAAAACCCGAACATATGATAGCGACCGACTCACTCCGTAACCCCCCATTTATGTAAAACTAGAAAGAATCAAAAGGAAAATTGACTCCAGCATCCCATCCCAGACGAAATTCAAGTCTTGCGCGACTATCAGCAGCAAGGTCCATTCTGAGGATTTTCTTGAGTGATCTCAAGGTTGTAATAATATGAGACAAGCCTCAAAAACAAATGGCCATATGAAGTGATAGCGAAAAAAGGTACTCGAGGAAAAAACAAAAGAAAGAAAAAATGCACATGTCCCCCTTTCATCCATCATACAAAAAATATCCAAAGATCCAACCGACCTTGACCACCAAGAGAGAGACCGAAGAGAATTAAGACGCCTATTTTCCCCGCTAACCGAAACTACCCTATGTCCGCCGCAATGTCAGGTTTCGTTGTATGTGCGTCGTTGGCCCGTCAAACATTGCTTTCTCCCTTTTCGAGCGAATGTGAACGCGCCGTACCATTTATTCCCTCTACGAGAATATTTCTGCGCAGAATGCAAATCGAGACCTTTGAACAATCCGAGAACAAGAATGTAAAAGAATATGAATGAAAAAAAGAAAGAAAATAGAATGAAGAATCTTCAGTCGAAAAAATCTATCCCAATAAGAGATGACAAAGAATCCCCAAGATAAAACCCTTATGCTATATGGTGACGAAATCCATAGGCATTGCGAAGGGAGCCGTTATCCATGAAAAATAGCTGAGAGTCGAAAATGAGGTCCAAGGATGATACTCATCCATTAAGAGGCTCCGGCAAAGCCAGCGGATTTCCTCCAGATTGCTATACAAATCATCCTCTAAGACCATGCCTTAAGGCCAAATTACAACACTATCAGTACCCATCTAGTTCCCTTTGCGCCTGAGCGTGAGCCTGGGCTGCAGCCTTTTCGGCAAGCTTGTCATCCCGAGCTTTGGCTGCCTCAGTACCCTCGTCCGAACAAGGTTCCTTGAACCAGTCGTGTTTTAATGCCTCTTTTGCTGTGATGCGCTTGCTTGGATCATACACAAATATCCTTTTGAGTAGATCGAGAAACTGTTTGTTGAAACGAGTGTTGGGAGGAATTATATCCTATTTTGTAATTAGAGAAAGAAGTGGTAATATCGGTGAAAGATAACATACTGGTAAACTTTTCATGGCATTTACGTATTTCTTACTAGCTCTGGTGGTCTCGGTATTTGGATAATCCAGCCGTGCACCCTTGAAGTACCTATTGATATTGAGTCAGATTTTCCTTGTAATCAATCCAAAGATGTACTTTGTTATTGGATAAAAACAACACCCGATTCAGGGGCCTTTTAACGATTCAAGAAGAGCTCAGGTTAAGAGAAAAATTCAACTTACTTTCCAATGAGGGTGGACGAATGATTACTGTTACCATTTCTCCCCAAAACGGACCTCACTAATCTTGTGTCAATCTTCTGGGCACAGACGGCTTGCATCATGGCCAAGTGCTCAAGATTATCGTGGGTTTGGAACAAAGCATCCCCTGTGTAAAATTCAACTAATATGCAACCGATACTCCACAAATCACATGGGAAGCTCCATCCCAGCCCTAGTATAATCTCCGGAGCACGGTAATGGCGAGTAGAGACAACGCTTGAATGATATTCGTCATCGAAGGTTGCTGACCCAAAATCAATGAGTCGAATATCAGTATCCAGAAGAACTCTACGAGAGCGGCCTTGGCGTTGTGTAGTTGTTGAGGAAGAAGGAATTGGCCGGTTGTAGGCATAATTTATAAACGAATTGTGTACCAAGAGTATATTCTCAGGCTTGAGATCAGTGTGGATCAAGTTAAGATCGTGGAGAACTAGGACTAGTCAACTACAACATGCCAAAAAATAACAAGGGGAAAATAATAATTACTCACAAGCAACACTTGTCAATAGCTGACGGGCAAAGCTCTGAATATGGCTGTTTGGAAATGGCGCAAAAGTATTGGCCTTTAGGAAATCGAAAACACTCATTCCAAGTAGATCCGTAACAATACCTACCCAGCATAAGTATTCTACCTTACCCAAAAATCCACCAGCCCGGCGAGATAGACCTACATATATGATTCCTGTAGTCAAAGCAATCCCGTAGATGGATACACTTGTTCTTATTATCCTTATCGTTGCAGGCCAAGGTAGATAAAACTCTTAATTCGATGCGTGAGGCATCACGGTACTTTTGAACTGAGCGAATGACCTTGATGGCACACTTAGTTCTCTTGACACGATCGTACGCCTCGACAACTTTGCCAAATGTCCCTTGTCCCAGAAGTTTTGTTATGTGGTCTGCAAGCGAACGATATGGTCAATTGATTATTGCTATAAGATGGGATGCAACATGAACATACATCGTGTTGTTAAATCGGTGTCAGGTGTTATGATATAATGACCATCATCGTCGTCAACCCTTACACCTAGGTTGCGGTCATTCTACACGGGTTACGTCAGCATAGCCCCACAAAATGCGGCCCGAAAAAAGCAACATCAAATATAAAAATGGATGAAACGCCTCCTGTGAAAAGACTTTGGATGGCTCCTGAATGCGCTGTCCAAAGGGAGATAAATATAAAAAAAATACCGAGATAACACCCACATCTTGGACTTGCATAACATAGACGTCTTTAGCCTTTATCGGAGGTTTTGGAGGAGGATGATAACTAGCAAAGGCATCAAGATTGGTGTTTGCAGCTGCAGCATGACTCGCTCTAGTGACCCTTTTCCTTTTTGGGCCGACGGTTGCTGCTGCAGCAGCTTGAGGAGCGTAGGAAGGCCCGGCAGTCCCGATCCCAGTTGATCCCAATGATGTTGCAGCTGTTGAAGAATTCCCGTTGATGCTAACAGTACTCGAATGGGTAGATAACGTCGTTGGGGATCCGTAAGCGTGCGGTGTTTGAGTGGAAGAATACGAGTGATGATCTGGGTAACCAGGATCGTACTGTGTAGTCTTTCGCTTTTTATCTGTATGAAGGATCTGTCCCCCAGAACCATTTGCGAGGTTATAGTGTCCAGTCATGTGTGCTGTACGCGACACAGTACTGGGTTGCTGTCTGCTCCCGCCAGATGGGGCGGGTTGCGGAGGCGGGGAGTCATCTATCACTATAATCTCTTTAGGAGGACCATTTTTGAAGTATTCGTCCCAATCGACGGGTCGTTTAGGATTTTTCCTCGAGGCAGGTTGGGATCTGGAAGCCATAGCCGAGAGGGTTGATGAACAGTCTGAGGAAGCAGAAACTGAAGAAGTTGGAGTCGCAGAGTTCGCTGTGGCTGTTGTGGAGGCCGGAGCCACCGGAGGTTGATATTGTAGTGGACTGGGGAGAGGTGCGTGGCGGACCGGGAGAATGTGGTGAGGATGTTGGTGTTGGTGAGGATGGCGGTGGTGATTGTAGTCGTATGTGTTATTGAAATTGAGAGGTGGAAGGGCCGAAGCGGTAGAGGGTGTAGACATTTCTAGCTTGGTTGTCCTTGAGGGAGGGGGGTGTGGGTGGGTGGGATCAGGGAAACAGAGGAAGGAGATAAATTTCCACCTGTTGAGAACCCAACGAAGAGGAATGGGAGAAGTAGAAATAGACTATTACTGAGTACACTGATCAAAGGCGACAGTCGTAACGTAAGTTAAATTACCAAGATGGCGACACTGTTCAGAGTCAGAATCAGAGTGGTGAGTGAGATTGTGAGCGCGAGACTGCGAGGTGCCCGGTATAGAGTATGGCTGAGAACGAGTAGTAGGGTTAAGAATAACGACGAGTGCAGACAGCAGGAAGTCGCGTCTAAAGGGCAGACAGAAGATGAGGAGGTAAAGCGACCAAGGTACGGGCAAGTATGATGAGGTATTCGGCAGGTTCGTGCGTAGTAGGTACAAGGTAGGTATGAGATATCCACGGCAAAGGGCGAACACAAATGGGGGAAATGAAGGAACTTCGCGGTTTCGAAGCTATGTCAAGAGAATATTGAGTACTGACTAACCGAAGACAACGAGAAACGGATCCTGTTGTTCTCCTAGATCCTTCTACTCGTATCCTTTGTCGCTTTAACTCACTGTCTATCTCTATCTCTTGCACCTAGAAGAGACAGGCCCTCTATGTCGTCCCTATCGGTGGAGGTTGTTCTGTTCTGCTGCACACCACTCCTTCGTTCCTCTCACGCTCTTCTTTCACACACACACCTGCTGCGTGCTGCTTGCTGCCTTGCTCTTGGGAAAGACACACTAAACTTGCGTGGGTGTGGAGCTCGTCCCGTCGATTTTCTCAATCACATCACCTCCAATCAAGAGTCTTGAAAGGCACAGCAACAGCAGCATTACCCGTTACCTGCTGCTTGCTCTTCTCGCCTGTAGATTGCCCTTGCCTCACTTGCTCTTTTTGTTGTGCGGTCTGAAGTATCGCGAATTAATGCAATTGCAAGACTGCACAAGAGGAAAATGCTTTGAAAGAATAAAGAGTTGCTTCCTCTCCCTATTTCGGTAAACCAGATCTCGAACCCTCCCAAACAATAACTCTCAACATCCGTGAAATTTATTGACTATAAATTTTGCCTAATACAGAACTTTAGCCCCACACTCGCGCTGACCGAACGGATTACCAAAGGATCTCCAATTTCATCCTTTGGTCGCGTCGTCCCCATCCCCACTTTCTGAGCGAGCCGAAACCACCGTCATTATTGGCCCAGCAACGAACGAGAGAGCGAAGAAAAGTCTGCGAGCAAAAATACATGCTTACTGTACCCCTACCCTAGCTAGTACCGGTATTATCGACAACATGCTCCTAAATTTGTAGACGCCGTGAAACCTTGACCTGGAGCAAAATTTAGTAAGAGAATGGAGATAAAAAAACGGCGATAGTCTTTTCTCTGCTCTGCCATAATGATAACCTTAAAGTTACAACTCAATCTTAGATAGGGACTGATCAAGCTTTAAATCCCAATCATTTATAATCTGTTTCGTTAAATAACGCTATGACTATGTGCTCGAGGGTGTGCTCTTGAAAATTGTACGGACCTCTGCTACATATACCTACTGGTCAGGCGTAGTCCTACCAAGCCTGAAAGAAAAAAGCCGGGAGGTAGTTTCTCAGGAACTGTGATCGTTCTAAGACTTGGTCACGCCTCAAAACTAAAACAATAAAAAAAGTAAAAACAGATGGGAGAAGAAAAAAAAAGCCACATTTGAATTCTGAGCCTAGGTACTGGTATATATTTCCTTTAGGTAGGCTTATCATTCTCTCTGTCATCAAAGAGCTGGGACAAGATTTACCATGGATTACATACATGTAGATAATAGCAAGATACATATGTGAATGTAAATTTATATTGTAGCTCGCACGAGAATAATTCGGAGTATGAGCGAGCCTTTCGGCCCGGCCGTTCATCGGTTGCGTAGTTAATGATATATCCGAGTTGACAACTTACCGGTACTACCCAACTTAAGTACTCCTAATGTAGATGCTTGTTTACCCCTCCCTCTCCTCTCGCATTCTTTCACGAATCCTATGGCTTAGGGAAACATGAGTTAACTATTTCGCTCCCGATACGATAAGAGGTACCTTGCGGCTCCTGAGATATATTCCGCTCAGAAGTCTCTTCCTTTCAGATAGACACACATGTACTACATGAATACACACGTAAGCAAGGGGTTTACACCGGGATGCCACGATGTCTGAGTAAAAATAAAACAGAAACAGGGCCGTGAAAAAGGCTGGAGCATGCAGCAGGCTCTGTATGAATTGGTCCCGGTACATCCCTCGGAAACCGGAGAGACTTCCATCGATGGAGAACAAAAATGATCGCCCATCTTGGCTTGCCGGATATCAAAGAAGGAAACGAAATGTATCAAACGGTATCAAACGGTGCACATAAAAAAGCTTAACAGCCCGTGTGGTCTCTTCCCAAAGATATACCATAACCTTGTGATCCTCACTCCCCCTCTCAAGATTCTACATATAGACTGGCTCTTCCTTTCTTTCAGCCTTCGCTATTAAGCTCTCTCAGAATCACACTTATCATATCAGTCCTTTAAACTGACCACCGGAAACAGAAGCGCCTCCTTCCTAAAGCAACAACGTCCGGGGGACAGAAGGGAATCCATAACGAATCCTTTGCTGCGGCAGTACATAACAGACTTGCTCAAGAATGGAAGCGCGGAGGAGAGAGTGCCAACCCCCCGGTCCGATTGCTCCAATAACCTAACGCACGTGCTGCTGCGGATCGATCTGCGCGCATGCCGGAAGAAGCGAGAGGGGGGGAAATAACATAACGAAAGGTGTGACTTTTTTTTGCCTTTTGCGTGTTGAAATGCGGTTTTCACTGAACCTATGAGATTCTCTTTTGAGCCGGCAGTTTTTCCGGTGAGTGGCTGCACAAAAGTACCTACACACTCTACAGTATGGATACAAGGGGGACCACGTAGTTGTCGTAGAAGCCTTGAACAACGATGGAAACAAACGTGGAAACGAGCTTACTGGAAAACTTGATGAATCTATCACCCATATTTGGAAAGTATAGTGCCATACGATACGAATTTTCATGAAGTCTCGTGGACTTCGTTGCTAACCTTTTGTATGTACATATGTACATATGTATGTATGTGCATTTGTACTTTTACATAAAGCATGCCAAAGACGACAAGATAAATGGTTATGCGGTATGCATATTAATATAATTTTTCTGGGCCGGGGATACTACGTGAAGGCTGGCGTATGTATGTACCAAGGCAAGTACGAACGTCATGTTCGGTTTATCGTACGGTGACTGACTGTTAAAAGCAGGATAGTAATAGCCGTCTCGAAACCCGAGGGGCGTAATTAATGTCTAGGTAAAAGGTATTGGGGGCTGTTTAAAAAAACCTTCTGATATTGGATAACGCGTCGGCATATCATACACTCGGGAATACTACCGCCGGGTGTTAAACAATTCAGAGATTGCTTATCGACAACGGCCCTCCGAGATTCCGGAAATGATATGCAAGGTTTTTACGGAATTGTACATCATCACATCCAACACGCCGTGCGTTTCAATTAAGGACTCTTTATGAAAATATAACTTCTCACCTGAGCTGTTGCAGGTGTGTCTCTTAACTATAAGATCGCCATAGTGTCGCGCTTGCTGTGGAATGGGGGAGGATTGCAGGATCTTCAGATCTACCACATGCTCAGGGGGTTAAACATACTTGAGAACTAAATCTCACCGAATATCTTGGAGCAGGGGTCCCCGCAACAGATAAATACGCAGCTTCATCTCGGCTTAGTTAGATGCCCGATTTTATTCAGTTCCGACATTAATCGATTTTTGGAAGAATCCGACTTCAGAGGCTTAGACGGGAATTAAAACTCCCGTTCTACAATCATGGGACCTCAGCTGAGAGGCGCTTACTGCCAGCTCACTTTGACAACATGCAACAGGCCAAAATAAGACATTTAAATCCAGGTACCAAGCTTTGGAGACTATCAAGAACTGAAAACTCCCCGCGTTTTTAACAGCAATGTGTTAAAGACTGGAGAGCCGGAAACTGCTAAGAAGCGAAGAAAATTACCTCGTGCTTTTAATGCCTTGGAAACCCCTCGATTCAACAGAATTACCCATCTGTCCCTTGCTCTAGCTAACCGCAATTGCTGCATGACGCCATCACCGGTTTAATAGTGCGTTTTTCTACGGAATTTTCACTTCTATGAAACTTCTATGAAGAAGAAGCTATCACGGAGACGTCCTTTTAGTGGAATTAGGCTGCGGTCCACTGATCCCATCTTTCCATACAATAAGCGACTTTTAGGTCTGCCGAATTCCTTAAGCCTGTGGACAAGTGCCGAGGACCTTATTTTCATAAGCGTCCAAAGCCTAAGCCTTTGATACATGTTTAATTGAAGATGTAAAGGATTCTCGGATATGACGTCTGAAAATCGGAAATACAGGATCTGGACCAGAGAGAACATGTTGAGTACATACCTTCAGATAAGCAATGTTAACAAAAGGAGAAGGGGAATGCACGATAGTGAATCCATGTTGGTTTAGGGGCATAAATAGGGCATGGATATGGGATTCATGCTGAGATAAAGGATACTTCTACTTATCACGACAGCAAGTCTCTGCCAATTACTGTCCTAAGAACTGGTAGCGGCGGGAAACATTATGCACTAACCACATATACACGCATGCAACTGCATGTCTGGAAGACTTCAACTGAGAGGATAATATTATTTACTTGAATATGCCAATTTTCAGGGTTGTCTGGCAGAAAACTGCGCCTTCCATAGCCACCTGAACACCATTGAACGAACAGTTGAGTATGATTATTACAGAATTGGTTATAACGGAGATCCTTAATATTTACATTGACTGTTTGGGGGTGGTCAGGTTAGTAGCTATGGAAGGCATGTCCAATGTGGCTAGCAGGTATCTACCGGGTGATAGTCGGTGAGGAACCAGTGGCAGAGTTTGGATACAAGTATCTACCCATACCCATAGATGTGCTTCGGGCCATAAATCATTAATATCCCATTTGGGAGATTAATTCACATTCTATAATGCCGCGAATCGGTACACATGTACTCATCATCAGACCTCGTTTTGTGCTTTGAAGACATCTAGGGCCAGGGTTCCCAATATCGATGGAGATATAATGACGTCAGTCACGTCCCACAAATTTACGGAACATTGACGTAATCTAACCCTAATATTATTCAGCCCTATGTCTATAAATCCTTATTAAAGAGCGAGTTGCTGTTAGTATATTCCCGATATCATAAGTATTCGACCCTCTCGATTTCTATTTTTTCGCCTTTAAAAGTTATCACACAAACAATCTGGAAGTTCTCTATCAGCACGAAGCCATGTCATCATCAAGTCAGAACCGTTTACCTACCGCAGTTAAAGGCGGATCAGGCCTCACGAAGACACCCGCAAATACCTCTTCAGACCCTGATTCCTCAACCCTACACAGCGTTAATTCTGGGCTCCATGACACACATGACCAAACTGTAATTCACTAGATTCATGAAAATACTATAAGTGAAGAATACTGTTATCTAATTTTATCTTTTGGCACGCACAGAAGCCGAGTGTTGCCAAGAACGATATGAAAGCCAGCGGCACCGTTGGAGACGGAACGAAGGTTGGACGGATGGTTAAGGAGGGGGCCGCGGATTTCATTGATAATCTAGCGCACGACAGCGTCATGGACCCATCGCAATCTTAAGGAATCAATGGTATGTTTCTTCATACCGACACCCGGTGACCTGAATTCAGTCTTTAATGATCTGGAGATGTAGTAGGAAGTACATACGGCTGGCACGTTGGGTTTTTGTTTGACTGATACATGTAGTCCTACGATTGAGTGTATAACACGGTGTACAATAAATATCATACATAAGGAATTGGTCCTTGGTGGGATCTGTTTGTTGCACATACGTTACTCTTGAATTATGAAATGGAATGAGGGTTTGTGACTTCGTGGCCGCTGTGCGGCCAGCAGTTGGCGTCGGTAACACCAAACTCAGGGATGAAAATCAGAATACAACTTTGTATAAGTAACTGAGCCGTCGTGATGGCTAAATACATGTACGCACTCACGGTATCCTAACTGAAAACCAAATATCCTTGTTTGTTGCCTGACGTCATGGGGATCTTGCAAATCGACATGATCGAGTGATATCATATGATTAAAGTATCTTCTATGATTACTGCTTATGCAACTTGTTAATTATAATAGATAGATACGATAGAAAAAGAAAGGGAGGTAGGAGAATTAGAAAGGAAAGGTTTTAGCGCTTGGGTTTATAAACGAAGAAGCAAAGAATACTATACTGGGTTTTTATCTGGCGAAGTTCGTATTTCATATAGTACATGCATGTAGATGTCACACGGGTTTAAGAATTCCCATCATCCATGTATCTAATCATGTTATCTGGCCCTTGGATAATAAACACATATGAGTAAGTATCGTTTACTTGACATCTGAACGTTTGGCAGCGAAACGCGGTGGTGGGGAAACCCTGTAGTGTTAGTGTATTAACGCATTATACTTCGTTTCCGCCTGTATCTCACCTGCTTTCTTTCTTTCCTTTCCTACCGATGGTTCGCCACCCGCAAAAACTATCAATCTTTGATCACCTAGAGCCTCGAGCTTTATTTTCAACACTTCTAACCTTTATCACCGTCACCTTTATAACCCAAACTGCACACACGTACTACTATATTAACTAGAAGACTGATTGTGTCACAATGGTCTTTCAAGCTTATACGGAATCCGCTAATCCCAGTTTTTACTTTGATTCACATCTGCGATGGCCATGAGCTATTAACTAGTCGGCTAGCTCAAATATCATGAGCAAAGTATTCGTCCAAACTTACAACCTTGAAAGCTAGAGCCTCCAGATTATGGAGGAGGACCAAGTTGCGGCAGTTACGGACAGGCTATTGAAAATAACATCTACGCGGGTTGGTCACCATACTGGTCTGCCAGGCTTGAACTGGGCTTTCCTAGGCCGGTTGGGGGCCAGCAACTGGTCTTTTTGGTGGGTTCAAGCCCAATATCAGATTTGGCTTACGTTCCAAGCTCCAATATAGTGAGCACTCTTCTCGCCGTTCAAGGAACAATGGCGGTGGATGCGGGTAGCACTAGGGGCTGCGGGCGGTGGCGACTAGTTGTGGGATTGTAGTGATCATATCGATAAATGATTATGATGATGCTCATTAAAGTGTTACTGTTGAATATATATAACGAATACAAACTATAATCAACAAAATCAAGTTGCCGGAAGTGGCGGGTCTGGAAAAGGGCTCCTTATAATTAATGCCTTTTGGATATTCTATTCTAAAGTATGGGTCATCATAAGGCCGTCTAAACCGTGTCATTTGGTAGAAAAGTATTAATATGGTTTCTGGGTTGAAGATTATTGACCATACACAGTGCTGGAGGATCAGGTTGCTAAATTCATCAACTCAAATTATAGAGTATATTAGTCTCGTGCCCAGCCTGTGTTTGCCTTGATTCAGGGAACGAGACTAAGAGTATATATTCCGACGCTATTTAGCATTACGAATCGAGAGCACACTGAAATATCATCATGTGTGTCGTAAATCCCATCCATTTAATTAACTTGGATCCTTCAGCATCTCCACTAGATCATCATGGTCACCAGAGGTGAAAACTACGTAATTTACATATGCAGAGTATGGATACTGTCTACTTGCATGTGGATACTATAATGTACCCGCGTGGCGATATTTAATACTGCCTTTCGCTCTGATTTGGTCTGTAGGGATTCGGTCTACCGTATATACGTGCACTATAAGCACGGCCACCTGCTTTAGTCTATGCTCGACTACCGCGGGTTACGCATCTACCTAAGGTTGTTTATGGATCTAGGAAATGCGTGTAACTTCCGGTTCTCCGTTTCCCCATGTTATAGTGACAGATTCTAGTAGTCAGGTACATAATAGTACATGTATAAACATATAGCTATGTATTCAGAAAGTGTAGTTTGAGATCACTGTGTAACCTGAAGTAGTGATCTGCGCGCACGTTCGGTACCAAGGTTCGTCAGGGGGAAAACCACCAATAAGCCTCATGCTTACTCTACATATTATGCCGTCTTCTTGAAGCTTGACTCCATGAAATCGACAGGAAACTGTCTGGCAACGTCAAAACCACCCTGCATACACCTGCACGCAGGTTACACGAACCCTTACCCAACCCCTAGATTTCCATATCAGGCGACGATAGCTGTGGAGCGCACGGCGAGTTTATTGAAACCGTGGCGAATGTGTACTACGATACTTACATGTTTGAAGAAATTTCAGTTCAAGACTCATAGGGGAGCCAGTATCGAACGTTTCATATTCCGTATCCAAACCCGTTGGCGTAATGTTTTGGCCATCCAACTGTACCTACTCCTCGAACCTTGTAGGTACAGGAACGTGTACCTGTGCATGCGCAGGGATCAAGCCAAGGATATCAGGGCGCATTGACTGAGGATAAGGCGTGTCTGTGGAACCTAAATCAAGCCTCATTTGGAGACGGGGACTCCCTTGACATGCTTATGTTTATCCACAAGATGAGGTTTAGAAATCGGTGTTGAGGGTGCGAGATATGCGCCATCCTGGGAGGTGAGTTTATAGGATGTATTAACGGGGAGTAATGCCCCTACCAAAACTGTGTATTCGCGAAGGTACTTGCAAGACTTACTGTTTTTTTCGTCTTGCATTTTGTAAAAATGAATAGTTGTCAACGGCTGCGAAATCACATTCAAACTATTGCAACTCAACGTTTGTTGCTATCTGATCTTCCGGAGGTGGTGGGATTTTGGCTTAGAAGTTTTCCTAATAAGGTTACAGTGCCGTCTCAGCTTAGTATTGTGGCCCAGTTGTGCCAAATGCGGCCGGTAAACTCGGGGTTTGTGGTTTCGAAATAATTTTTAGCGCCGTTTTGGAGAACCCGGTGGAACCTACGCACTCCAGACGGCCATAAATGATAGATCCTACAAGATTTCTAGATATTACATAAAGTGCTTATATCTGAGTAGTCGCCCAGCAGTCTCAACGCACACTGAGTGGAAGTGTCCCAATATATCTCAATCACAACTTCAGATTTAGCTCAAACCAATCAAAAAGAAACCACCCAGAAAACGAAATCAACCACCTAACAGATGCTCGAGAGGAGCTTGAGCGCAACCGGAGGAAACATACCGGTCCCCAGCTACTATACTGGTCTAGGTATTCATCTGCCAACAGACACAAAAGACAATGGCTCGATTCACTCAAGTGACTTTCTATCATTGGAAAAAAGGCTTCCAAATTTTCCAACTGCTGCGACTTTCGATTCAATACTCCCTTCATCACAGATTTCATTACAAATAAACAGCCGAACAACAAACGAGACTCGTTCGTTGTATGTTTCTCGGTGTCGCTTTTTCATACGATTGTTTTCGACTTTTGCTTCAGTGGGGTAGTGGCTGGGATTGCGAGCGCATATGTGGAATATTATTCGACCAAAGATAGGGGCTTGCTTTATGCCGGGCAAGATATATGGCCTGAGTACTTAGATATGAGGCCGAGCGATACATTATTGGCTGTAGGTTGTGTCACATCTTTCTTTAGCGGTGGACTTCTGATAGCTGGAATTTTCCCAAAGGTTAGTTTTCTATGTGCAGTCATGAAGGAGTGTGTCATTGACTGGGGACCACTCACTTACTTAGATTCGACATATAACACGACTCAGTGATATTTTATCACTCATTGTGGCTGTAATTGGGCTACCGCTGGCGGTTTTTGGCGCCTGCTTTCTCTACTGGTATAACAACAACTACCACACCTTTTGGACATGGTCGTGCGACAACAGAAAGATAGATCATCCAGAAGCTCAATTCAGGGTGGTTTGCGGCGAAATAGTATGCTACCATACCACTTCAAACTCCAATTGATTAGTTTTATAACTTACCATGGTTTATAATAAAGGGGTTTGCATTCTCAATGAGCTGGCTAGTTGCTGCTGCGGAGTCGTTGATGATTATCAACGTTATTGTTGGCTGCATTGTAGTCAAGAGGAAAAACGGCGAAACAAGGTTAGGCGTATAATATGTTGGCTGCTGGGTTCAGCATGCTTGTATAAACTGGGGCGTTTTGGTATTTTATTTTGTCCTTTTTTTTTTTTTTTTTGGTTACTGGAAAGGCGTATTTTCTGGAGTTTTGGGGGATCGGAGTTTTTGGGTTTCGGTGTCTTAGATCTGATCTATCGGTTAGGTACATGTAGCTGCTATGTATTATAGGTCGGTACCGAACTTAACTATGCATCATAAATGCATGTAATTATGTGTTCCATGCTGTTGGGTCGATTCATCAACTGTTTGGCTGTGTGTGTGTGTGGGGCAGATGCCGGTGAGGCGGCGCAGAGCTGCGGCGTCAAAGTGCTATGCCAGCATAGCTAGATCTAACCTTGTAACCTACATGTAGTCTTATCGAATAAGTACTCTAGGGTATTTGAGAAATTGGATAATTCGAGATGAGGTAGTATTTCCGGGGGTATCTTGATGAGAATTCTTGATTCACAGCTAGGTTTTTTTTTTTTTTTTTGTTTGTTAAATTCATTAATTGCATGCAACCTTACAGTTATGGCAATGTCCCCTAAACTTCACAGCTAGGTTTCTAGATAGAATTTATCAGAGATGTGTAGCAAGAGTGAAGAGAGAGAGAGCTTCTGAGAAAAGAGAAATTTATAGTCGTCCTAAACCGAATAGTTGACCGTGGAGAGATTCGTAAAGCTCTTTGCTTACGTATTCTACGTCCATATCACATAACTGGAGCTGCGCTGCGCTTAGCAACGCCCTGAAGCTCAGGTATTAACTATCATACTTCTCTTACTCTAGAATTCAAGGGTTCGAAGTCGGGCTCTCCTTTCAAATGAAGTAGAAGCCGGCCTTCATAGTGCTTTACTGAACTTTGACCTAGAGTTAAATGATGAAGATAGCAGGATTCCTCACATATGCATACTTAACCTAGCATTTAGAAACTAAGAATAATTTACTGAAAGCAAACGGATAGCTGCTTGACGGTCCACACTCACGCTCGTTAGTATTAGTACTCCACAATAAATCTCATGATAGTTAATAGTAAATAATAAATCAAAATTAAAATAAAGAAATGCGACGTCGCTTCGCTCCTGTACTGGGCTTCGCCCCCTTTAAAATAACTAAATAATAAGTAGAAACTCCTTTTATTTGTACCTACTAGGGGCACCCCCGGGTTACTGGTATGTGTGTACATGTAGTAGAACTCAGGCTCTTCTAGCACCTGTGACTAATCTCCTACGGCCCGAGTACAGATAGCAGAACCTCCCATCAGATTTGAGGACCACCTCATCTATCCCTTTGTTAGCTATGAAATTGATATCTGCTGTATTCCATTCAATGTTGAGGGCACCAGATTCAGGGTTAGGTTTTAGCGAAACCTTTTCGGTACATATTCTTTTATAGTATAGTAGATGTACCGTAGTAGCCCATTTATCCTAATGCAACAGCCAAAACGCCAGATCCCCGCAATCTAATCCTAGTGCCTTGCTGCAAGTTACTTCTGCTTGTTAGCTGTTACTTGCGGTGGTTGGAGTTTGTCCTTCTTGAACTTGGTCTTGAGGCTGTCCTTGTTGAACTTCAACTGTTGAATGTTGACTGCCGCGGTTGAAATGATCTTGGATGAAATAGCTAAGAAGCTGAGTATGATAGAGTATTGTCAACATCAATAAACTAACGGTCTAGTAAAGATTATTGTACTCACACCGCCTCCTCCGCCAACGACTGCACTGATGATGATAAAATAGAGAACCGATGTCATGGTCTTAATTGATGCAAGATTCTTCCCCATGTTGCTAACTTCCGTCGAGATGGTATCAATCTTCGTGTTTTGTTGTGCGAAGAGCTAAAGTACCGCTGTGTAAGCGTTGCTGAATGCTAATGAGTTCACCGAGTAATGGGTCGCGTCAGCAATGCTCGCTGACATCCAAAAGTTGAGAAAACTTTAGCTCGATTTTCGTATCAAGCTTTTCAGTCTTGGTCTCAATTTTCGTATCGAGCCGTTCATACCAACGCTGGTAAGCTCAGTTAGCAGCATCCATCATAGACTGATGATATGGAAACAAACCTCCTCTCCCCCGGTGTAAAACTCCCTTCCCCGTCCGGTGTCAATCCACCTTCAGTAATGGTACGGCAAAACAATGGGGCTGCAACAAAACGCTTTCTTGCCATCCCGGGACGAAACAGTTGAAGTGTATTCAGATTTGTTGACATGCGGCTGAGACGAAAAGCCATTCGGAACATAAGTAAACAATCTTTCTCTAACGTGAACGGTTTATGGTTGTGGGGCGTTGTTGTAACGGAGATGGGGAGAAAGACCGATAGATGCTCGGTGTGGGTCTACTAGTATTTAAACGCCATGCGTTGCCAAGTGTCATTGACGGTCGACATTCACATGTTGCTGAGCACGATGATGAGTGAGCAAATGCTGAGCGACTATGCAAGTAAACTTCAGGGTACTCAGGAACGAGTGCAAGGTCAATGCAACTAACCCTAACCCTGGGAGTAAGGTGCCTAAATTGGGTGCATCATCATTTATCACTCGTTGAAACATTCAAATCGCAACTACCTGACCTAATCAAAACCTCAAAGAGCTTCGTTTGGGCGAATTCCTGGATGATCTTGTCTTCCAGTTTATGTGCCCAGAGCTCGGGCTGGCCGGGCGGGATATTGTAGTCTTATACGGGCAGTTTTAGCTAAAGATATGCGCTGGCGTTATGATTTGTGAAGAGGACTATGTATTGCTACTGATTCATGCAAGTATGTAATTTAGGGTATGAAAAATGCTGAAAGTACTTCATCAAACGAATTTAACGCCCGAAACCCACAAAAAATCCGTGGATAGAAAAATCAAGATACCCCCAACAGCTATACAGATTCCTCGCTCCCCCTTCACTCAAGACATGACTTCAATTCTATCCGCAGTCAGCCAAACCCCACCCCGCCCGCCCACGATCCGATACCGCACCGCAAACTGGCACCCATTGCACGCCACATGGGTATCCTCCCGCTCAAAACACCCCCCACCACACGACCACTTTCGCAGTGGCCTCGGCACTAGACCCTCCGACCTTTGCTCCAAGTATGTTAACACTGTCTGGCCAGGCTTATCAGAAGCAACATTGCAGTGGCCGAAGACGATCTGTGAGTAATTGCAGCGGCAGCAGATGAAGCGGTAGTCTTTGCGGATTTCTCGTAGAATGGGATCTTTGATAGAGGCTTTTATGAGTGTGATGGAATCGAAGATGCTCGTGTGAGTGCGGAGCCCTGGGGCTTTTGGGAGCTCAGTGATGGCCATTGAGCGGGCGCTTGTGGGCATTGTACTTTCCGGGTAGAAAGGCGCTGGGGGTCTAAATTGAGAATTGAGTGAGTATTCAATGGTTGAATTTATACATCTTTCATTTGATATACGGACCAGATTCGTGGGTGCCTGTTGCAATTTATGGCTGTCTGAGATTGGGACGCTGAGTTGATAGAGACTTATTGAGGCTCGAATGTTGGTGTTGTATGCCCTGTACCCTTATCGATTGATGGTTCAACTCTGCATGGACGCTGAGTCTTGGGGTGTGGCTTAAAAATATTATGAAGCTACTAAGTGGCGGGCGAGGTTGAGCCGTTTCAAGTCTCGGTTTAGGGTTACGTACAAGATTGAAACATTCTACAAATTACTCTAGGAACGTATTGACTAAACCAGATGAGATTTTCTTCTATAGTCTAGTATGGTCTAGTACTGCGGTATACGGAGAATGGGGAATTAGAAGATCTGATAAGTGAAAACTGAAGCAGAGGACAATGAGCTTATTCTACCTCTATACCTCGATATTGGAGCTTAATCTTCGAACGTTCAACATGGAAACGAGAATATCCAGATGTTTTTTTTATGTAAATCAAGTATATGTAGTTTAGTTTAGATGGTCTGTAATATAATTTTCTCAAATATTAGCCGGCCAGAGCTGGAGAAAGCTAAATGTACCTATTTTATAGTTAATACATGTATTGTCAGCTCTATCCACACGCTATTCCATCCTTTGTCATCATACCTTCCTACGAGACTGAATATAGGAAGTATATGTATGTGCATTGTGTACATCATGTATTTAGTCGGCGGTCTTTGAATCCTGATCACCTGGCTCCCCCAGCAATACAAATCTTGTGTTTCGTTTGCTGTGAATCCCCAACCCAGCTGGTGCAGTTTCAGCATCTCTTTGTTATGGGTCGGGGGATATACACATTTATCCCGATCAGCAGATCTAGACTGACCCGCACGTGCACGCTGCATTGCAACGCCCGTATCCATCAGGTAGGTCCGGAACAGACAAGGAAAAACTGGATGGAGTGAGTTTGGACACGTAAGAAAAATGCTGGCTGTGCTCTATCGTCGGGTATGTAGGCCGGTTGATATAGGTAGGTATGTCCATACTCTGCGCCTTTGAAAGCAGCCTCCCATGGAGCTGGAGCTTCCTTCAACAGCATCGGTCCCTACAAGTATTGCTTTTTCTTTTCCCTTATGTTCTTTGATAGAATGTGTAGCTGCATTCCTATATAGCTGCTAGTTACCCGTTATCAATTAAGGCCCACAGGCATGAGGTAGAACTAGGCGGGCAAGGAAGGGGTTTTAAAGACGTCCACAGTACATCATACCGGTTCCGGTACGACAGGCTTACAACCAGGTATTATCCCCCAGGGTTTCGAGTGTCAATAGCGACCTGCAGGTATGCGTCAGACTTTTCTTTCCTTCCCCGTACATACCTTTGAGGGACACGATGACACCCGCCGGCCACGCACAACACCTGTTTTTCCTTTTTTCCTTCCCTTTTTTCCCTCTTCAGCGAGTGGAGCATGACGCAGGCCCTTTGTTGTTCCTTCGCTCGTTCGTTCGTTTAGAGTAAGGGTTTCCTGGTAGAGAGTGGCTAGGTGGTGAGGGGTTCTGAAGAGGAGAGGGGGAGGATTAGGTGGTGCTTTGTAGCTATGGAGTTGAGTGATCGAGTGAGTACTTACTGCAACATGGCATGTAATATGCACAGATCTTCGGCCTTTCTCTGCGCATGAGCTGCGGCTTAAAAACTCCTACTGGCAACGAATCCATGCACTTGCCTTAGCTAGAATAACCCGCAACTCTGCTGCATATGCAGGCGTACATGCTACCATACAGAATATCTACATGTACCTTATCGGCCCAGATCTCAGCCTGCTCCTAAAATTTGGTCCGTTTGGAAAATCTACTAGGGCTCTGTTTTGAACGATGTTGAAAAATAAATAGTTCACCAGAGAACTAGGCTCCGCTCCAGCTGAAATGAAATTAGGTTCCCCTGAGCTACTTAACATGTTCCAACTTAAGCCTCCTCCACGCAAATAGAAGAAAGAAGGATGTGCGGAGCCTCATGCCTAGTGCACTGGTTAATTTGACCAAATTTGCGCCTCCTCCATTCACTGAGAGTGTATGCGCAGTCTAGTCTCCGATCCGACCTGTAATTAATCATAATCACTGATATGCCAGGGGAGCGACTGACAGTCAGAATTATGAGCACGAGTTTTTCCCGACAAGTACTTTACTTCTCTTGCATGTCTTCTCCTCCTCCTCTTCCTCTTTTAATTCAACCCTCGTTGCCGGTAACTTCTGCGTTTGCTCTTATGTGGCCAACATTAAGACACTTCATCATTCATTGCAACCCGAGCAGAACAGATAAACAAACGCAGACATCCACAACCACCGTCACCTGTACCCTGAGTGAATAAGAAGGTCCGGGAACTGAACAATAAGAAAAAAAGCAAAGCCAACAGGAATTCAAATTACACGAGCTAGAGAACTAGACGGAGAAATACCTACATCGACCTTGCTCGATATGTAGGTGCAGTTTCGAAACCGCTATCAACGAATAACTAGTTACCCGACGAGGCTAAAGATTCTTTCTTTCGAAGCAACTGCCAACAGACTATCCGCCTTGTTTATATCGACCCTCGACCAACCGGTACATAGGCTTAAGAAGGCTCTAATAATCACTCGAATTCAACTAAGCAGCAGCAATACCATTCTAAATCAACGACAACGGAAATTCAAAGTTAAATTTCTGAGAGAGAAAGTTTCTACTTTATACTTCTTACAGAACTGAGAATTATCTGCACCCTGGTATATTGAAAAAGACCAAAGCGACAAGAAATGTGTCAGTACGAGCTCTGGGTCTACCAAAGGTGCTTCTCTTCTTCGTCCCCACACCTTCCCCACCAACCACACCGTACCTACTTCCGCGTAGCAAAGTGTTTGAAATTTCCCAATTGCGAACCTCCCGCGCCTCGGGCAGACTTCAAATCTACCGCCGAGCTGCCGGTGCAGCTGCGGGACCGATACTGTACAACTTGCTATGAAGCTCTTCAGAACTCCATGGGTAGTAGTGGTGATAGCTGCTGGCCATGCGGAGAGGAAAACTGGCCTGATGAACGACTTTGCAAAGGGATGAAAGTCGTTGATCTGGAAGGATGGAATGGAATGGACCGAACAGTAGAGCTGGATAGTAATAGTGCCTTGGCGGATGCAGGCGCGAGGGCTAGAAGGCTAAAATTCCTGGCGAGAAATTGGAAAGGGTGGAGTGACTGGGGTGGGATTGATGGGAGGGTGTTTAGAGGCATCTCATGATTGAGATTGGGAACTGTGCATTTGTAACAACCGGAGTTTAAAGCCTTAAGATAGGTTGGCGTCGTGTCGATTTTTCTTCTTCTTTATTTTCTTATTCCGCTTTTCCTTATCCCCTCCTTTCGTCTGGATTTCTTTTGTACTCTGGTAGGGCTACGGATTGCCTGCTAGGTTGTCCTTAATTGCTCGTTGGCGACGAAACACTTTTCTCAATTATCCTCTTAGAATATCGTATACACCGGTAGTTAGTCTCTTTGCTATAGGTATTGTGCAGTACAGTACATACATTTTATTTCTTCTTTTGAGCAGGTCATTATATGGCCGTGGCTCTACAGGATCGAATGCGCATTGCCAAGTCTCATGGCGAGTGATGTCCCATGATTCAGTTAAACGTTTCAGGACTTGCTATCAGCGGAAAATCCGCTTCTTTGATACAACCTTGATACTATCCATGAAATCTCTGTGAATACGTCGCATAGTATACAGAATGTCCCCCCTCAAATGTTACTTTCCGGGCACCTCAATGCTACGGGTGAGGTAGTGATGAGTTCTGAGGGGAGGAGAATCATATATTATGGGCAAATTGCTCCCAATCACCGTTTAGATACTCAAGGGGAAATAACCTCATCCGGCCGTATACTAAACACAGCGTATTTGTAGGTGGAGAGACATCTCAATCCGGTCCCGAAACAAAGGGTTAGTTCGTTGTTGACCAATATCACCAATCAATCTCGCAGATACCGAACCCCTTTTTGTAACCCTAACCTAAAACATCTTTAAATTCCTAGACTCTGGAAAGCCGCAGTCGCACAATTATGACGGGAGAGAGTTTGACAGCTTTTGTATAACTATTACAATCCCAGGCTGGAGCATTGGTATTTTATTTCTTTCCGATCTTGTGATTTTTTCCCTCTCCTTTTTTTCGCAGGAGCCGGAGCTAGGAGCGTGCACGAAGACTCCGAACCGGCTTCAGGTCATTATTTCGTTCTTGGTTATCGTTTGTGCTACATAGTGGTGTGTATTACAGCAGTCAAAAAAATTTCTTTCGCAAAATGCAGTGCAGCCCAGTTCACGACAGCTGCAGACAGGGGATGCAGAGTGAAAATTCTTAACTTCATAGCGATCCGATGACTTCATACAACCCTAACCCACATGCTAGCTGTAATAGTGACTAAGCGATCGAACATTGAGGGAAATACCTTTGCTATATAAACACATAGAAATTAGAGTACTTAGATGATCGTTGAACTCTGTTAGCCTTTGTATGAAAAAGTGGATAAGTCGCTTGGAGGCCAAGGGCACAACCACATATTCATATATGGTAGATTCATGTGGAATCACTCGATCCAAAATTCTGCACAGGTTTCAGCAGGGCCTAGGTGCTGCAATTCGCGGGGTACATATACACCTCTTGGTAAATTTTTGGGCCAAAAGCTAGGAGAAACGTACGGTCAAGATCGTGTTGGTCTTTTATCGGCCCAAGGCAGCCTAATATCCGTCAACATGAGCGTCCATCAATTTCCGACAGTGGATAGACTCAGTTCAATAGGATTAAGTTGTGCCTGCATCACCGAAGTCTAGTCTTGATTTGATCTAGAACCTTGAACCAGAGACAGATTCTGTGGGTTATCGGTTATTTTCTCAAATCCTAAACTAATCAAAGATGGGATAATGCAGCAATTGGGGGGGGAAGGCGGCGGAGGATAGTGTATCAATCAAAGACTAGGAGAACTTTAGTTGCCAAATGGTTTTATACTAGTGTATTCTGACATCTTGTAATGAAACACCACACTTAATTCTGTCGCGTCATGCAGTTATACTAGTGGGAACCGCCACAGTGTCATGTAATGTTGTTAACCAATTTACGGTACAACTTCTCTCGCCTGTTCAGATGTATTGTTCTCTCAACACAAGAAAGAGACCTATGATAGCGGTGTCCGCACCTCCAAAAATTTTGGACCTGGTATATATATTCATTCTGTGCTTGAACCACTACATGCACATTCCCAATTAATTGATGACTCAGCTAGAAACAGCCTTGGGACCCTGAAACGTGCCTATCTTACTACCTAATTGGCCAGTGCGTGGTGTCCGTACGCGATGGTTGACTTCGAAATATTGCGGTTTCAGCGTCGCAGGAACTTTCAAAAGTTTATACGGCCAAAGCAAGCAGAATGACGTCTTTTTAGATTGCACATGATGTCTTCCCATGTTCCCGCGTGTTTTGGCCATACTTCGGTTATGTACCAGGCAAAAGAGAATGGTAATAGGTCGTCTACACACGGCAACATAATACTGCCGTGGCTTCAATAACGGATATAATTCAGTATGTATTTGACCTGAGCTCTGCTTCTTGCTGTTAGTTTTTCATGGTACTAGCCCTGGTGCAGACACGTGCACCATTATCTGACTTTGAATATCCCTAGAGGTCCCACAAGCCCTTTCAGATGCACGACAGAGCCCAACAGTCTCATTGCAGAAAATTCCGGGGGCGGAAGTATCTGGAAGGGAGGATTAGCACCTAAGCAGGTAGGGGCTCTAAGTGCAGCCTCTGAGAAACGTGGCCCATTACCAGGAACAAACATCCTATCAGTCGATCGCGACTAGTCATCATCACAAATAGGGTATTCCGTCTACCTCTTGGGCTAACGGCGTTATCTTTAAGAGAGCAACCACGAACCATACAGAAGCTACAGAACGTATCACCTGCCCACGCGACAACTAGATACCAGCGGTGGGTTCTTCCCAAAGAGGTTTCGATATGAATCGTGGGCCAATGTGTAGCATGATGGGGTCCTACCAGATAAGGGAAGTTTCGAGGTGAACAGTACTTTACGCTAGTACTCCACGAGCAAACACATGTGAAACCAGAGAACCCTAGGAATGCATCGATCTTGTTTTCCGGGACGGCTAGTATCCCGTACTGCAGTGGAACGAGATCTGCTATCTCATGAAAAACGCATTGGGAAACCCCTGGGTCTAGAGTACCTACCTAAGATGCATTCAACCAGGGCGCGAGATTGACGAGTGAGCCTTGACCTTAGCCATGGGCTAGCTTAGAAATGACAATTGGGAAGGGATTAAAAGTGCCACATAACGTTGGTTGACGATGGCCCGAGGATTTTCCACCATTATCATACAAGGCGTTTTATTAACGGCTGGGTTCTCCTCGGCATGCCATATCATACTCAACCCCCAACAGATCGACCGCAGGATTTAGGTGACAAGTAGTCTCAGTTGAAACCTTGTATGATTATCTACACAGCAGATCTCCAATGTTGCATGTGCTAGATGGTTTATCCCTGCTGCAAAGATTCCATAGTCAGAGAAGCAACACATCACCAAACAAGAATTGCTTGTTTGTTACGGACGAGTGATATTGCATGACCGCAATAAGGATCTACGGACAAGGCTTCAGACCATAGCACTTTGTTGATTCGCGGGTCGATCCATTAATCTAGGCTCCATAAGGTCAGAAAGATACGCCATGAGGTAGGGGGTACTGTGCCTGTGGATGTTGAGGGGCGGGCGAGGGACTCGCCGAGATCCGGGATCGTGGGAAGCGTTATTGGCTTCTCTACTCGATCTGGGATTGTGGAGAGTGTTATTGGCTCCTCTACTCGATCTTAGAAGGGGGCAGGTTGTACTGTCAATCGAAAGGCCAATATGCCTCTTCCAAACCTCAGCTACAACCTCCAGCATGTGATTTTCTCCAATATCACCACAGCTCCGACAGTGTACTGTCATAACTCACTTTTGTGAATTCGAACGTAAATTCTGCTCGGGGAAGTGGGATGTTTAATTCCCACTGGAGTATTGTTTTCTCCACTATCGGAGGAATGCCCGACAAAGGGGTTCGGGTCATGTTCCCACATTTGAAATTCTTTTTTTGATATTGATCAATAACTATACCGGCTCTTGACTCAGTGCTATGACTGATGATTGACCGCTGTAAGCTATATATCATTACTAGCTCCTGCATTGCCAAAATCGCTTGCAGCTCCGAATCAAAATAGTTGTGATAGAAGCCGGAAGACTAGGGTGGATTTGGTATTCAATGTGAGACATTGATATAGGTATCCTGTAAGTCAAGTTCAAATTCACCACTAACCAGAAGGGGTTTCTTTAGGAAGGACAGTGAGATCATAAGGAAGCCTGACATGCTATCTGTTCCTTTCTAGCATTAAGGTCAACTAGCCCGAGCCGTGATTAGATGACTTCGTGCATTGCACCTTCGAGTCAGTCATCAATCGGATTTTTGCGACTTTTTTTATTATTTTTTCGTATTTAACCCGAGTGACAAAGAGTGACCCACCACTAGCTTATTACCACGCCCACATCAGAGCTTTCTCCGGCCGTGATCCCTAGCAAAGAATTCGGCACTTATGCAGTATTGTCCGGGATTCCTGTTTTGTGTCGTTGATATCCGAGTGGAGGAATCTTCAGTTGCTGAGTATTGAGTTGGGTGTTGAGTTGAGTGTTGAGTTGAGTGCTGTGCATGCGCGTGCAGGGGCTTTGGCGGGGTGTTTACTAGCTTGCTTTTCTCGCACGGACCAAGTGCTTAATTTTCACGATAACAGATTTCGCTATCAACCTCAACCTCAACACCAACCTCGACTTCAACCCCAACTTCAACCTCAACTCCCACCAACTCCACTCCAACTCCACTCCATTCCCTCTCTCTCCCCCCTCCTCAACTCCATCATGTCTTCCTCAATTCCTGGTACCCGCGATCTCCCCGTCTCCCGCTACGACCTCAGCACATACTGGGGCCGTGTCCTCCACTCCGCAGACCTCTGCGACCCACGGTAACCCACTCCGCTGCTCCTCTCTAACCATCGCACGCCCACTCACATATCCCCCCCAGCACCCTCTTCACCAGCTCCACGACACTAGAAGCCTCCAAAATGCTTCTCATGCAATACAAGACGGGTGCCCTCCCCCCACCATGACGTCTGACCTCTGGACCGCCAAGAAGCTCTGTGACTCCACCCTCCACCCCGACACAGGCACACCTGTCTTTCTCCCCTTCCGCATGAGTTGCTTCGTGTTCAGCAATCTCATTGTCACCGCTGGCATGCTGCAGCCAAACCTCACCACGCGCGGAACTTTGGCGTGGCAGGTCGCGAATCAGACGCTCAATGTGCTCATTAATACGTCGAACGCGAACAAGTCTTCGCCGCTGGGCCCTGCCCAGCTCGCAGGAAGCTTCGCGCTCGCGGTGTCGGCGAGTTGCGGTGTGGCCGTGGGTCTAGGAAGGGCCGTTGCGAAGCTGAAGGTGGGCTCGGGGACAAAGGCCCTTTTGACCAGGCTGGTGCCGTTTGCGGCGGTTGCGTCGGCCGGTGTGCTGAATGTTGCGCTAATGCGCGGCGGGGAGATCCAGAATGGGATCGATGTGTATCCGGCCAAGGCGCCGGCCAAGGCGAAGACGGGGACTGCGGAGCTGGTCGAGGAGGAGGCGCCGAAGGAGAGTTTAGGGAAGAGTCGGAAGGCGGCGGTGATCGCCGTGGCAGAGACGGCGGTCAGTAGGGTGTTGAATGCGACGCCGATTATGGTGGTGCCGCCGTTGGTGCTCATGAGGTTACAGAGGAGTGCGTGGTTGAAGAAAAGGCCGGCGTTGGTTACGCCGGTTAATATTGGTATATTTTTAACTCTCTTCTTTTCTCTATTTTACAGATACTAACATGGCAGCAGGTCTCATCTTCGCAACTTCGATTTTTGCGCTCCCGCTTGCGCTGGGCGCATTCCCGCAGCGCCAGGCGGCGAAAGCTACAAGCCTTGAGAAGGAGTTCTGGGACAAAGGTGGCGAGAGCGGTATGCTCGAGTTTAATAGGGGGATCTAGGCTCAGCTAGGCCCCTTGATACCCAGTTCTACGGTTTTCTTGTGTTTGCGGGTGGGAAAAAGAACAGCATGGTATCATAGCATAGCGTAGATATAGATTTATACCATTTTCCCCCTTCCCTTTCTCTCTTTCTCTCTTCAGGATATATATATAGCGTGTGAATAGATGAGAATGTTTTCTGCGGGGGCGTTTTTTTCTCTTCTGTTGTATGATACTGATACATACCTACATACATACATATACAAATATGGCTTTTTTTTCTTTTTCTTTTGGTGCTGAGCTATCATTGACACCCCGTGCAGATCATGTACAGGAATGGTATGGAGAATGAAAGAACAGTACAAGTGCCTTTTCGACTTCAGGATAAATAAATATACTATGCAGTGGAGTAGAGTAAGTACGTAAAATACATCATCAGGCACAAAAGGCCTCCCAATAGGATAACGGGGATATATCGAGGAAAGAATCAATAATAGAACACAGAACACCAATGTGACCAATCCATACTTTTACAAGAGGTAAATCAAACATAGGAATACAAAATGCAGAAATAGACAGAATTGCGGGGGAATAAAGCGAAAGAAAGGAAGAAGAAAGAAAAAACCACCCATCGCAAAGCCCCCATATAAGCAGGGAGTATCCCCCATTCGCTACAGAATATCACCCACATCGACCGAAACATACTTCCCAAACACCTGATCCCATTCCTCCCAATCAAAGTCCATCATATCCTGGCCGGCGCCCTCCGCTGGCGGAGTAAACTGGCTTGCCGGCGGCGGCGGTGGTGATGCCGCCTCCTCCGTCATCCCAAAGCCCAACTCCACATCCCTCGACTGCTGCTCCTGCAAAAAGTGCGCCGCAACAGCATCCGTGAAAAACGCCTTATCTTCAGCGTCAATGATTGTATCCATCTGCAGGAGCTCCTCAAAACTACCTCCACCAGGCACATCGTCCATTTTTGGCGGCGGGGGTGTCACCGGCCTCACATGGACGGGTATAAACGGTGGTGGTATCGGCGGGACCGGTGCCGGTTGTGTGACTGCCGTGGTATGGTCCATCGCAAACTGTGGGAAATTTGGATAGTATTCCTGCTGGCTGTTGCACCCGCCGAGCGGGCTGACGCATCCGCCGAGTTGGACCCCGCACCCGCCGAGTTTGGTATCAGGGTCCTTGGTAGTCCCAGATTGTTCTTGTGGCGCCGACGGTGGTATTTTGATTCCTGCTTTTTCGTAGGCCTTTTTGCGGAGGCGCCAGAGCATGCGCCAGGCTTCACGACCGCCCTCCATTAATGGCCGGTTACCACCCTCGCCGTCGCCTGTAGAGTAGTTCCCGTGCTCGCCAAAGACGGCGAAAACTTCGTCGACAAAGCCGCGGGACTTGGGGCCTCAGGAGCGAATGGGCGCTCGTGGAGGTCCAGAATGAGGATCATGGTTGCGTGAAGGGGTTGGTAGGTGCCTGGGCAGAACCATTGGTAGGGCTGAAAGAGCTGGGTTCGTGAGAGGTGGAGGAACTTGCGGAGGAAGGAGTGGCAAAAGTGGAGGGCACTGATCAATACTCGTTAGCTAGGGAGAAGGAATGGTATAGGGAAAACTGCAAGGGAACGCTATAACGAACCAGTTACGGGCATGCTTCCACATGTTGCTTTTTGCGCTCTTCAAGAACGGTTGATAGAGTACCCCAAATGCCCTGTCGCTCAACAAACTCAACATGATCCTCGCCCACGAGTTGAAAACGACAGCTCTTTCCACCTCATTTGGTACTTCAGGCTCCCCTTTAGAACCCACGGGAGGGGTGAATCCCATTTCGGGGATTCCCCGCGCTGGTATCCTTGATATCTTCTTCTCCAGACTCATTTTAAGTTCATATATCATCTTCCCCATCTCCATCAAATCACTTCTCTTACTCCCTCGTATTGCAAATAAGCGGGTAATGATCTTCCTAAGAAGAATTGTCGATTCATATCGGCCCACTGCTAATATCATGGCAGGCGAGGAGCGTATATCAATCTTTTCTTTATGAAATTCCTGGCATCGCGAGTTATGGGGGGTCATTGGTGTGACCGGGTCTGGGGCGCCTGGAGCAAGCCCGATGTACTCATCTCTGAGCTCAGATACCATTTTTGTATCGTAAAGGTCATCACCGCTCCCACCAAGGGGCGGAAGACCTGTTGCGATGGCGCCTTGAACATCGAGATACATAATGTGCCACCAGACTCTCCGACGGACCTCGCACTCGACCTCTGAAAGTTCAAATAGTGAACCATCACGATGGAGCCCCATTGACTGCGCAACTCGCATTGCCATGCCAACAAAGGAGCATGATGTGAGCGGCTCTTCTTCACGAATAAGGCAAGTCTACACTATGAAGAAGGAAATGAGAGAGTACACGGTTGGGGAGCGGGGAAAAGCGCATGCAGCAAGCGCACTCATGGTTGCAGCATAGAGACGGGACGAAAGCGTTTCTTTCGTCCATTCACCTCCCGTTAGTTTATTTATCGTTTTGCTCGACATTGAGATAGCCCCAGCATACAGCACGGCCATCAATAACGGGAGAAAGGTTGGGTTCTCCGTAAGCTTAGAGTCGGGGAATTGATGCTGGTTGTCTGGATACCATCCCCAAAAATGCTGATAATCCTCATCAAATGTTGGTGCATGTAACAGAGGCATAACTGGATGGACTCCATGCAGAAATGACTTGTATAGATGATTTGCAAACGACTTATTTGGGAGTGATTTGAGGATTGCTGGGACTACTTCACAGGTACGAGCCTCAATCTCGCGGGGCTCGAATTGGAGAAACGAGGCTTTACTGAACATTGCTAATACAGCCTGTGGACACCCAGCCCTGTACTCTGGCTGTGGCTGTGGCTGTGGGGGCGCTAGAGTGGGTTGCGGTTTTGGTGTGTTTTTAAAGTGCTCTTCACATTCTCGCCGATTCCCGATTCTGTCAAAGTGGGTATGGGTTTTAAGGATTTGATTTAGTTCGTTGATCTATTGGTAACCGTAAGCTTATGCTGTGTGGTTTGAGGGATGTGGAGAAGAATATCCTCACTTCACTACTGAGGAGGCCCCAAAAACTAGTACCAACGTAACGGGACCTTCCTCCACCTTGAATACTTAGATGGCCGATACCTAAATCATCAACATCATCGTTTTCACTCTGTCTCGCTGCTTCAATCTTTTCGTTGAGTATTTTAATAGGGGTATTTGAAGCAGCCCACCCCGGCCCATTATTCTCTGATTCTTGACTTCGGCCTCCGATGCTACTCCCTGGTGTTATAGATATATTTGGAGATAATGTATGTGTCGGAGAAGGGGATGCTGACGACGCAGAATGGTTCAGGTCAGTAGAATTATGTCTAATTGGTCCCGTGGCTTGTTGCAGTAGATATAGATAGGCTTGACTTTGTGCGAACCCGTTTTCATCCAAGGTATTCGTTTTTGTAGCATTATCATGGCCGGTTGTCTGGAGTCCTGGCCGAGGAGCAAGGCCATCTGGGGCAGCGCCATGAGCAGAGGCATCTTTATACCATCTATCCACAATTTCTGCAAGCCTATTCATTCTTGTCTCTAGGTCTGCTTCCTTGCTTACTCCCAAGGTCGATTTCGGGGGTGAAGCTGAAGAAGTAGTGATCCTAGTAGCTGTCGGATTCATGCCGTTTCCCCCTTCCTCCCCATCTTCACTCATCGTTAGAGTGCCCTCGTTTGTCCTTCGCCGTTTCGTCCCGCCTCCAGCCTTCTGATTCTTTTCATCCTTGCCACCTTTGTTTCCATTGATCGCGTGGTCATCGTAGACACAAGATTCTACTGTCTTTGTACAGTTACTACAGATGGGATGCAAGCGATCGCATTTGACTTTCCGACGTCGGCAAGCATGGCAGGAGTAAGATATTCTATTTCTGTGGATTTGGCGGGGCTGGGCGGCTTGTTTCTGCTGCTGCTGAGGGCGTAGTGGGCTCGAAACCGGAGAAGGCTGATTGAAGTTGAAGATGTTTGGTACAGAGCTTCCCGAAGGTAGACGGAAGTGATTCATGGTGTCCATTTTATCAAGCTAGTAGGACTCTGTCAAGGACGTCCCCCCTTTGCAGCTATTCCTTCGACTTCCTCTTGTTGGAGCTTTTTCTCGTATTCGTATCGCAGTTGTGTGGAGAGCTCTAGGAGAGACTACGCTTTGAGGCTATGAGCTGCGCCGATAACAGCGGCGCTCGCGGCTATTTCCTTGAGTAACGATTCACTGACAAAGCAGGATGGTTGTGTAAAATACGCTGACAATGCCTGAATGGATTCTGGGTTGTGTCCAAAAGATGAGAGAATCTGTTATGAATGCATGTACTAAATTGTATGTGGATAAAGGATTAGAAAAAAACTAGCCCCTTACGCCCCTTACGCCCCTCATCCTCCCCCACTTTCTCCACCGTACGCGTACGTATGTAATATATGCCATGGAGCATAGAAGAAGAAGAGTTCGTATCCAGTGCTCGGCCATATCGGCTGAAGATTCTCATGGCAAGGGTTTGTCGTTCCCCCACCTGCCAGGCGCTTTACGGTAAAGCACTTAGCCGGAGAGAGAGCAAGAGATGAACATTCAGTATCGTAACCATGTAGGTAACAATAAACGGTGCTCCTTTCGACAGTAGTCGTCCTGACCACGTTTCCCTAGTGACCTGCCGCTTAATCAAGAGAGTACCCGAAGTTCTGTTTCTCGCCCGCTCAATCACTCACTCACTTTGAGTTTGAGAAACTTCAATCGATCCCCTCAACTCCCGATAAACATACAATGTTAGGGCTTCAGCTAGCGAACTGAAAGAACGATAGGGTTTCCATTGTCCCGGGATAGAAAAGAAAGGGATCGCCGTGTGATCATCCCCCGCACCTCATCGGTTGCTGGCTGTGACGTCGACCAATTCCTTTTTTCAGGGAAACGCCAAAACGTGGAGTACGGGTTTGGGTCAATCAACTTTTGTCTATTGTCATAAAGCCCGCGGTATACATTTATCCATACTCTGAACATCTCCTCTATAGAGGCCATGAGGAGGTCATTCCATGTCACGAGCCGCGGGTGTTGGGGATTACAGGACAGTTATTGTGGGTCACTTCGATTACTGCTAGGTGAGAGCTATGTTTTAACGACATTGCCGAATTCAGTTTTCATATCTAGATTCTTTGACACGCCTGATCTATTTCCAAGGGTATTTCGTGGAGATGTACCTAGAGCGTATTCCACAATCAGTAACTATGAGGGCGGAATTGATAGACGTGTGGTAAATGATAACGAGAGAGTACGCGGCAAGAGGGGCTTTCACGATTACTTTACCTCACATCTGCCTGGGAGTTCGGTTTTTCCAGACTCTGTACCACCAAAGTATGTCAACCTCGTCTCTATTTCCAGCCCAGGGTTTGGTTTGGCGTTGGATGGCACCTACTAGCTGTTGTCGTCCAGCCTTCATATGCAAATTGAGAGCTCCAGGTCACTTCACAACTAACCCGCACCTAGCAAACAGATCTCTCCGGAAACACGTGCAACAACCGTGGTTCGCATTCCCCTTAGATCCGCAAAACATCATTTTGGTGTAACTCGCTCTCGAGGCAACCGTCCCTACAATGAAGATTGGTACCAGGCTGGTGTAGTTGATATCCCAACCTTTGCAGCACCATCCCCGATCAAACCCAAGGTCCCGCCACCACCAGGAGATCCCTCGGTCTTTTATTTTGGCGTCTTTGATGGGCATGGAGGTGAAGACTGTAGTAGATTTTTGAAGGAAAATTTACACACTTACATAGAAGAGGGCGCAAAGAACTTTGGATTAGGTAAACAGGAAGAACCAGATGAATGCGAAAAAATAAGGCATGATACACAAGAAGAGCTAGTGGCACAATGGAGAGATACGGTTGGAGGGTACTTTAGACGGTTTAAGCCAGACTTTGGGCCAATTGCGGACGTTGAAGGAGTTTTAATGTATGCTTTCCTCAGGGCAGATATGGATTTCATTACCAAAGTTGGGACGGGAGAGGAGGGAGAATCTGCATCGACTACTGTCGACAATGGAAATAAAACGAAAGCCAACCCATTCAAAGGTGGATCCACGGCTTCAATTGCACTAATTTCTACAGCGTAAATATTCCACAACTTCCGTAAACACTGGCATTGCTAATCTTCATTACCCCATCTTGCAGAACTGCGACACCATTCTGGAACCCATCTACCTCAGCAACCCTCATAACTGCTCATCTTGGTGACACACGTATTATCCTTTGCTCGACCGAAACGGGCTTAGCAGTTCCCGTGACCACTAACCATCATCCATCTTCGCCCGCCGAAACTCGGCGTCTTCGCCGTTATGCAACTGCTTTCGTCTCGGACTCCTTCGGCGAAGAACGTTTCGGTGTTCTTGCTAATACAAGGTCCTTCGGTGACGTTTCCCAAAAACGCCTCGGGGTTTCCGCGGAACCAGAGATAACACGACGCGAGATACACCCGGCCGAGTTCTCTTTTATGGCTCTTGTTTCGGACGGTGTGAGCGCCACACTGACGGATCAAGAGATTTGTGACATTGTAAAGGAATGCAAAACGCCCGACGAGGCCAGTAAGGAATTAGTAGAATTTGCAGAGGAAGTGACAACTGAGGGTGACAATGCCACTGCCGTTGTTGTCCGGTTAGGAGGCTGGGAAAAGAGGGGAGTAGGAGGAGAAGGCTACATGGGAACCAAGGATTTACGGGCGTGGAGGAGAGACGAGGCCCTAGTAGGGAGTAGGGGTAGGAGAATGTGAATTAGGGATTTTGGTTATTTTAGTCTAAGAGCCATTTTTCCTTTCTATTTGCTATTAGCGGCATTGCCCTAAAGCATGTTTTTCACATAAAAGGGATAGATATTCCATTAGAGTCAGCTAGCGATATCAATATCTAGTGTTAATTGTGTCTAGTTCCAGTCAATGTTGATAAAATGATTTCTTTTCTTTTTGTAAGGCTTTATACACTTACACGAAGCTATTGTTGATACTGCATACACCAATGAACTACCAATCAATCAATCAAGTCATTGTTGTAATTAATGAATTAAACAAAAACAAACAAAAAATCATTGTTGTTAGATATCAATGAATTAAACAAAAAAAAAATTTTGTTAGACAGAAAGCGAACCGAGTGATATCTAGTGACCCGCATATATAGATCATGACTGTAATGTAAATAGGTATCGAAGCATCCCAGCATCGCTATTCGCTCGGGCTATTTCTAAGAGGGTGTCTTATAATTTATATAATTATGGAGGAGCTCCCTATCATGATCAGAGAATTTTTTACCACGCGTAACAAACGGACTCATTATGTACTGGAATGATGTTGCTATTATTGATGAGTGAAAGTATTCGATCAAACACCAATAGATCTAGATATATGATGAGACTACCTTACCGTCGAAACGCATACAATTTTGAGCCTTATTCAGTCGGCTTATCCAGAACGTAGGCTCACAATAGCTTTATCAGTACAAAAATCCTTTTTTAAGCCTTATTTCATCCTTAAAACATGCTTAAATAATACTTATTTGAACCTTATTGGATTCATAAGGCTATTATGAGCCTACGATCTGGATAAGCCAACTGAATAAGGCTCAAAATTGTATGCGTTTCGACGGTAAGGTATACACCAATATATTTCCATGGTAACTATATATAGAGCCAGCTATAAATCGTATTGACCCTCATACCATCCAACCATACCATCACATGCAGAGAAACCTATCATAATATAATCCCATCCTCTCCAAATTCCATCCCTACCATACCTCCAGCATAATACGGCCGCCGTGGGGGAGAACTATAGTAGGTCTTGCTATATTCTAGTCAGTACGAATACACATATATCAATTTCATGATTGAACTAGTATACAACTTACTCATATGTCAATGGGTATTGTGTGTTGGACAAGCCCCCGGGGCTTGTAGATTTTGTTCTACAGGAGACTCGCCGTTTTCTCCAGTAGTTTCGCAATTAGGATAATTGCTGCAATGTACGATCTCCATGGACGTCTCCGGCTCGTAGGTACAACCGCATGTCCACTTTGAAATTGTTATAAAGCACATTTTATAGTTTGATGCTACTAGCTTACTGAGTGGTGGTAATGTCGGTGGCTTACTTGTACTGAGCTGATCAGCTGAATGATGATAATGGTGGATTACTGAACTGTGGGAATCAGTAGCCTACTTATACCTCCCAAACCTCTTATATCATATTAATTTATATTAGCATCTTCGTAAGCGTATTCGAACATTCTAGGACCCCAATCCCTACGAGATAGCAAATATACCCAATATACGAAAAGACAAATAAGTTTTGGTGGAGGAAGCAGTCCTGTAGGTCCGTACGAGACAGCTGACCATGTTGAAAGTTTTCTCGAAGCACATGTTACGAGACATATTTTCATTTTTAAAACTGGCCCAAAAATACCGTGCTAATCTACTGGCCTAGCTCCTGGCCACCCCGTCGGATAATCCCGCGCTGTTCATGGCCGCCGGCGTTTAGTGTAGCCGACGAGTTGTCAAGTCCTCGGCTTGAACTTTCCTCTCGAGCCCTACGAGCTTAGGTAGATCACCATGAGACGAATTGGCTCGAGCCCCCCGATCATCAAGCCCGAGCAGACGTTTTCAATTTTTGCGGTATGTACTAGTGCTTCAAGATACTGTGTTCTACTCCATGACTGACTAGTGACTTATGGCTCGGCTTGGGCCGGTTCGTCAACCACACTACCGGCGTTTCAAGCGTTTAATGTTGCTCGTATTTCCTCCGGATTCAAGTTGAAGTTCGATACGTACCTAGTCTATGACAGTAAGGATTTACGCCTCATTTATGCACAACAACTGCCGCGCGGGACACGCGCATATAGCTATACCTATGTACCCACCGCAAAGAATGGGGGTAGCTGTCACCTATTATCCTGCTCCTCCGAATATGCTGCCCACCATCATACTACTCGTGCGTCTTCGCCAAGGATTTTAACGTGACTGAGAGATCAAAGCATTTGACCGAGTCAGGTGAAAATTCTTAGCGAAGACGCGCGAGTAGAGGATCGTCGCCCCAAAATTCGATAGGGCAGCTTATTAGGGTGGCAATACTCGATGGCTCGGGCTCAGTGTGATAGTTTATGGGCAGAACCCCTCCTGTAATTAGGACTTATCTTTTCACAAAGGAATACATCATTTTAGCTTGAGAGCTTGAGCTTGAGATTTTTCCCACGAGTACGAGCCCAACCTTCTACGAGACAAGTTGGCTCGAGCTATGGCTAGGGATCAGCTATGTAAGGCCAATACGACCACCAGCTCGAACGTCCGTTTGCCGCTGTTATTGATATCCCTTATGATCTTGGTACTCTTTGGCTTGAGATCGATATCGGGTTCGTGTTGCTGATCTACGCCCCATTCTACGCCCCGCTTACATCTGCCTACTCGTTAATTCATGACGTTTCCAGACTGGACTGGGTCTGCATATATAACGTGACAACCAAAATTTGGTATGTGGTATATGCAGATCTAGCCTGAGTATACTCCTTGGGCAATCAGCCCAAGTCACAATCAGTGATCGAACCAGGTATGCTGCTGAACACTGACTTTCAAATGCGCAGGTACTACTCTACTGCTCTGCATTAGCTACTAGCCTGTCGTAGTCTCATGATCGTACGTACTCTTCAATCATTGCAACCAATCAACGCTGGACAATTTCTACTCATGACGCGCGGTACTCAGTTTTATGACTGATCATTTGACAGCAAAGAAGGCAGACAGGTGGTACTGGTGGAGTGCTAGTTTTCAGGCCGAAAGTTTGTTTTAGTATTTTGTGGTCGGTAGTATCCCCGAGGCCAGTAACACTCCCCGAGGATCTAAGACGAGGAGGGGGACATCAGTCATAGAATATCACTCGATTATGATGACATATGGCTACATGTATCCCCTAAGCTGCCAATCGCTAAGGGCCGGTTTGGAGGAACGCTAGTGTGGCAACCGCAATCCTCGCCGATTGTATTTTGGGTGAAGGAAACCACAACCTACCCAAATCATGATTTGACACTTTTAATTAATATTTTTATATTGATGCCTTGACTGTATACTACGAATCATGATTCCCGGGTCCTTGAAAGAGTGTATCCAAACAGCTACCACCCTCCCCAAATCACAATTGGTTTCCAAACTGGCCCTAACCCTTCCTGTTCCGGTACCAGTCGACTTTTGAGAAACTAATTCACCAATCGATAAGGAAAGCAAGACAGCTTATTTAATTAAGGATAGCCAATATATCATGGATTTTTCTGGTGATGAAAGATACAAATATTTGTGCATGTATATATCGAAAAAGAAAAAGAAAAAGAAAAAGAAAAAAAAACGAGAAAGAAAAATCAATAAAATTGAATTAAAAACCACGAGTGTTTGTTAAATACCTAATTGATTCAACAGTTCGAGTGATAAAAGAACATCGCTTTACCTGTATTTAACAAGATTCGAAACAGCATCCAGTTACTTATCAATATGTGCGCGAACCTAGATCTCCCTACACATAGACGTATACACGTAGCGCGTATCCATTTAATTTAGCCCCAACAACATTTACAGTCACATTAGTAGCTCTGGCGAAATCAATATCTTTCTCTCAACCTCTCTCCTCAATTCTTCTTCTCCAATCCTCCGTCAAAACCCATCCTTCAACAACTTGTACTCTTCCCCCAAACCTCGCTCTGATCCCCTCAAGGCTATTATCACCCCACCATTTCCCTTCCCCCTTCGACTTTCTCATCTCTACAGGACTTTCCTCCTCGTCATCACTATCTATCAACCCTGCAAACTGATCTTCTTCGCCGATCAGTACAATGACTACACTCCCGACCCATCCGCCTTCAAGAAGACCAGCGACAATGGCACCGTTGGAAGGGATTGTGATTGGCTCTTCGATGTATACAATCTCAGGAGCCAGTGCACGGAGGAGCGGTGTAATTGAGTTGGGGTCTGTGAACGGAAGAATGTGCTCGAGGGGGTAGGAAGCTGGGAGGACGGAGGTAGCGATGTTATATGTTGAGGTGTTGCTAGCTAGAACACTGGGTGCTCGACGGAGAACCGGTTGTGATGTCGAGTCTTTGCGTGCAAGGCGCGCAGATTGAGTTTCCGCAAAATGGGTTAATGGGTGTGTGCTTAGATGCGGGGAGTAAATGAGGATATTCAGCTCAGTCATCGACAAATCCAGGGGGTACGGAAGGTGGGAGAGAAGAGACTATGTTTATTAGTTTCGGATTCTACAACGTATTTAGTAGAGCGCCGCTCTACTTGACGCGTGGAGACATACCGCTGGTAACCCGGTTTCCTCAAAATCAGAGTCTGAATCATGGCCTTCGAGTGCTTTCCGCTCAGACACCACAACCGCAACAGTCTTCTTTTTTGCAGGAGGGGGTACGTATTGTGGCCTCTCCATTGAAGCTTCTTTCTTCAGCTCTATAACGGCTTCTGGCTTCTTCTTTGCGGGTAAGACGTCAAAAGCCAATTCTTTGGCCTTCTCGACAACATCTACAACTGCGTGCTCGACTTTCTTCTCGGCAGTTATGGCACTGGCGACCACTGCACCGACGGCGCTGGTATGTTTGCCTTTCAACCTCAAGCGCTCTTCATCGCGTCTCCGGTCCTCCTCGAGATCGTCCGTGTCTTCCTCCGTTATATGATCATATTCGCGGAATCTTCGGCGCGATGATTTATGTCGACGGCGCCTTCTCAGCTTTTTGCGGTCTTCGTCGGAGCTAGAAGAGTAGTTCGACTCAGTGTCGGGCCAGAGATAGAGCCCAACGGACGCGATTGCCGCCGTGAGGCCGAGAGCTATAGGGATCAGTATCTCACTGCTAGGATGTCGTCGACGACCTGCAGGCATCGGTCGTTTATGTTTTATAATTTATACCGAGGGGATGCTTGCGAAACCACAGAGAGGCCTGAGAATTTGTTTTCGTGTGGTTGATATGTATGTACAGGAGGAGGAGGCTGACAGGACTGGAAATCTCTGGCAGACGGAGCATCTGCTGCACCTGCACAACAATTGGTCCATTCAGCAGGGTTGGTGTGCTGTATATGCCACGGCCACCGGACAGGGATTTTGCGTGTTTTGATTCCTTATTCGGAAGTCACCAAACACCTAGAGTATATAGCTATTTATTGCAGTGCCGACTTCCTAGATCCTCGGTACACCAAAGATTTCGACCTAGGTAGAGTACTGATATTGAGCTTTGATTTGGTTTTCGTTTGTAGAGTGGTAATGATCATTAGGTATGCCTAACTTCTGTATCAGTAACAGATTTCTGGCCAGGACCAGGACGTAACAAAATCTGCCATGGCTCAAACGAGAACAATAATCGCATAAACTAGACTCAAAGTGGGCTCATTTGCGCTGATTTCACTAGATACCCAATGCCGCTTCAAAAGGGGGAGCTGTTATGTACCAAGCCACGACACTCCAAACCATTCACCACTGAAGAGTGGAAAACGCTGTGGAATTTGGTCATCGTGCTGTGTATCTTACTGATCACGGATCTCGACATTCATACTGCGGTACCATTTTATAAACTGTCTAATCGCATCTATAGCGCTCTTATATATTTATTTATATCTGCACTGTACTGGTTGACAGGCTTTACACTGTCCACCTCATCCTTTCCTTTCCCGTTCACTAAGATCTACACAGATTAGTTGTTTGAATTACTCTCCCAGGTTTGGTTATGATCAGAATCATAATCGGATCAAGGGTTTCATCATGAACAAAACCTAAAAGCTTATGTATTCCTTGCTGATAAGTGCACGTGGTATGTACAGCGACTGGAATGATCTATGGAAAAACAGGGGGGGTAAAATTGTATGGCGAAATATCTGTGCACCATATCATTCCTGTCGCTGTACATGCCATGCCGTAGTGGCTACTAGCTACGTATATAATATTTACCTGGATAACAAAGCAGGGACATGGCACAAACTGGAATCAACCCAACCAAAAGCCCCCAGAATCTAGAGTACGATGTGGAAATTGCTATGTATGTACCTGCATACACTACCAGATGGCATGATGTTATAATGTGAGTTTACTTTTTTTTGTGCCGCCGTAAGCCCATTTTTTTTTTTTTTGATTTTGACTCCATGTCTTCTGAGTCGCCAGATCAAGTATCGACAATTATTGACCATGGTACGATGTCGATCGCCATTCATCAAAAGCGGCAGCCTACTAATTGGCGCTACAAATCAATTGCATCACTTTGAGTGCTGGTGAATTCACAGTGCACCTGGATCAGGGTAGAAAAAGAACTCGGGCATAAACAACGCAAAAGTACTGCCGATATAACGAACTCGAAGGTATCACGCGGGGCCTCTATATACGCCCGAAAATACTTGATATAGGCAAATACCTAATTATTACAGGACTCATTGCATCATCCTATGGTTAAATGATCATGAAGTTGTATCACCATATCCTACGCATTGAACTTACCTTTATCTCTCGCCAAAAATCATATATGGATTGGAAATTAATTATAAGGTGCTGTGAGAACTAGATCGAACCTGTGCAATAGGGCTGAGCTAAGTCTTAAGCCGCTATGAAATTTCTACATTCCAATCCACCATCTGGATACTGAGTGTAACAGCAACTAGATGTAGATACAACTGTTTCGGAGGTCAAGCTTGACAGGCATCGGTAAAATGCCGTAGGTATTCCAGTGTGTCAATCTCGAGCTTGGTGATCTTCATACGGACCGGGGAAGACAACCCCCACCTGCCTTTAATTGAACCTCGTGGTAGTTCTTTGGCCTGTGTAAAGGCACATACAGTTGATGGTTACAATAATCGGGACTTAAGCCGGGAGAGTACCTATGTACAATTATACACAAAGTATCAATCCGAAGTTGCGAATTTTGCGTAAAAACCGCCACAGGATTCTACATGTTTCTCATTTCAATACAATCTTAAGGTTAATACGCTCTCTATGTATGTACAACTGTTTTCACTTTGGAAGGATTGTCCACAAGAGTCATCATGCAAGCTCACGGCTGAGACAGGAATGTGTGTATGTCGTGCTTTATGTGATTCTCTATCAAGCTAGACTTACTGCCCATGTCTGTACAAAAATAGGCGCTCAGGTGGTTCATGTTACACATGATTCCAGCCTTAAACCTCCTAAAGGTAGCGCCAAGTGGTGAACAGGGCGTTCGGGGGTAGGTATAATAGCCTCTGTTTGTTTGAACTTGCCTACAAGGAGTATTAGTTGACTGAGAGATTTCCAGCCTTGTAGCGCAAACAGATGACAAGCCTTTTCGCGATACCACTAGCTGCACGCCGCAACTTTGGTATGCTTGATCCCTAGCGAGTCTTAATAATTAATTCCATCATGCTTAAACCGGGCCGGGTCAGTTGGTGTAAATGATTAACTGGGACTTTGTAGGACCCTTTCCCGTGCCTCTTACCGGGCAGTGCACCGTTTTTTGGGTATTTATGTATACGGTTATACCCTTAATTCTTTGTGTGGACCTCTATCCCAGTATAATACTGCCCAACCTTTTTCACAAGAGGTGACTATCTAGTTAGCAACAACCATGGGCGAACAAAAGTCGAATTCGTGGCCGAAACATATCTGGGGACTTTTCTTACTCTCGTTGGTGTTCAGCTGCGCGGTTTTGACCAGCCTTGGATGGTATGGACTAAACGGCGGTGGATTCTCTACAGGATTTCCTGCGTGGTTGCCTGGTGTCGCAGTAAGTTTTAGCGTGACATGAGATCTGCAACTTCAAAGCTAATTATTGACTATGTAGGCAGCATTGACACTCGTCTGTACCATCATCAATATAACATCAACCAACCCAAACGCGTGCGAGATTTTTGTGCATGATACTATTCAGATTTTATTGTGGAGTGCTACCACCATCAAAATCTCATTATTCATTACCAATCAAGATGCCTTTGGGAGTTGCGAAAAGACGTCTGTCCGAAGCACCTGCATTAGCGCGCAGCTCGCTCTCTGGTTCGGCGTGGTTCTTTTGTACGTAAAATTCACCGAAAGATAAAGATTTAGGGACCTCTAGCTAATATATATATTACAGACATATCTCATTTGCGAAACTCATCACGGCATTCTACGTTCACAGAAACACGCAGAACCCAAAGAGTCAAACAACTGATTGCGAGAAACAGCTTGGTCCAGTACAATGAACTAAGACCCCCGAGTCACAGTAATAGGGCTTTCTATAGAGTGGGACACAAATCTGGGAATTATTTTATCGGCTGTGACGGATTTCAATTCTTTTTACATATTTATCTTACCTTCTTTAATAATTCTTTATATTTGGAGTATGCACTGGAAAGGATATCGGGATATCATACACACTTTATTCACTTCTTTATTCACTATTCTTCTTTTCACGTCTTCGGTTTTTCTTTGGGTTATCTCGGGTGGAATCCGCGGCTTCAGATTAGGCAGCACTAGAGCTCTTATGTGTATATACTTTGAACCACTCGGGGCGTTCGAAATGTGGAGTAAGAGTACGTCGACATCCACATCAGATCCGTGCTTGCTTGTCACGGGCTTGGATAGCGTAGCACGTGTTTTTGAGATTCATTGGCAGAATATGGCTAGTGGTGACCTATCCCTTAAGCTGTTGATTCTGACCCCCCTATAATAGAGGAAGTAAATTTGTATGAGAGATCTATTGTTTGATAAGAGAGATAACGGGATCTGTTAGTAAAGTCACACCAAACTTGCTTTTTTTTTGGGGGGGGGGCGTGGGGGGTCAGCACTTTCGCAACAGCTTAAGGGATAGTCCGACTGGCGGCCAGGTAAGAACCTTGTCACAAATTTAGATGTCCCTACGTATGCTTCAGCCCATAGTTTGCAATTGCAGGAAGCTTGACAGGCTACGTGCATCCAGTTGACCAATCTATACATAAACGCGGGTCAGGAGAAAGCTTGACTTATGGGCTCAAACCTAACAAGCCCAAACCAGCCAACAAATCTACCCGAAAGCTTCCCCTACTGATACAGAATATTCTAAAGGTTGTATATTATATTTCTCAGAAGTCTCTTTAGCCAGTAGGAGGCTCTATGCCAGGTTGGTTGAAACATCCTGTTTTAAGATACTAGAAAAATATTAAATGAATACTCTTAAACCTTTTATATTAACAGCACCATAAGAATCTTTACCCTTAATATAGTCTACCTACATATTCCTACTTATTTTCCATATCTATTAGTTGTATAGAAATTAATGTTTGTTAGATTTCCGGTTGTTGCGTTGCGTTCTGGCCTTATAAGTCAAGTCTCTCAGACCTGCGTTCACATGTCATGATGCTTGATTCTATTAGCCAAACAACTCCACGTATTTGTTGATGGAGGCTGGTTTACTAAAAAAGTATTTATTTACGATTACTTATATAGTACTTGGTACTAACTCAAAAAGATAACTCGGCGTGTTATCGAGTGATAATTGATGACCAACTATAACGACCGACCCAACCAAACGCGTACATGTAGCCCCCTGGCTATGATGCTCGCACTTAGGCCTTCTTAATATCGTTAGGTACTTAACCCCGCATAGTAAGAAAACAATAAAGGCTTGGTATTTATAGCTTTGTATGATAAGAAATTCCTAATCCTTTCTTTTCCGGTGACCGATAATACTAGGTCTATGTACTCATAATTAAGAACATAGTCTTGATCTTAAAGCTTAAGTCTAGTTATCCTTTTTAATATGGAGCCAGTAGATTAGGTTAATATTGGCCTTCACTGAATACTAAATGTTGATTACAGCTCCGCGCAGCCTGCAATAGCTAGCATTATTATTAATAATAATATGTAGTTAATCCGTCGGCTACTATACCATCAGCTAGCGCGCCTATAGCGCTAATTATCGATACGTTGGAATTTGAGATTACTTGTGGATTCATAATGACGAATCTAGAGTAGTACAGATCATGTGTGCGACGCGAGGGTTAAGTAGTATGCGCGTAGCAACACCCGCGCGCGGCAACGCGTTTGCTTCAGAGTGTGTTATTGCATTTTATAATTTACTACACGTCATCCTTCTTGAAATGTGCATGTATGTACTTCCTTGTATCATTAAGACAATATTAATATTACAAATCTTAAGTACAGCTGTAGGAACCTAGGACGGCGCACATGACCCTATAGGTATATCATTAAGCCCAGGGAGTCTCCTTACGCCCGTGATGTACGGAGCTCGTCCCAAGATCCAGTCGGCAGCCGAAAAGTCTACTGGCGATATTCATCTATCTACTTATACAAGTAAAGATTTTCAACGCTGAAATATCTAGGGTATCAGATAAACCTTTAGGATAAAACTAATGTTGTAGTTTTATTTGTCCAGCGGCCACTATAGAGTTTGTTTCACTTCGTAGGATTTATTTTATCTAGAAATATATATATCCAAAGATTTTTGCCCCACACATTGGATTAATAGTCAATAACTCACCGCTATATACGTTGAGGGGACTTAGTCTTAGTCTTAGATAGTGTACAATAAAAATTCGACGAAAAGTGTCGAGTAAGGACTATCCGAGGCTCAGTTGGAAAGCTGGTAACGTACCTCGCGTGGTAATTAGTATGGGTAAAATGTAACGAAAAGTAACAAATGCGCACGCACACCTTATAATTCCTTTAATGATTCTTTTCTACACTATAAATTGGTTCAGTCCCGCCGGTTTTCTTTCTTTCTTTCTTTCTTTCTTTTGCGGGCATTACAAAGCGCATTTCCTACGATGAGATACACAGCGAAAAGTTAAAGTGTAAAATTGATTCATTAACTAATTCATTTCCATATAGGCTGTAGAGATTTGAAAGCCATTTGAAGGTCATATGGGTAATATTGGTACTTGATGTGACTCGAGATACTTATATGGCCTGATATTAAGTGTTTGGACATTCCTTGGGATTTAAAACTCAAAGTAGCCGTTTGGCTTAAGCTTGATTACAGGTCGGCTAGCGCGGCTTATTGGCTATTGGTTATTGTTGTGTAGAAGTTTGATGGCTGTTATTATGCATTTTAGCATTAGCTAATCAGGTATTGCAGCGATTATTCTACAATAGAGAATCTCACAGCCTAGTTGAGACACATACAATCTGTTTTCCCTTTCTAATTAAGTGTCATTTTAACTAGGTTCTCATACCATTAATTAACATTACCTATCTGTTCGACATTGAGTTGGTGTACCACACAACTGAAACCGCGCGAAGTTTTCGTATGAGATACAAATGCTCTAAACTACTTCAATTGAGTCACTTGTCCAGTTAACCCGCTGGTAAACGCACCATGCCTCGTTTTGTAAATACAAAGGAAACTATAAACGAGCGAGTGATATTCTGTGATCACGTATACGTACTAACACTGTCTTTTCTACATACTCAATTTGAATCCTTCATTGAAATTGATCAACATTTATATTACGCTCTATAATTATAAAATCACATCGAGCTGCAAGAATATGACTACAGATACCATACTATGTACGCAAGGGGAGCTAGGGGTTCCAGCTAGTATTATTGAGATATTTCATCACATCATAAAACATCATATTATAGGTACCTAGATCTGGGTTGAACACAGCGAATGAACCGGTTAACGTCTGAAATGCATACCTTTCCACGTTTATGATGTAGGTTGAGGGATGTATTAGATCTCCAGGATGATGTCAATTAATTCCTTTTTGTGGGTCTTATACAGAAAATGACCAATAAGCGACGATTATTCCGATCATATCAATAGTTCGGGAGCTAGAATCTGTAGATCTCGAACTTTAGGTCTAGAGCCATCCTTGTTTTTAGAGCGACGTATTCTTTTATGAGAAACTAGTGTGATTCACACTGCCTTTCGCGTCGGACGTGATGTTCTTCACTCGTAGTTTCAAATAAATCGCGCTGGATATAGTAACCTACTTCCGTGGCGTATCCCGAAGCAGTGGCCATTGGGTCAATATATTGATTGAGAAATTTTGTGTAATAAGCTAAATTCAAGGGGAGGGGGGGTAAAAATCTCGGTATGACCCGGAGATCATATGCAGTGGAAGTAGGTATCCTCATGACCGCTGTAAAATCTCCGACAGATCAACACAGTTTTCTGTTAAAAGGTTAAGTGGTAAGGATTTCAGAGACCTCTTTTTACATCGTCAATTGAGAGGGCACTCTAAGTTTGAAAGTAAACGCTTGAACAAGTAACAAACGCTATGAGCCTTTTCTAGATGTAATAACGGGGGTGTCATAACCAGGTACCCAGAGTAATCGAAACATTATCGTTGGAATCTAGATGACATGTACGAGCCTTCTAAATTGTACATGTTCAACTGGCAATGCAAGGGGTTTCTTCTGGCCACGCATTCCATGTTTCCACGCCTTTGGAATGAAGCTCTCCGTTCATTCTTTAGTTTTGCGCTGTCTCAATCAATGGGGGGTCGGTATACTATTATCAACAGAGGACCATTGTGCCATTTCATCCAGGAGATCTAGAGTTCGGACCTAAAATATAGAAACGGCTTTCGGGGAATTGCCTATTGGTGGGCCTGATAGGGCATCTCAATGTGATTAGAGTGTCACGTGGCTGTTTCCTCTTTCGATATTATAAGCAGATCTTAAGCATGGGATCTAGGGATATCAAACAAGTTCATATCGTCTACACATATAGTTGTTTGCGTTGACTAGTTGATCATGGGTTTACCATAAATTGAGAGAAATCTCTAACCCAACAGAACTTAGAGGAGTTTCGTTGCATCATATTTAGTCTAATCTGAAGCTAGGAGATCAATCTGAATACCAGGAACACAAGCTCCGACCCCGAGATATGTGATTAGGCCGGCCGATCTATAAAGCGTGAGACTTTTGACACGAAACCCTTTTCTTTTTCCTACTGTAAAGTCCAAGCCTCACCTATATATAGCCAGCCTTTCCTCAAATGTGATATTTACGACAGAAAATGCATACTTTACATGCACAATAGTGGCATATGGGATACTAAGTACATATTGAAGTTAGATCAATGATCATTAGACGTTTCCTTCGCACGCACCTCTTTACAAGGCGAATCGATATTAACGGCTGGCCAGGCGTGCATTTTAATTTGATTAGCTTCGAGAGTACGAGTCCTTGGAGCTCGTATTGTTATCCTCTAACCGGTACGGCCGTACTGTGTTACCTTGTAAAAACGCGAAGAGAAAAAGGATATTGGAGTTAAAGGTGTAAATTTTGGTGATTTTCTACTTTCAGCTAACGCTTGGTAAATCAAGAGATAGAGATAGATCCCAGGTTTCTCGGGGCGTGCGGTCCTGGTGACCACCCAGTTAAAAAACGCTTTGCCAGCTGCTATCCGTGTTTTCTTTTCCCACACACAGCTGCTTAGAAAATGCTTTTGGTTAGTCTGCATTTTTCCTTGTTTCAGATCCTAGCCGGGAGCCCAACGAGAGGCCGGATTGGTTGATGCCCGCGATAGGCTAGTGAGAGACTATCTATACTCGTTGTGGTAGACGCTGAGTAAAGCATGGGCATGTTAATTCATGAACAGCACCAACAGCAAGTGTGATCATGCCGCCGTTTTCAAGTCGCATCAATCAATATTACATGCTGGTAAGTGATCAGTGATCGGCCTGGACTGCAAACTTACTTGCAGCAAATCGACCCTAGGTCTCGAATGCCAGATAGATACCAAAGATATTGGCTGTAAAAGGCTCCAAGACCATCTCTATAGGTTCCCTGATCGTTGCCTTTTATGTCAACTCGGTTTTAAAACGGCAGCATGATAATATTGTTATCGAATTTCTCCGTGATGGTCATTACCTTGCAATTCAAAGAAAGATCGGCTTGGTTCCATATATCGTGGCCCTGGCTTCTAGCAAGATATTACGTCTTCGACTGCTAAATTTTGATTCAGAATGTGCCCCAGAGTCTTGGATGATGAAGCAGGAATATTGTATTGTCAATAGACACTCAAACATGTCTATAGCTATTACTAGCTAACTAATCCATCATTCCCAAAGTTAACTTATCCTAGAGACGTTGTGGACTACAAAGGACCAGCATATCTTTTGCACTTCCTTCATTTTTGCGGGCGGGGAAACATTTCACCTTCTGCCGTTAGGTGTCATCATCTTTTCACTACGCAGAATACGTAGAGTACGTACGTACAGACAGTGCAAAGTTCTCCAGCTGGCCAGCCCCAGAAAAGTATTCTCATCTCCTATACCTACCCGGAGATGCAGCCGGCATTGCAACTATATGCACAGTCCAAACCTCATAATGCAAGTTACACGTGCCTGAACATCGATTGCTCAAGCATCTTCCTGTTTCGCCGACTGGTAACGCGTTTGTAATGCTGCCGAAAACTAGTGAGAGGCCTCAATACTATATAGCCCTTGCAGCTTTGTTTACGATTGGGATCAGCGGAAATTTATTAGGATCTTAATCCAGCCACAGTTCACTTTACTGCGCCCATGGGCGGCCCAGTACGTGAATTTATCACATTGAAGCAGGTTGAGAAAAAGTTGGCGCACTTATTCGAAATATTCATCATTCTGGCCGAGTACTGGCCCCCTCCCCGCCCCCGATCGTATCACGAGTCTTTGGAGCATATCAGCCTCCTTTTCTATACTTATATATGATCTCTCATTCGGTTATATAAGTAGTAAGGTTCTCGCAAGTAGTTTTCCAACAGTCCGCCTTGATATCACGCAACACACCACACGACTGCGGTATACTTCCGACTTATCTTATCTAAGAAACTTAAGCATACATATCATTCAAATCACAGTTAAATAAAGCTTCACAGAAACCAAGCAGCACTATCTATATCCGCTCATCGTCATTTTGTCTTTCGGAATTTCTTCGGTAACACAAATCAACCTCAGCTACTGCAGCAGAATTTATCTATCCTTCGAATACTTAATTGGCTTTGGTGCTTGGATTAATTATATTAGATAGTAAAAGTAAGTTCAGAGCATCATAGCTAGTGTCAGGTTCATACCATCCCTCAGCTTCCAAAATTATCACATAATTTTATACCTGTGGCCAACTTCAATACCCTATCTTCGAAATTCGATCTAGCTTTGCTACTTTACAAATATCCTTCTACCAACCCCGTCCCCTCCACCTCACTAGTATATAGGTTTAAAATGTTTTATTGAACCTTTGTTTGTATTGTCAATGCTTAAAGATTATTTATTGCCCTGCTGTATTCGATAAATCAGTATATTTGCAACTGCTGTAATATTGACGTGTGAGAGGATTCATTTATTGTGCATGAACAAAGTTGACCATTTCTAGTGCACTACAGATACTCACACACCCACGATATGGCATCGACCATGATGCCTTTAAGCCAAATCGACGAAAACCTATTTACTAGCCCACTGAGCCTTCGTCGACACTCTATTTCGTCAGCTAATTCTTGTGCGACTCCGAATTCTCCTGGAGATCCTCATACACCGAACACGACTTCACCCCGTACACCAAAGTCAGAGGCTGGAAGCTCGCCGGTATATAACGATAACGAGTTTGGGAACTTCATGATGAGATTTCAGGGACTGAAATCACAATATGGGTCGCAATCGATTGCCCCTAATCTACTTACTATGAGTAATTCTCATTGCGATAACCACGACGCAAGCTCATTGTATGATCCACATGAGGACCTCCTTCAGCCACATCAATTGGAACAAATCGGTCAGGTTTTCCCCCAACCGCTCCATAGTCAACAACCGCAGTGCAATAATCAATTACAGTCGATGCCATATATAAACGGCTGTTCACCACCATATCAATGGGGTCACGAAAATAACCCTGGGGCCGCTGCAATGACTGCCCTGCAATGTGCGAGAGAAAAGTACGAGGAGGATGACGAAGAAATGCTGGATGAAGATTCGCAACAGTCTTCACCTCCACCTACTGTCAACTATTTACCGTCGTTGCAGCGAGCTCCTAGCAAGATTAGAGGACAACGACGCCGCCGCAGTACCATGCGTCGAACAGATCAAGACGAAGATGACGAGAACGGTCAGGAAGGGGATGGTTATCTTGTACTCGTATCATCTGCAAATATGCCTCACATGTGTAAAGAGAAGGGGTGTCTAAGAAAATTTAAACGCCCAGAACACCTTCGTCGTCACGCACGGACCCATACTCAGGAACGGCCTTATAAGTGCGGTGTCTGTGGTCGGCCTTTCTCGCGGAGTGACAACCTCAAAGCCCACCTAAGAACCCACATGAAGCCCGGAGGTAGGAACCAGTACGTTGCGGGTCTGCAAATGTTGTAATGGGCATAGTACTGCGGTTTGTTTATATGTTTGTGTTTTTTGTTATATATACCACTTCCGTTTCATTAGTACTCCATTCATGTGGATCATATTTTTGTATGTAACTCTAAGATATGAGTTTTTATTTGACGCTTTTCTGGCTGGTTTAGTGGATCTTCTATATTTTCACATGTACTTTTTTTCTTTCTTTTTGTTCTTCTAATTAGGAAGATTTACTATCTGCGGTGTCTGGGTGGCCTACATGTTTTGGGATCGAGCTTTTTTTTCTTTATGTTTACGTTCTCTTATTTTTGGGGGTTAAAAGAGCGGATAAGAGTCGATTTCTCTAGCAGCCGTGGAAATGCATCAATTTTGACGTTTCCCATACAAAAAGTTGCGAGGTACACATTATTTGATGCAATAATCGACCTACTGTGTGTTAAAGGCATTCCTGTCCCACTACCGACAATTTACCAACACCTTTACTGATGTATTTACCTGTTAAAGGCAATAAGTTACGACTTTACTGACGACATTCCCGTTAAAGGCATGTTAAAGGCATGTTAAAGGCAAAAGAAATGATGGTTTCCGGTGTTTCCCGTTTTCCGCCGGAAAATCAATGAAGCCCCTCCTCTATATCTCGAGATAGTTGAGTCCACAAATAGAATATTTCGGTGGGGTCATCAAATGGTATCTGGCATCAATGGACTTGTAACAGTTGGGGAATACAATTTCATTTTGGTGGATCTATTGTTTGGCATGTACATGCAGGGTATTCTGACTTGATGCTTCAGGTATAATAGTAGGATACTCTGTGATGATTCGTCTCATTGGCGGTGGCATTGGTCCATCATGTGAAGCATCACCGGTGGGCAAATTAAAGCTTATCCCCCTTTGATACACCCAAAATGAGTGACAAAATCGTGACAGGTAAAGGTGTCAGTAAAGTCGTCAGTTAAATCGTCTGTAAAGTCGTCCGATTTCCCTTAAAACGACTTTCCCTCCACCAAAATATTGACATTTCCCAGCGAGAATTAGGACCCCAGAAACGGCTTTCCCGACGACTTTACTAAATTATTCTAGGTACACATTTCCACGGCGTCTAGAGTTTTCCTGTGGTAATCATCGGATTAACATGTAGTTCGCAATACACAATGTCCTTAGTTTACATACAAGCTTAAGTTACAAGAGTACATGTATATAGGTATATCTCTGTAGCGGATTGCTGAGATTGGTTCAGTGGTCCAGCCGGCCGGCCTTGACAGCTTTACCAATTCCGAGTCAGCCACCATACGGCTCATCTTGTTAATTGAGATGTTACCGCCATAAGTCAATCGGGATGGCTCCACCCGCTGAACTACCCTAAATTCTGCGCCGGCTTGGATTACCTAAATTCCTCGCCGGTCAAAGTCAATGATATGAGGGTCTCTTTTAGATGGGCATGGGATGTAGTACTTGATAGTTAATCGCTCAACTATTCAACCTAAATGGATCAACCAACATGTGGCACGTGCTGTAGGAGGGGCAGAGTCTACTGGGGATCGAAATTCAGAGTGTGAGAAAGAAGCAAAAAAAAGAAAACTTCTGGCGGTTGAGTATGGATCTCTGGAGTGCAGTATGTACAGATGTGTTATTTTGACATCCCATCAACTGATAATGATTGTCTCGGGAGATCGGTGTCTATGTATCGAGAGAGCTCTACATCCAATCAATATTGGAGAATTGCTCGAACACTGCATCAAGGCGTGCCACACCATATAACATTAGGGGGCTTTCTTTGAGATTCCAACCACATATGTGCAATTAACTTCTCTCGAGGTACGCTTTTTTCTCCCGCCGATCAACTCCATTTGTTCAAGAGATAAGTGTTGACATGTACGTGGCAGAAAACGAATTCAGTACACATGTTTATTCTTTTGTCGATTCTTGGGGTCTAGACCTGGCCAGGGGGTTATGTAATCCGATCAGGCCCCCACCATGAGATGAACCATCAACAGTATTAGATCGCGCGTCTTGTAAACGAGGCAAAAAAAAAACGCCCTGACCGATTGCATGATTTTGCCGCGACACGCGGGACCCGCCATAGATTAGCTTGGTCCCTTTTGTCATTCAGCCTTTGGTCGTTTTTTTTATGCGCCATTCGGATCACATGACATCACTCGTCCGACCTATCGTCAGTCTTGGCACAAAAAATGCTTGACATTTGTAAATTGTGCGAAAGGAGGCCAGTCGTTTTAACAGGAAGAAGTTTAGTCGCTTAGAACTCTTCCCAGTCGCAAGAGAGTTTTTCTTTTATTTCTAGTCTTGGTCCTTCTGCTATTTTCATAAGCCAATCAATCAATTTAATCGTGCCTACATAATATTGTACCGGCTGAAATACATTAAAAATGTCGTGTAAAAATGTCGTGTAAAATCAGAAGATTTCATATACATGTATGTTGCTCAACTCCCAGGAATCAATCAGCCACAACCTAACTCACCAGCGATACCAAGATTATTACTTCTCATTTTCGACTCTCAGTTCTTTTACGATCTCTCCTGCAATATGGTGTGCTATGGCCATCACAGTAATCATCGGGTTGACTCCACTTGCGCTGGGGAAAACACTCGAATCTGCCAGAAATAGCCCCTCTGATCCCCACACCTTACCTTTATCATTGACCACGGAATCAACTTCATCACTCCCCATCCTGCAACTCCCCATTTGATGTGCGCTTATAAAACTAGATTGCGGCAATGGCAATCCATAATCTTCTAGTTTTTTAAGCCACCGTTGAAACCGCTTGTCGTTGATACCGGGATCGTCAAACTTTCTTTCCTCCTCTTCGACAGGTGTTTGTAGGCTATCGTTACAAAAGAGTATCTCGAGTACTTTTTCAAGCTCTTCATTTTCCTCTTCTTTCTCTAATGCAAGCTCTTCGGCAGTAGGATTTCGTTTGAATGTAGGCATTCCCGAGTGGTAAGGAACAATTTCCTCTGCACCTTCGATGAACAAGAGCTTTGATAGTGCAACAACGCCCTTTAACAGCATCGCCCGATCATCCGCACTGGGGGTGTAACTAATTCGCGGCATTCCAGTTGCTGGATCACAGTAAACTCTACCTGGATCCTTTTCTTTGAGTAATACCAGGAAACACCCTGCCCGATGGTGGTTCAAGATATGCCTCTTGAGCTGCACGTGATCGTTGAAAGGGAACGTGCGCATCCATATCAAAGGCGGCATAACGGAGGTTTCTAGCTTAACGCCATGTCCGAGACCATCGAGATTTTCAAACTCGGTACAAGCGCTTGTCAGGATAGAGCCAGACATAGGGTTTGTAGGGGTAGGGAAGAAACCAGTCATGAGGCAGACGGGATGGGCGTGGAAATTTTTCCCAATATTTGGGTTCTACAAATATTGTTAGAAAGACTCCCTGAACTCTGCATAGGGAATTACTTGCAGTTAACCCACTCCTTATCAAGATGGCGGGAGAATGTATGCTCCCGCCACTGATAATAACCTTTTTGGCTTTGATGATTACTTTTACCGTCCTACCTCCCTGAATCTTAGCACCCCATGTACCCTCCACGCCTATTGCTTTTGTCTTCTTTTCGTCTGAGAAGATGATTTTATCGATGTAAAAGTCTTGTATAAATTTGGTGCCGGCTTTTGCTGCGTCTGGAAGCCACGTTTGGGTTCTACATCGATGTTTCAGGCTCATAAGAGACATCCTCTCAAAATATCCAAATAAAATTGCAGAAACTTACGTCCCCATCTTTCTTCCTTCGCTTGCCCCCCTCCCTCCACAACCGAAACAGCAGAACCCGTCATCATGAGTTCTGTGCCGCTTAACCTCCCCATCCAGCGGAGCCCCAATATTCTGCGGTACGGTGATTGCTCTCCAACCAAGTTTTCGAGAACCTTCGAGAATAACTCTGTTCCGATGGTTATGCTCAATTTCATCAGTGACACCCATACGATTACAGACGTAATCCATGCATTTCTGGTAGTCTTGTGACATAAAGAACGGTAGGCCGTTTTTGGTTGCCCATTCTTCCCTAACGTAACCTTGAGTCTAGAATTGATATCAGTATCATTTTTTTTCTAGAGAATTTCTATGGTTAGTACTTGTAAACTTGCCGCCCAATTAACCATGCCGCCGCCCCCAAAAGTAGTACCTGCAGCAAAGGCGATACTGCCATCATCGGAAGTCAATGTCATTCCTGCCTCGAATATCTCTTCAAGGGCTTGGAGCTCAGGCAGTGGGAGTTGATCCGTTGGATACCTGTTTTTTGGTCACATCAGCGGGAGAAACCCTAAACGAAGCTATCGAATATACCAAATGCCCTTTTCTACCACCACAACTTTGTATCCCTCTTTTGCTAACCTCGCTGCTGCCACAGCTCCACCACAGCCAGATCCGACAATTACCACGTCATATTCAATCTCTTTTAAATCTTCTACACCTTGGTTTCCTGTGCTTGATGAAAAGTCGAGGAATTCGAATTGATGGAATGGTCGATATTTTTCATTTACTTGGTCAGAGTAAATCTCTCCAGCTATCCTTCCGATTCTCGCTTTGTGCCCAAGAGCACCATGAAGTACATCTTTGGATATGGATCTAGACCATACAGTCTTGGTGATCGCGACTATCGCTTTGGCAAATGCTCGTATAGGTGGGAATAGAACAATCGAGGCAGGGTTGAGCCAGAAACGAATAAGCCCTCCCCGTTTATCAAGGGACTGTAAGTGGAAAAGTGTTGATGAGTATGTCAACAGAACGCACCCCGGAACAGAACTACGATTGATAGATCAGTAATTTGTACACAGCTAGGACATGGAAGAATAATACTTGAGCAAATCTAGCACCGCAGCAAATTGATCGACCGTTTTTCGTGGAAGCCTGGTGCTTAGGAAAACATCCAGACATTTCCGAAACTCTATGTTTGAATAATTGCTCTCACTTGCTGCAACGGCTTTGATAGACTCCGGGTCGGCCCCAGCCGGGGCTTCAGCTAAAATAGACTGAATCTCTTTTTGGTCGAGAGTCTGAAAGACCACTGATGTAAGGGCGTATAATGTGATCCATTGTGAGGGTTTCAAGAGAGGAGAGAAGTCGTGTGGGTGATCTAGTGGTGATGGCATTATAAGTTTGGGTACGCGATGAGGGGGTCGTTTGGCGACAGGAGGTGACGTTGATATAAGCTATTATTCTCTAAGCTTGTGATACCTAGGTCTAACTACATGTATTCACTTCGGGAGTAGATTTCGGTATGCAGGACGAATGAAAAGTCTACGTCTACGGCGATCGCCGTGGGGATAATCAACGGTTCGGGAAGACTGCGCGGCCAAGGAAAATCCTCCTAACAATTGCTGACTAGGGGTTGGCCCGGCGTTACCACCGCGATGATTGACGACTTAGATGTTATAACGTTTTTAACCTGGCACCATTTGGCTGTGAGCAAATTTGGTTGTGGTTATGTTGCCGAGCCTTTCGTCCCCAAAGTTTATATGTAGGCTTGCCATTCACACAGTACGTTACCGGTATACGGTAATTGAAGATAAACATCTTGGCACAAATAATCATCATTCCATGATCCAGTCGATTCGTCTGGGACCGTATATACATGTAAACTGACATGCATGTTCTTTGAAAAGCGGCCCTGAGCTGGTCTCCTTATAGCTACATGTATTCTACAAATTTTCTGAGAAGCAGAAATCATTGACCCTTGAGTATATACTTAGTCTTTCATGATCGCGGAGGATGTTCACTGTGCAATTCCTTAAGTTTATGATCAAATTCATAGGTCACATTTCCCCACAAAGTTATATCGATTACACACACGAAGTAAAGCGTATAATATAATTATTAACCGAATTTCCTGGTGAGAAGACATAGTTTTGTGTTGGGATGAATGATCTCCCCTGAAGATTGACCATGTTAAATTTTCCGATAGTAATTTTTTAATAATACCAGGTGTTTTGAGAAGCCAGGACTTTACAGTTCAAAATGCACGATTCCGTCACTCTGATATATAATTGAGACACGAGCTTTTCAGACTTGAGTTTCCATGTAGTATTGTAAACTCCATCCCTCTAGAGTTTGATTAACCATCCCTTCGCTATACAGGCCGTATCAAATTGTTCCCTGAGCAGGTTTTCTATCGGGATAAGGATCAAAAATATATGCTTAGTTTCATCTCAGTACTATCTTCTCTCGAGTATCGCTGCCTTGGGCCAAGGCTATCCCTATACACGTACGACTACATATTAAGAGAGTACTTAAGTATCGATTAAGTGAAGGGAAGTGTATATATTAAGATTAGAAAATACTTTCATGAGCGTTTCGCTAATATAGATAGGCAAATGTGGAAAAGCGGCAGTACCAGTTTGGATCTTATATGTATATTGGATCTTTATAGAATCTCGCTCCTCCTACTATATATGTATAGTTCTCGTTCAAGAATCATGGGACAACGCAACCGCGAGTTGCTACAGGGGCTTGTCCCAGGATTTTTGACATGGAGTTATACATGTAGTTGTGGTAACAGCTTTTCTGCTTTGAAGGGGACTGATGCTTTTTAAATGCCAATGTAGCCACCAAGGTTCCCTCCGAGACCATGGTTCCATCAATCTCGGAAGTTCCCTTAATTAAATAGAGAGTCGATGACGCATCTCTACGTACATGTATCTATACATGTAGTCTCGTACCCATCCCCTACTTCTTAGCAGCCAGTATACATGTATTCTATTGCGATAACAGGTGCCGCGATCGAACCAGGTTGGCCACGTACAAGGTGCCACGCTAGTTAAATAGGCTATGCCCTTGGAAACCTTATTTTGACGTCCAAATATTGTTACGTCCCGATCAGCACACCCATGGCTCAGCCCGCTCTGGCATACTATGTACGTATTCACACGCCAGTGCCGTAACAATGCGCTAGGAGTACAGTCCAATATTTCCTGGGGTCATCGATCTCAACCAGCGCACCAGGTTCGTCTTTCCAGACCTAGAAAGCGCTGCATCTTTGGAGGGCGCTGACATTTAAATTTATCCTGACAGGCCTCACAGATAGATAAAGCAGCGCTAGCACGATGAATACATATAACAAGTTGCTCGTAGGAGAAAAGTACGATACTACAGTGCAATGTATCTATTGATCACCTGCTTACTCAAAAAATGATGCCGAGAACCGACAATGACCAAGGACTAACTAAACTTCCTAGTACTATAGCTATATAGTGCGACTGGAGTAACGGAACTCAGGGACAACGACAATTATACTCAATTTAACGTTTATAATTGTCTAGAAGTGGTACATAGTTGATATATGGTTTTGAAACTGCTAGATCTATATATATACACAAGTAGTTTCCAGCCTTCGGCCGGTACTATATGTATATCAATCAGTCCAATATACAGGCAAGCCGCTTTGCGGCTTATTTCTCTTTTGCCTGGCAGGCAAAGTCCATCACTATATCTAGATCTGCTCTGGTTAACATGTGCCTTTTCTGATATCCCCGATATATCAACGGATAGGTCAGACCATTTCTCCAGTTAAAACTACAGGTATATCCCTTTAGCAGCCACCAAGCTGCTAAAATCGAACTACTAACCGATTCCCAGAACCAGTAGAAACCTTATTGACACTCTGACAACACTCAGCACAATACCCTATGTTAATATCCAACACAACATGTTTCAAGTGGAACAAAAACAGCTCTCAATGGACCAATCAGAAGACTATAAAAGCGCATTGCATATGCAGGTTATAATTATATACTTATTAGATATAGATGAGCCACATTCTAATCTCGTGCACTCCGAATTTTCATCATGTAAAGCCTTTATTACTAATGATTGATAATTCATTAATTCTTTGCAGCCCGGGGCATTTACCACTAACTGTAACGTGTAATAGAACATCACAATTAGAAGATATTCAGCACTAACCAAAGAGTTACTCGATTGAGTAATCAACTTTACTGTAGCATTTACGGGTATAGAGTACCCGATCTGCAGATCAATCTAAACCGACTGACCCGGAAAGTCTTGAAATTAATATATCCTTACTGAAAATAGGTAGGTGTTCGATCAATGATAAGAAAAATCCTTATATATACGCAGCATTGAACAGTCAAACGTCTTACGTCAAGGAAGTCAACCTCGGGATATATTCAACACGATAAGTAGCATGCATGTGTGTGTGCGTACCGCCTTTGCGCTCCCTATTCACAGAGAATCAATCATATCAAACAAAATATTTAAATCAAGCACTTTCCGAAAAACTAGTATTAAAAGAACCTAGACCCCCTTCTAAAGGAAGGTGAATGCCAGAAATAGGGATCACTTCGTCCCCTTCATCTTCAATGGAAGATCTTGCAATCTACAGGTACGCTCATGTAGAATTGATGGCTCGACTAAACAATAATAAGTCTGTTAAAATTAGCAATGATCTGGCGGACTTGAGTGAGATCATGTCCCCCACAGTGTGACCTGACGAAGACCGCCCGAATGCATACCGTGTGATGGCTCCTACTCTCGGCTCTTGCTTAATCCGCCCCCGATCTAGCTTATATTAGCAGAGACTACTAATATGCATAACTCTCTTCGGAGATTGATCCATGCGTATAAATGCAGTTACCTGCATCATTGATCTATCCAAATCTGGAAGGTTTCCGGGCGAATTCGGACTTCTATGCTAAGTACAAGCTTCATATATATATCGAGTGAGAATAAGTATTCAGAATCGCTTGAAATTGCTACATGAATTGTTAACTACCTACGCGCTAGTATTTCTAGTTTCGAGATCTAAGACGCCCGCGCGCAGTGTAGGGCCAAAGCTATGCAAGTATACATAGTGTACTGGTGAACCCAGCTACAGGCTTTTTGCAATACACTGCTATCGCATAGGCCTAGGTCCGGAGTCGAATAATAGATCTTCATAGACAAGGTTGATGACCGTTAAAGTTGAGATCTGAGCCGGTGCGGGAAATTAATCTTATCAGTATACAAACACTTTATGGGTTCCTATCTCATTCACTTGACCAACTTTATCCACTAAAGAACGAGCATAATAGATTGACTTCTGCAGGGATTAATCCAACGCGTTATTTGCCAAATTTCTGAAAGCCACTGGATACAGGTAATGGCGAGGTAAGTTTGGAAGCTAGAAACAATCGTGTAGGTAGGTAGTCTACTTGGCTGTCCCCAAAGAAGTAAGGCCTTAGAGTTGTCGTGCGTCATTGAATCATACAAGCCACTGCCGATCCCAGGAATGAAGGACGGGATTGGTTGGCCGTTGAACGCCTCTAATCAAATTAGATTGTGTGGCGTAGTTTATCACACCCAAAACGCCCAACGTTGCAACTCTCTTTAGATAGAGTTGGGCAGGGAACCGTTTGCGGGGAAGGTACATACATTAAGCACACCTCGGCCGGGACCGAGGACATTTTTTGGCAGGTAAATAGATTAAGGGCCGTTGATACCTACATGTACTTAACTACTAACTACATGTACTTGAGAGGGCCGGTGGTTATAGGTAAGCGCTTGCAATGTCTTGCGGTCGCCGTATTTATTACAGTGAAAGCTATGACCGAGGGAGCAACAGGCTCGATCAAAGGTACATGGTGAGCTATTACCACATGTACGTATAGTCATTATAATTGGATGAAAGAGTATAACGCTAGCCAACTCTTGAGAATCTTTAACAGTTACCGCAGGTGGTACTACATTCTCCCCTAGGAACGTCGTGGGGCAGAGCCAATAAACGCTTATCCAGACAGATCATGAGATTTAGTGATTTCTTGGGACCTCCCTAAAGAAATCCCCTGAAGAGAACTTACTAGTTCAACTGTAGTCTCGTGCATAGTTTTCAAAGCTTGGTTCCGGATCGACAGACCAGATTGCTAGCCGCGGATACTCCAGATAGTATTTGGATGGTAACTACATCTACATGTACATGTATGACCATGAAGACTTTGATACTCCTCTCGCTCTCAGGAGATATGGGTTTGGGGGATCTTTAGTTTTGAGCTTTTAAGTTAGTATTACCAAAATCTTTATATTCACTTTCCGCATCTCACAAATATGACCACTGGATGACGTGAGAGCTCGCCCTCATTTTATGATAGGTTAATATAATACTGTACTGAAATGGTTAGAGTGGCCAAGTATCGCGGGTGCTGGTATTGGGCCCGTTTCGGAGTGCAAGCCGAGTACAAATACGATATCTCAAACATTTCAGGTTCTCCGGGTTACGCATGTCAAAGTTTGGATCGTAGCCCAAGGAGAATTATCGCCCCTGCCGTTTAGTAGTGGTGCATGTATCTAGGTTTATAGCTAGGTGCCACACTAAAAGGAAGCCTCTGCAACGGGATGCCCACCAGGACCCAACCTTCCGGATTGGTGAGAACAAACTTTCAAATGATAACGGCCTCATCCGAAAAGAGTTTCCTTTCTTTAATCAATTTGAAAGGGTTTTTGATGGGCCTCGCCGCTACCTTACTTTGGCCACACCTACTACACCTACTACACCTTCTGCCAACCATTCCAATGATATCGTGGGGTACGATAGAGATAGTACCAAACTAACCGGCCTGTTCCGCTTCTTATTGTCTCTGGCAGGTATCATGCTTGTCGATGATGGTACTGGAGATAATAAGTTTTCTCCGCTTCAAACTAGATTCGGCATGTGGGATTCACCAAACCTCAGCTACAAAATCGTATAAATACTGACGCTCCTCCAGTTACATGTACCACATCCACAGCTCAAGCATCCAATCTTGTCTCTGCCATTCGATCTGTCTATAGCACTCCAAAATGAAATTCGGATTCTCGGTCGTTTTTTCCCTGCTCGCGGTGGTGTCCGCACGTAAGTGCGGCACCCCGGAGCCAACTAAGGAGCAGCTCCAGGTCAGCGCACAGATGGCTATTGAGGCGTTGGAAAGTCCAAACTCATTCTCAGCTGCTGCGGTTGTCACTATTCCGACATACTTCCACGTTCTGAGATCCGGCACCAGCGTATCCCAAGGAAACATCCCTGATTCTGCGCTCCAGGAGCAGGTATGTATTGCATTTGGGGCCAAATTTTAATAGTATTTTTGGGGGTTAATTCTTTATTTACTGTGTAGTTGAATGTCTTGAACGAGGATTACGCTTCTACTGGCTTCCAGTTCAGCCTTCTTGGAATAACCCGCACAACCAACTCTGCCTGGTACAATGACCAGAACGAAGCCGCAATGAAGCAGTCTCTTCGCAAGGGAGATTACAAGACTCTCAATGTCTACTTCCAGAACCTAGGAGATGGTCTTCTCGGGTACTGCTACTTCCCTGAGACCGAGACTTCCAGCTCCCTCTTGTATGATGGTTGTTCCATCTTGTCTACTTCTGTTCCGGGAGGAAGTGCCACTGGTTATGATTTGGGACGTACGGCTACACACGAAATTGGGCATTGGTTTGGTAAGTAGATTGGTACCTTGCTTGCAATGGATTGTACCGACATAAGATCCACTGACCGTTTGTGCGTGGTCTACATGTAGGTCTTTACCACACTTTCCAGGGTGGATGCTCTGGCGGTGACTCTGTCTCCGACACTGCTGCTGAAGCTTCTGCTACGAGCGGATGCCCGACCTCCAAGGACACTTGCACAGGTTCTTCCTACCCTGGTGTCGATCCTATCCACAACTACATGGACTACGTAAGTTATCATCCCCATTGTATAATCTTCGGGGACATTTTACTTACACATTCATTCATGCAGTCTACCGATGTCTGCATGTACGAATTCACACCTGGACAGGCCACTAGAATGCTGCAACAGTACAACAGGTACAGAGCTTAGAGGGAATTTTTTTGTCTTTCGGCTTATGATGGATGATGGTGATGCGAGCGGGGTTGAATGTATGCTTCAGCATTGAGTGTTGAATTGGTTATTGATGTATCTGAGGGAAAATGCAATGAGCTTTATGTTTCAAACATTCTTGCGCTTCTGATGGTGGTTATGATTTTTATTACGCCACATAAATGGGAAACATAAAACAGTGAAAGTATTCAAAACTCATCTGTAAAGTTGCTCAACAGGTAGTGCGATTGCGCAACCTCATAAAAATGTTTGAACGGACGACCGCCCTCAGCCTATCCCAACGGGTAGTGTCATCATGTAGTGTCATCCAGTAACTAATACGCCTCGCCAACCTTTCTACCAGAAAAACCCAAGGTTCAGTGTATATGTAAACAAAATGAAGGAATATGACGTAGGTTTGGTGGGGGATTGTTGCTAGACTGGCTTGGCGCACGGCTCGTCACTCGCTGTCTTGACATGAGACAACTACAAACAAAGCTGGCCCACCCATGCACTTTCACGAGACTAGATAAGAGATTTGGCCATGTGGATCCGAGGGCACTACATGAAATTAACCGGGCCACGTAACATACTTTAAAAATACATGTAGTTTCACGGAAGGCGGGGCGCTGGGGGGATACATCCAATACGATGACCCCAACTTTTCAATCTTTTCTAAAGCCCCATGGCCAGATCGGGAGAGGATCTGAGGTTTATTGGGAGCTATATCAAGTGTTAGCAAACCTCGAATTAGCAACACTCTACTTAGATCATACAATATCACTCGCGGGGATGATCCGTTGGTAATGACTTCCGATGATGGTGCCCGTACTATGGGCCATGCCCGAGTATAGTTTTGAAGGCTTAGGAGAGCACAGAACGTTTGGAGTTATTTGTATCATTCATATAAATGTATGGCTAGAGGCTAACTATAACATAAAGTGATACTCAATCTTCTTCTCTCAAAACACTATAAAAAGATACGCGTACAGCGATCAACCCAAACCCCCCACTATCAATATCTCCGACGTGGCTTATTCTTTTCCAAACCCAACTGGAAAAAACCTTTATCATCAATCTCCATCCCCCTCTGTCTAGCGGAAGCAACCGACTTTTCCATCGTTATAGCTTGAAGCTTGGTCGTGGTCTTGTTGAGCTGCTGTTGCATGTTGACCTTGGCACTGTCATAGTTGGGTTCCGCTTTGAGCTCCTCGGTCTCAGGGGCTACTTCTATCTTGGTACGCTGTTGACACGGGTTATCAGTGGATGTGGAATTGGCACTACTGACCTTCTTGAGGGAAATTTCCTTGTCGGATTGGGTCGGTGCTGTCATGATCATCCTGATGCCAGTTGTACCCTTCGGCTTCATCGGCATATCTACTGCTGGGGCCACCTTCACCATGGTGGTTTCAAGTACCTTCTTGCGGAGGGGAATGACAGGTCGCTTTGTGAGCATCATTACCTCCATATTAGCTTGGATATTCTCGTCCTCGTCCTCGTCATCGTTATCGTCATCAGGTTCAACACATCTTTTGTTGCTGGTCTTTTCAGTAACTTGGAGTGCGAAAATGAAAGGAAACGTGTTTATGACGGAGTCAAGGGACTTTTGAGGGATATCGAGCTCCGTTCCATCGATAGTGGTTGAAGACAGATTAGCGGTGCTAAAGATAGGGTGTGGAATCACGGCCTGGGAAATTTGATGTTCTTGTGTTGATTGTGTTGTATCCTCTAGCGGCGCCGCTGGGGGTGACTGCTCGATATCAAACTCGGAAACCGACTGCTTAATGGTTATCTGGCGGCTAGGTTCCTGCGTTGTGGCCAACGAAATAGGCTGATCAACAGGCAAATAGGGAATAATGGTTCCTTGAAACAACTCCACAGAAGTAGAGGGTTCTGAAATATTTTTTTCTGTCGGTTTTTGAGAGGTCCGTCCAATCTCTACCTGGGGGACAAAGGTTTGTTGTGCCAAATCCACTGGTTGTGCCAACTCAACTGGAGTAGACTGCTGCTCGGTCACCAACTGGGAGTTAAAAACCTCCTGCGATATGGCCATTGGAGACTTCTCGGTATAGGATTGGGGGGCAAAGGCTTCCTGGGTTGGTCTTAATAATAATAGAGCGGCATTCTCGATACTCAGTTCAGGATGAATAGTTTCCTGGTACGATACTTGCTCGGTAGTTAACTGGGAGACAAGGATACTAGATTCTGGGGATACTGGAGTGAATTGCTCAATGGAACGTGATGCGGTAAGGCTTGTATCCAACTGAGGAATAAATTTCTCCTGCGGCATCTCGAATTGAAATTCATTGTCGGCCCCGTTCTGTTGACCTTCGAATTCGTTATTCGCTGGGATAGCTACGGTAGCTTCTGGTACCATTTGAGTCTGGTTAAGTAAGCTCTCATCGATGCTTGCTGCCAGTATTTCCTGTCGAAATAGGTCATTTTCGCTGAACTCGAGTTGGTCAATTTCCACCCCATCGACAGTCGGGATATGCTCAGAAGACATCACTTCAGTCATTATATGATCCGCAACATCCGTTTGGCCATTCGCATCCATGTTTGCGAGTTGGCAAACATTCATCTGGTCTTCAGATAATAGTTCGCCCTGATCAAGTATCTCGTTGAAGATAGCCTCTATGTCTATATTCTCATCACATCGATAGTTTAGATCAAAGTCTGCATCAAACGGTCGAGTAGTCTCTTCCATATCGTTTGAGAGCTCTAGGACCTCGTTAGGCGCGGCAGTAGGCTCCAGGTCGTTATAAGAGACGACTCCGAGGGAACTATCGTCAAAGTTCTTTAGAAATTCTAAGATATCATCTCCACCAGTCTGCCAATCATGGGCCGTGAGCAACTTTGCTATCCCCAGAGCTTGGCTAGAGGAAGATTCTAGTGGACCTTGAGTATCCATGTCTTCTATAATATTGCCCCCCAATTCGATGTTAATCCTCATCATCTTACCAATAGGAACAGCCTCATCTGCGGTCAGTTCAACTGCAGGGGCGATTATCTCTGTGCATTCCTGGATTTTCTGAGGTTCGAGAGCTCCCTGAATAGCAGATGTGATGGTAATCTGGGGGACTTCAGGACCAGTAGGAGAAACTTCCTCAGGAATTTGAGGCTCTTCCTGCACCTGGGATGAATCTTCGGGCTGAAGGTTCGGCTCAGGCGCACTTTGCGAGAGCAGTTCCTCTAGTTCCTGGACGAGATAATCACATTCCCCGAAGTAAACCTCATCTTGTTTTTTCAATTGATCGTGCCCGACGATTGATGGAATCGTACCCTCAGTTGAAGATACAACCTCGAGTTCAATTAGGGCCGTTAGAGGTTCATCAGCAGGAGTTGGCGACCCGACGGTTGATGGAATCATAACCTCAGCTGAAGATGCACCCTCGAGTTTGATTGGGGCTGTCGAAAGTTCATCAACAAGAGTTGGTGACTCGATCCCAGATGCCTCAAGCTCATTGAGCTCTGGAATGCTCTCACTTTCCAGAACTTTGGGTGGCAGAATTTCAAGCTCCTCGAACTCTTTGGTTTCAGAGACTACAAAGGCTGGTACCACAACCGTCTCTACAGATTGGATCCCTGCTTTGGTTGGTCCCTGATTGATTACCTGGGTTGTATCCGTCGATACAGTCTCATCGACCTGAGATTCTTCGGCTCCATCAGGAATAAGCAGGGGGACAGTAGACTCGGTGACCTTGGTGGATTCAGGCTGTCCGTTCTCTGCTAACCACGCTTTTATCTTGTCTGCTCTTGTCTCCGGGATCCTGGGCGTTGCTACCGCCCTAGTCTTGACCACTTTGGTTTCACTTGGGACGACCGGCGGAAAAAGCTTCTCGAGCCCCCAAACCTCTTTGACATCATTGACAACAGGAGTTGGTGCTGTAATCTTGGGGGTCTCTTTTATTTCTTCACCGGAAACTGGCGCCACAGCCTCTGTAGACGGTTTTGGTGACGCTTGGCTTGTCTCGATCTCCTTAAATTTTTCCTGCTGAGTGTTCTTGTAATCAGGCTTTTCAATAGACTCAACAGTGAACTGGGAAGTTTTAACAGGTGCTTGAGAGATCATTTCGGAAGTCTTATCATCCTTGGTTAGGATTTCGAATTTCAAGGTAGGGGATACAGCCTTCTTCTACTCATATCACTATGCGTAAGTAAGGGATCCCCAAAAATCTAACGCATGAGTATTTTTATTTGATGAACGTGAATTACTTACCAATTCTCCCATTTGGTACTCCTTTTCAACGGATGCAGAGCTAACTTTCGAATCTATGGGTAAACATTTTTTTACACCTTTCATGACACCTTTTGGACTTTTCCACTCGATTGTTGATCCCAATCGGAGACTCGGCTTAGTCTCAACAGCGTGAGCTTTTATTTCCTCATTTCTCACAATTTCTGAGCACTTCTATGCAAATTATTAGGTTTGCTCAAACACTCGCCTCATAGTTCAATTTAATGATTGGCTTACTAGTTCTCCTCTACGTATCATTTTCGTGAATCTCTCGATAGCAAACCGGGTGTTTCTGATAAATGTAGCATCACCCTCTATGCTTGCCTAATCAAAGGTTAGTTTGGTTCAACATGTGATTTCAATGCATTCCCTCCACTCACCAAATATTTATAAAGAATTTTCAGTTCCGCACAGGATAGTAAACTTTCATCATCATTTTTGTACCTATTCGGAAGCGCTGAATTAAGCTAGTAAAACGTCAGTTTTATTCAAGAGGATAATCTAGAGACGGGAAAACTTACATTAAGCTCATCATCACTTAAGATTTCCTCATATAGAACGAGCTGATTCTCTTCGTTACGCGTGTCTTCGCCGCTGGACTGGCTCTCGCTGACTGATTGCTTTTTCAAATTCTTTTTCTCCTTTCGAGCCTTATTTTTCCGCTGCTTTTTAAGCCTTTTAGCCTCTGCTGCAGACGCTGTCTTTTCTGCTGCAGCTGCTGTCTTTTCCTCGAGCTCGGCCTTTGCCTTGTCCTCTGATTTCCAGCGCCCAATTATTGGGCTGAGGACACTCGGCACAAGCACCGGTGATTGAGGAATCAAAAGGGGCGCTGCCTCCCTTGGTACAACTCTAGAAACAGCCCCAGGAGTAACTTCAAGAGCAGCCCGAGGTCCATCTTCTTGGTTGATTATTTTAACTTGGTTGATTATTCTGACGTTTTCATCAAATTGATCCTCAGCAGGTTTTGCGGTATCAAAGAGCATGGTAAGAGAGATGAGAAATGTGAAAAATGAGATTATGCTCAATTTGATAGATTCCCATAGTGAAATTTGGTTTTCTTTGATAATGAGACCGACAAAAACCACGAGGATGATGAAGAGGGGGAAGATGGCTTTTTTGGAGAGGGTGACTGAGAAACCCATAGTGACGGATTCTTTAACTCAGGAGAGGAAACACTTGTGGTGGGGACGTTTAAAGTGTTTGGTTCAAAGGAAGTAATTAAAAGAAGTAAAAGATTTTTCCGGAAAATCTAGGTTGAATTTAGATTGTGGGGAAGTTTAAAGGGCCTGGCCCAAAGGAAGTAATTGAAGAAGGTAAAGATTTTCCAGAAAATCTATGATGAATTTAGATGGAGGGGGTTGGTTGATGATGAGAAGTGGTGCGAGAAGATGGGAAGGAGAGGGAAGATAAGGAAAGTGTGAAGGTGGTAAGGATGGGAGGGGTAGAAGAAGGGAAGAGGTGATGTTGGGCTGGTAGGTGGAAGCTGCAACGGTTGACAAGTTGTCGTGTGTGAGAGAAAGGTGCGCATTCACAAAACAGTGAAGATGAAACAATCCCACTTGTGGCCCCCCTTCTTTTTCACACGGAAACCTTTCTATAGTACTACATGCACCTCCAGGCCTACACTAGTACTACACCCATTCACTAAGTGTTTTTTCTCACGGTACTACGTCACAGCAACACAAACTTATAGCAAACAATCGCTATTCTGAAAAACAAACTAATTCATTCACGATCCGCCATTTAATTAGCACTTCGTTGATAGGCCCGTGTGTGTGATTCGATTCGAATTCTCCATTCAGATCGAGTGCCAAGATCATCGAGTGATGGGTCATGTCCCAGGCGCACTTATAAACAACGACACAGCAACCTCATCAAGTTTGATGCCAGCGTTGTGCTGGGATAGATAAACTTGTTTTTTTGACGGTCTATGACGCAATGGTCTGTTCGATAAACTTCGCACAAAAGTTTGACTGCATGCCACGCATGGTGGCTGATGGCTGTAATGTCCGTTCTCGGCGGGATACATCCGCTTCGCCCATTTTAGCTGCTTCATCTCTTCTTTTTCTTCTTCTTCTTCTTTGCCTTTTTACCCCTTCTTCTTCCTCTTCCTCGTCTTCTCCTTCTTCTCCTACATTTATGTAACAGGGGTCGACTACAGACCTGTTCTACATATCACGCTTCTAGCTAGTAAGTAACTCTGGGCCGCCCTGACACTCAACCTCTCAAGATGGCCATCCACCGGCCCTCCGCCGCCTGCACTTTAAGACAGCGGGAACGAGATGGCCTGTTTTCCTTGGCGTTGAGAATGGGGGGGTGGGTCGGCGGCGCCATCAAACATTTCCTCGTGGAAGCCCGTTGTCACCATTTCAGCAACGACTTGTCCTACATGGAAAGCCACCCCCCCCCCAGGATGTGCGCGTGCAGGGCCGGCCGGCATAGCGAGTGTCATCCGAGTCTTAACCTCACTCTGTAGGCTCACATCTCCCAAGTTTGTACGTAAGGGGGGGAGGGGGAGGGGGGCCAAACGAGGCTAAGGCTGTATTCGCTTCTAGCTCCCAATACCGCGTTCTGAAAATCTCTCTAAAATGTTGAAACATGCCGTCCCTGGCACCCATGGCCATCGAGTGATCTATGGTGATCCACACCCCCCCCCCCCCCCGGGGCGGGGCATTTACCGCAACTCAAGCCCGCGACGCATCTCTCCTTCCTCTATCCCAACACACAACGGGGGCTCCATAGTGGCTATGGTGCAAAGCGTTGTGGTGATGTATTTATAGTTGGTATTTGTGGAGGCGGGATCGGGGCTGGGCTCTGGTAGTGAACGCGCTGGTGGGGGGGGCGGGCAACAGAATCAAGACCGGCGCGAGAGCTAGTGGCATGGCGTGCGTGTGTAAAAAAGGGAAGTTTGTTGTTCTTATATTCACATCTAGACGCAAGAGCGGGAGGGGAGGAGCATATCTACCTATCTGCATCGCATATCTACCTACCCGCATCCTCAGCCTAACACGCCCCGGCCCGGGTAGTTGCCAGTTACCGTTCAGCCCGGGTTTACCCCCCCAAAATCGGCCTGACCTGACATCGGCAATCGTACTCTACCTCCTACATGTAGAGTACAGTGCTGCAAGATTTGTGTGCGTAGTCTTCTTTGTCTTGAGGCTCTGTGTTTTTTTTTTTTTTTTCCCCCCCCGCGGTTTTGGTTTCCATAAACGTACATATACGTAAAAAAAGCGAAAGGGGGCGGTGTTAATTGATCAGCGCCCGGATCGGATTCTGATTCGGCCCGACGATGACGATGACGGATCGGGTTTTGGAAATGGTGCGCGCTCTCGCTGACTGCATATTGTATTGTAGAGTAATGAGTTGTCCGTGGTGGAGCTGAGGAAAGGGGGGTTTTTTTTTTTTTGCGTGTCTCTTTTTTTTTTCTTCGCTGCGCGTGGCATATTAGGCGGTAGTAAGGGAAGGGGATCGTCTCGCACGTGATCGAGTGATATGGCGTGATGGGGCGGTGGTTTCACGGCTGTTGCGATCATTGCCTGTGCGGTGTTTCGGTTTTCTAGAGTTTTATTTCGGTGCATTTACTTAAAGATGTTGTTTGTACGTGCTAAGCTCATAATTTATTAAGACTACCTACTCTCTACCTACTCTATACCTACTTTCTACCTATTAATAAAAGAGCATTTACCGCCAACTACCACTTGCCCCTGTTTATGTATACTTCGGCCTCCTCCTGCCCACATCTCTCCTCACGGGTCTCGCCACGGGCGCCAAAAACCCGTCCCTCGCAATCCCTTCATACCGCTCCTCGCTCCCCTCGCTCCCCTCCTCCCCTCCACTCCCACTCCCACTCCCTTCCCCCTTCCCCTTCCCCCCGCCACTGCCACTGCCGCTCCCCCCTCCGCCTCCACCCTAGCACCAACCCACTCCTCCCCGCCCCTCCGATCCTTCAGATGATCATCCCTCCCAACGTTCCTCCACCCCATCGTCTCTCCAAACAGTCCCCCACACCGCCCCGCCGTCCGCTGCACAACCCCACCCTCAAACCCCGTCAGCGCCGCAACCCCAACAACATTACTCCAATCCCGCAGCCGCAGCCGCGTCATCCGCTTCTTCGCCCACTGCCGCGCAATCGGTGACGGCGCCCGCTTCCGCTTCCGCACGGGCTGCGAGTCTGCCTCTTCTGCTTCCTCGGCTTCGGCTTCGGCTTCATCTTCGGTGTCGGTCATGGGCGTGACGGCCCTGCGCCGCTCCCTTGCTGCCTCCGCAGAGGAAACGGTCTCTTTCCGCCGTACTTGCTGGCGCTTGTGGGGGCGACGCGGTGCGCGTGCGGCGGCGGCGGTGGCGGTGGCGGTGGCGGTGGCCGCATCTTCGGCGACAAGCGCCTTGGTGTACGAGCGCTCGTGGTGAAGCCCCACAAGCAGCTTATCCAAGCGGCTGATGACGCTGCGCACCACGGGCCGTAGCAGGTGGTTGCTCACGTCCTCGTCCAGCACGGGAATCAGCGCGCCTGCTGCCTCCCCGCGCGCCAGCAGCTTCTCCTTCCCCGCGCGGAGGAACGCGGCCGTGAGGACCTCCTCGAGCATGTGACTTGGTGCCGCCTCTGCCGCTGCAGTCGGGGCAGAGTAGGTGGACGGGTCGATGTGCGAGCGCCGCGGCTGCGACTTGAGTGTGTGGGGCTCGTGCTCGTAGCCGCGCGGGACGTGGTCTGCCGGGTGTGGCCAGGAGGTCCAGCTGTTGGTGATGAAGCGCTTTGAGCGCGGGAGCAGAGCGTCGGACGCGAGCTGCGTGGGCGAGTAGGCGCGGTTCTCGCGGCGCTCGGGCTCAGTCTCGGAGGTGGAGGTGGAGGTGTTGGAGGGGGTGGGGAGCGGCGCGGCGAGGTTGTACCGCTTTATGAGGTGCGCGGAGTAGAGGTGCGCGGAGAGGGAGGAGTTGTGCGCGCGGTCGAGGGCCGCGATGACGCCGTAGAAGGGCTGCACGGTGCGGCGCGTGTCGTGGTGTGTGCCCCAGCGGTAGGAGGAGTCCGGGTCGCTGTCGGAGTCGGAGTCGTCGGGGTCGTGGTCTGCGCGGGCATTTTGGGCGTCTTGGGGGAGGTCTTCTTCTCCGTCTTCTTCGTCGGAGGGAGCTTCGTCGTCGTCGTCGGAGGGGGGGGGCTGGTCGGATTCGGACCCGGGGTCAGAAACGCTGAGGTCTGAGGGCTGGTGCTCGGGGAGTTCTTGGTCTTCGTTGTCGGAGGAGGGCACGTTGAAGATGGAGCGGCGGGCGGACATGGTTTTTTTGAAGCTGCGGGCGGTGGGAGAAAAAGATGTTTTTTGAGGGTGCCAAGAAGGCGGTGGGGGTGGGTGCGTTGCGTTGCGTTGCCGTTTTGGGATTTTAGTAGAGTGCTAGTTGGATTGAGGGTCCAATCATCTCCGGGAATTGGGTATTTTGAGGGGTTTTGTAGATGGCTGCTGTGCGAGCTTTATCAATTGACTCTGTAGATAGTTGTTGTCTAAGCTTGATCAATTGAGTTGGTAGGTATTGAGAAGGAGTTTATTTGAGGTCAATCCGTACAGTCGTTTATCGCGTGAGGACGAGCTGGTGTAGACGAAAGGGATTGTTGGATAAATAAGAGACGATGGGAAAGATCGTTTTGGTAGCTTAATTTAATACTGGGAATTCTGGTTTGTCTGCCTCTAGTGTGGACCGTCTTCCCCCGTGGATGACTTCAGACTTTCGTGGTGATAGAAATATTGCGTTGATAGAAGATCAATATAATGATCATGAATGCTTCTACTAAAAAAGAGACCAAAGTGCTGATGTCCCTTCGAGAGTATAAGTATTCATGTACCTATACGTATGCCAGATGATAAAGATCAGACCCAGGTCTAGTATCTGGTCGTTATGCTACTCTCGTGAGAGCAGCTCGGGGGTGAGTTCGTGAAAGTCCTGGTGTAGATATCTAATATATATCGATGTACTCTGTACGTAACATGACTAGATAACTGGTAGTCCCGTTCCTAGAACTTTTGTCGTTCTTCGTCAGCACAGTTTGAGTACGAGATTGATAGCTGAATGAAAAGAGCTATGAGCTATGGGTTCTCTATGTCGTTAATGTCGTCCCCAATATCCATCCAGATAGCCAGGATAGAAGGGAGCCTCAGTCACGCTGTTTAAACTTGCTGCAGTGTGAGATAGGAGCAAGATTCGCTGGGTCGTAGTATACGTACAAGACAACAGTTCGACTTTCTCAATTGAAAGACGGAACAGACGACGCTAGGACTTGATAGCAGCAGTACATGTAGGTCCCATCTACCCTCCATGACTACATGTACCCGCTGCCCAAATCTTGCTGCAGATGCATAAATGTAAGGCTGCAGCTGGTAAAGTCTCCACTAATTTCCCAGGTATACGTATATGTCGTCGACACGGCACAGAGGACAGCACAAAAAAAGTGGCACATTGACTGCTTCCCTTTCCTAATAACACGTTTCCCACTTTCCCGTCCCTCACTCTGTCCCTCTTATTCCTTCTCGTAATTTTCCTTACACCTCCTCATCCTCTTCATAGTCCTCCTCCATCCATCCATCTCGTAATTTTTCTGCTGGAAAGACATCTTCCATCTCACCCAAGTTTTTCCTGTCATAAATCTAAATAACTATGGCTCCTCCATCTCCTCAATTCTCTGCTCATCCAGAGAATGAAATTCTCTGTTCTTCCCCTCCTCCACTTTTAACAATCTCTAATCAATTTCCATCTGCTTCATCCCCACGCTTTAGAGATTCATCTTTGAAAGATATCCCAACTGCTTCAAGAATCTCATCAGATAATGTTTCTGCTCCTGATATGGATAATTCTCTGGTTCAACTACCTAGGATGCGTCCCCCTCCAGTTACTGCTGAGGAAACTCCTGTTAGACCTTCTACCTCTGAGTCCAATGATGAAGACGGATTCAGTATCATTACACCTGATCAATACAGTGGTTAGTTTACTCTCCCTCAGTATTTTTTTATTTCCTTTCTTTTTTTCTTCCTTTTTTTTGATGATAGAAATAATTATAATTAAACTAATATTATTTATATGAAAAGGATATGTTGATGATGGCTCTGGCTACACAATCAGGAGCTTGATGGACATTGTTGAGGACTCATTTAGACCATCACTCGACGGCCATCGATACTCCCCCGAAGCCTCAGAGTTCGAGGCTAATCATCAAGATGATGAAGATGACGAAGCTCTTCTTTCTTCGCCGATTCTGAGCCAGATTAGTGATCTCACTTCCACTGATCTCGCTGCGTCTTTTTTTATTACTCCTATCGATGGTGATGATGAACCGCCAATTCCGCGGACTCATCCTCTCAAAGATGAGTTTTGGAAGGATTTTAGAAGGAGTGCTCAGCTTGTACCTGTGCTAAACTATGCTCCGCAGGATAATATCGAAGAGGGTTCCTGTGAGGGCTTTAGAAGCAATTCTGTACTTAAGCCTGCTTTTCAGCGTTCTCCCCCACCAGAAATGGTTGAAGATGAGTATGGCGAGGCTAGTACCATTACTCAGACCACGGTACTTGGGACTAAAGAGGATGCTGCTTCAGCATTTGCTATTGATGGTAGTGGCGAGCACAAGTCGAGAGCTTCCACTGTTGAATATGCATCCGAATCTGAGTCCGAATCTGGGTCTTCTTCTAAAGCTCATTCAGAGTTTGAAGATCAATCTATTCAAGAAACTCAGAATACCGATAATGCCACTCAGTCAAAAGAAACACCACCTCTTCCACCTCATTTGAGGGTGAAGCCTGGACAACCCTCTGCACGCCCCACTTCTGAGTCGGGGGAGTCCGGCGTGAGTTCCAAGTCAATTGAAAGCGCCAGTGAAATTGACAGAGAAGCCTCAATCCGGGATCTGATCGATTCCATCTATATCGATGAGATTGCTCTACTCGCAACCGTTCTATATTCGGTATATGCGAAGATCCCCGAACATCGGGTGGATTGTTCCGTGGACCCAAACCCCAGAATCGGCTCGAAAAACTTGTTATATACGGTCAAGTTGTCTGGCAATGCGCGCTTTGGTGAGGTTATACCAGCCAAATGGCTCGTTAGGATTCCCCTTTCCGCTAGAAACTTTAGCGCGATAGATAGATATTGGCTCGAGTCTGATATTAAGGCAATGACCTTCATCAAAGAGAAGACTGATATCCCAGTTCCGTACATTTATTCGTATGACTTGTACGAAGATAACTGTCTCAGAGTTCCATTCGTCTTCATGGACTGTATGAAGGGCGGTAAGGTAGATGACCTTTGGGGTGCCTGGAACGACGAGGAAAAAATGCGTTGTCTTTCTCAATGTGCTGAGCATATGCTCAAATTAAGGAAGTTTCCTTTTGACAGGATTGGAGTTATCGCTGTCGATTACGTACAGGAAAGGCTTGTAATCAATGGTAAACCGCATCAACTCAATGGTGGAGGGGCCGTCATCACCGGACCCTTTACCTCTAGTAAATCGTACCTAGAGGATATCTGGGTAAGAAGTATTAAGCAGGTGCGAGGCAGCACCGAGACTGAGGAGGTCAAGGCCAAGAATCTTCTTGTTTTACTGAAACTCCTAACTGGAGCCCTTGTCGAGCCTGTCACAGAAATGTTCTATCTTTCTCCACCTGAGCTTGGAGGTGGAAATGTTCTTGTCGACTTTGAAGGAAACATCACTGGGTTCGTAGGCTGGGAGGAGATTGGCATTCTTCCCAAGGGTATGGGCTATGCTAGATATCCAGAATGGATTACCGAAGATTGGATCCCTTTGATGAAAAAAAAACCTATTTCGGGTGAATCTCTCAATAATTCAAGACGTTTCAGGCCGGTAGAGACTTCTTCGGCCAATGGAAACGCGCCTCACTTTATTTCCAGGGGAAATCTTGATCGGCTCCGCAACTTTGTCTACCTTGAGTATCAAGATCCTCCAGCTTATTTCTCGGGCGAGCAAACCTATTCATCAGAGGAAGTCGGTGATGGTGCTGCTGATCCTAGAGATGAATCAACTACGAAATCCACTGATGATAAAGCCATCCCGAATCTGGTTGGCGGAGTTTCTGATCCATCTGAAGCTTCTGGTCCGTCTGGGGAGACTACTCCTAATAATACTAGTGTCGAATATAACGGTGCTTCCCTCGAGTATGAGAAGTGGAAATATAGGAAGACGGAGAACGGAGGTAACAGACGTTATGAAGGCATGGGATACCGTAAGCGTGGATACACAACACGTCAGCATAATCACAATCGTCAAAGTTTCGACGAAGCTACCGAGCTGGAAAAAGCTACAACCAGTGAAGAGAAAGCCAAGGTCCATACAGTATCTAAGTGGAATTCGTTATCTGGCCAACTTGAAAACGAGGAGGCCCACCAGAGGGCGGACCGAAACAAGAAATGGCACTCCAAGGAAGAGTCAGAGAAAAAAGAAGCAATCGAGCAAGCTAGTGTCATGCCACCGATGGTTGAAACCTTTAAGAAGGTTATCGTAGGTCCAGACCAGACGAGGAAACTCGTTGAGGTTACCAAGACTTACAGGGGCGAGCAGGCCGTGACCTTTTCCGACGAGATGGCCCGCTACCGGGCCATGTACGATGACTTTGTCTTGGAACTATCCCCTGAAGATTTGCAAGCTACAAAATCATCACTCATATCTACAGCTCTTTATGTAGCCCTGAAAAACGATTCCATTAGACCACATATCGTCCCGAAGTTGGCCAAGGAAGTCTTTGGAAATAGTGTTGGTCCTAATATCTTGACTATGGTTGGAAACAGCCCATGGGCACAAAGACTACTAGCGAAACCCGACGACCACAGCTTTGCCAGCGGAAACCCCGAACCTGACGATACAAAGCCGCAAGCGGGAATGACAATTCGTATTTCCTATGTTAAGCTGGCAGCAACGCTTATGATTGTAGCCATCTTTTCCCTGGCCTCTTGGGTGAGTGTCTTTCCTCAAGGTTTTCATTAGGTAAACATCGTAACTAATCATTCGAGTAGGTGTTTGGTTTGAAAAACCTCAACCCTGACAAGCATACTGAATTGGAAAAATTTCTCTTGTTCACATTGGGTTTGTCCCTCATGATGATCGCATCCCTATTTCTGACCTTATTCTGTTGGCTCTTCTCTGAGGAATTGGAGAGGGATTATGAAGAAGAAGAAGAGGAGGAAGAATAGGGGTGAGATGAGCTAGTCACGTCTCGTAAGTTGGTTTCAAGTCCAACTTCTATCTGCTACTTTTCTTTTCATTTCATTGCAATCTATTTCTTTCTTGGCACAATATCATTCACACTCTTTGAACGTTTTTTCTTTTTTTCTTCTTTTTTACTTGGCTAGAACATACTACTGCGATACCATTCCTAGCTTTCAAAGTTTCTTTTCTTTTTTCTTTCTATATCACTGCTTGTTTTTCAGTTGGGGGCGGCTATGTGGGATATCGCTTTCATATCACTAGTTCTTTTTTAGGCGGGGTCGTTTCTTGTGTGAGTCAGTTGCTTGGGGGGAGATTTGTCGAGTGATTTTTCATGTTTGACGCAGCAATCATTTTTTTCAAGCTAGTCATGTACTCAGCTACGTATACAAGATAAGGGATAGGGGGGGGGGCAATGATGCAAATGGGCGGAAAGGGAAAGGACTGCGAAAGTAACACGGGGGAAAATTAGTACGGAGGAAAAGGAAATAAGGTGCAAAAGGCATTCACGGAGGGGAAAAAAAATCGGTGTGAAGGGGAATATGGGTATAAAGCTAGGAAATCAAAAAAAGATTCTCCCCTTCGTCTGTTTTACCAATGTAGGTGTGATAGCGCGATGATGTTCAGGTAGTTGGTTCGACTGTGAGCTTTATCCATCGCGAGGTCTTCGTAGTGAAGTTTATATGCCCACTAAACACATAGTAAGAGCTCTCTTTACAACCTACATGTACTTACCCCCTGCAGCAAGTCCGCTAAAGCATATATAGCTAAGAGAGTGAAATAATACTGTCCAATCACTTTTGAAACCTCTCTGGATACTTATTGCAATGTCCAATCTACTTACAAAGTAAATTATCGATGATATCCACATATCCAAACTCGAGTGTGGTTCTTTGTCCAGTATGTATTATGTTTTGTCTTATACGCTGTCTATATATCGGGTCGTCATCGGTGATTGGGATGTCCCAAATACTGGAAGTCTAGTCTTTCAGTTAACCCATCCATCAATGGGGCAAGACGCGTCCATGTATAGAATGGCCCATACGCTGCAATTACAATGGATGGGTCAGCAAATACAAAAAGTTACATGTATGTACTGTTAATATTACATGATAGCACCTCAGTTCGAACAGCTAAGCCCCCCTTACAGAACTCACGGGCACTATACTATGGCCTTGACATCTCTCCCAGAAGAAAGAAAACGAAAGGAAAAAAATATTGAATGTGATCCGGACTGAGATTCGAACTCATACTTCTCCGAGTTCTAACGTTTTTACATGTTATTACTGAGAGCGTGCGCCATTACACTGCCAGGACTCGTAGTGCTTTGTACTTCAATTGAGCGGTATATAACCAAAGTAAACAGTGAATATATGCTTAATCATTCCAGCAAAAACTTGCGATAACAGTACACTCACCCACGAGGTGAAAGCAGATCCTGTCTCATAGCAGTCAAGGATTTGAGGCCAATAAAAGAGTTAGGTTATGGACGCCAAGGACAAGTTACTGCAAACTGAACCATCAGACAGGATCCGCCGTCAGTAGGTGAGCGACTGTACCTTCTATCGGGGTAATCTCTCTATAACGGTAGCACTTCTCGGTCCTTTTTTGCCTGGCGTTCAGCACCAGCACCTCTTATATAAGGGTAATCTCTCTATAACGGTACCAAATTCCGGTCCCGAGCGTACCGTTATAACAAGCTTTCGCTGTAATTAAACGGAAAAGGTCTAAAATGACACACTTTGGTTGTTTTTGCCAGCAGAACTATAACAATAGTTCGTTAACGAGTACGTACATGTACTCCTAGCAGTGCCGATCAAAAGGCCCTCTAGTTCAGAATTTTAGTAACAGTCCGCCAACAGGTTCTTCTAAAAGAGCCCGAAGTTTTGAACTGTGTCATTTTTGCATTATGTGTTATTCCACATCAAGCGTACCGGAAAGTGTGTCATTTTAGACCTTTTTCTGTCAATTAAAACATGTCCGACAAGTACATACATGTAATTATTTTGGAAACCGTCCGCAGGCAACCCAAAGGCTGGTCACGTCCCATTGACCGGCGGCGGCCCGATAGGCAGGGTTTGCGAATGGGACAGTACAGAAGTCCCGGAAGAACAAATCAACCAATGATATAATTAGACAAGACGCCTTAATAATAGAAACAAATGACGGGGAAAAACCAGGAGAGAAGACCCCTCTCAACCCTTCGAACAGAGCCCAAAGATCAATAGGAGACTTTACCCCCCACCCCCCCAAGGGAGATTGAGCACAGGACGAAAGGATGGTGGGTTAGGGGTGGTTTACACAGAGAGCCTCCTCATGGCCCAAGAGCCGGTAGGGGAGCAGGAGGTAGTGCCGGGGGCCGGGGGGAGGAGAGAGAGGGGCGTGCTTGCGCTCGAGTTTCTACCACTGCAGGGGGGATGTGATGTGATCGGATGGAAGAAACTCGGGCACTGGCCAGAGTCTACTTCTTCATAAGGAGAAAACAAAGGGAGGGAATACGTGATAATAATCCTCTTTCCAATGAGGGAGGGAAAACAAAGCATACCTAGGGGAGGGTGGGAGAAAAAAAGGAAGGGGAAGGGGAAATTCGGCGAGAAATAAAAGTGGAGGTATAGGTGAAAGCTTCGTCATCAATATCGGGTACTTGCATGTAATCAGGATACAAAAACAGCTCTCTTAGCGGGGGGTTGGTGCGGCGTTCTTACACCGCACTACCTAGGTTTCTTGGCGCGCCCACATCGAATATATCGTGTGTAAATTACACGCATTCGCCGTATTGATGGCGCCCAGGGAGTCTTGTATATATATACCACTTGTAGTGAAAAGTAAAGATTTTCTTTCCTGGCACTGGCCTGACGCTTCAGTCTTGTTTATCAGGCTTCAACTGACCATCTCCCAGTCGAACATACAGACACTAGGCAAACCCCGCTGCACCTGCTCGGTGCGGTTTATTGTCCCACCAATGTCTTGGGCCGCGCAAGCGAGCCTTTCCGCGTACGTACGTACCATCGAACATTTCTTTTGATGATCTTCGACTTCAGTGTTTCGTATGCGACAAACATCGTAGGACTACATGCTCGTACGTTGTCTCCCTAGTAATAATGGATAGTCAATGGCCCATCACATAGGTACCCGTGCAACTGAGTTATCCCTCCAGATACCACTAACTCTTCTCTCACAAGTTACATACCTCCCTACATCGACCCCCCATCCCATCCCATCCCATCCCATCCCATCTCATCCCCTTTAAATTTCTATTCCTGTCATGATATACCCCACAAGCAAGTGCAGCTCAGGTAGGTAGGTACTTAGGTCAGTTACTCCAACAACACACCCCTGCAAGCTATGTAGTAATACCCAAGGAACAGAATTCTGGAACACCACAAGCCTTTTTAGTGTACCAGGATCTCTGGAGACCGGGGGGGGTGAAACACGATTGTAGTAGCTTAGCGCCCTATTTCGATCCGGACTGTGACGGATTCCAAACGGTGCTGTGGGTAACCTTAAACATGACGGAGGCGCTTAGTGTGAGAAGATCTAGAGGTCCATGTAGGTATGTAGGTGGTTGAGTTGCAAGCCCATCCATCCCATCGCGATTGCAGATGGATGCGATGAATAAGTGAGAACATGGCGGCCAGTAGAGTGCGGTTTATTTACATAACGCAAGCGCAGTTAATTATTTTCGTACGTAGGCGTCTATGTGGTTAGTTAGTACTCTAGGACTCAGTCGTGTAGGTAATACATGTAGTCTGGTTCCAAATACTTAAACGCTCTCGTTATTGTGGTACTCCTAGCTTCACGACGGTACCAGAGGGTGTGTTCTTCCAATCCCCCCCCCGGGCCTTTCTATGGAGGATTGTTCTAGAGTTACACTTGCACACACAAAAAAAACGGCCTGCATTGAAGTGCAAGCCAACTGCATAGATCATGTATCTACCCGCCTTGGGCATATTCGATCAGAAGCATGTTTCTTCTTCCTAGTCCCCCTGAGATCAGCGTGTGTATTGGTGATGTTGGAATACTGTTTCGTCCATCATCCCCTAGCTAGATCCGTATGGCTGGCAGTTTCCCTCTTCACGCCAGATCAGATAATTCTATAGAGGACCCTTTGGCAGCTATAAGTCGTACTCATTGCCTCTCGCTGTTCTGCTTTTCTGTTCAGTATTCCAACATTCTCATTCTCCTCAGTCATCCTCCCCCCCTTACCTTGTAAAACCTGTTTCTTTGTTCCTCGAGACTTTACTTTTTTTTCTCTTTACATAAAATCACCTCACCTCATTAATTCATCCTACTTACAAACAGCGCCAGTCGCCTTTTGTTTGCTTCATTCCCTCATATATTTCTATTCCCAAAAAAACCCAGTTAGTTGCACTCATCTAATATCACCACCACCCCTCCCTCCCCACTACTCAACTCCTCCAGACAAAAAAATGCGTTTCTCCCTCCTCGCCGCCGCCGCCGCCACCCTCCTCGGGCTCACCACCGCCCAAAGCGGCACCGCTACCTCCTCCGCCGCCGCCCCCTCCGGCTCCGTGAAAGCACATGTAGTGATGGCCAGCAACATCAACGGGTCCCTCACCTTCTCCCCCGAGACCATAACCGCCGCCGTCGGCGAGCTTGTGCAGTTCCACTTCTACCCAAGGAACCACAGTCTTGCGCAGTCGACGTTCGACAACCCATGCCAGCCCATGCCGCAGACCAATGGAACCGCCGGCTTCTGGTCGGGCTTCATGCCCGTTACTTCTGAGAGCACCACTGTATGTTTCCTCCCTCACTCGTGTGGTAGCTGTATAGTATAATAAGCCCCCCGACTAACATATCCTTTCTAGATGCCGGTGTTCTCGGTGGTGGTGAAGGATACGGCGCCAATGTGGTTCTACTGCGCGACGGGAAAGCACTGTCAGGCCGGGATGGCCGGCGTGATCAACCCGCCCGCAAACCCGGCGAGGACGATCGAGGCGTACAAAGCTGCTGCTGCGCTGGTTGCCCAGGCCGGTGTTCCTAACACTGCTGGTGGTACCGGAGGAAGCACTACTGGTGGATCCACGCCCACTACGGGTGATGGTGCGTCCCCTACTAATGGCTCGGCCAGTGCCTCGGGCACCGGTGCTAATGCGGCGAATGGGCTCGTGGTGTCGTATTGGTACTCGGCGATGGGTATGGCGGTGGGTGCGTTGGTGGTTGCGGTGGCTTTCTAGGCGGTGGGTTCGGGTTCTTCTTGTATTGGGTTGGGTTGTTTCTCGTTCCTTTCTGTTTCTTTGGGTTCTGGGTTTGTTCTTGCGGGATGTTCCTCCTTTTTTTTCTTTTTTCTTTTCTTTCCATACTCTTTCTGTTTGGTTTATCGTCAATGGGGCAATGCACAAAAGATACATATTTCATATAACTTCATGTGATCAGTTGGTCAGTTAGTGGCTAGTTTGGGAGCAAGTGGTGGGATGTAGCTACTCACTTATTATGGAACAGCTCAAGTAGCTACATACCATGACCTTTAATACTATACTAGACCGAGACGCTGGTCGGATCGGTTGAATCGATCCCACCCTGTCCATTATTCGTAATTTTCATGGCACGGTATAGGTTGTGGCATGACTTGGCACCGTCTGGCTAAACTTTTTCATAACTTCTCTGATTAATATGGCTTTCAATTGACTCAATTGAGTATGTTGATCCACATGTGCCACCCAACTCTTTTGACGTGCGTGACGTCCCAAACGGCGGCCAGGAATTAGACGGCTGGTGCTCATTCTAGATGCCTAAAATCCAGGTGATGGAATATTGGTCGAACTGATAGAGCGGTGATGTAAGTGGTGTGAATATTGCCTACAGCCCCAATTGTGCATGTGGAGAGTGTTAATGACCGGCTCTACCATCTGCATTCATCCTTTTGAAACCAAACGACCAACAAGCTAGGCAAGCCTATCCTGAAGTTTCAACTCTTCCTACTGAATGTCGGTGAACAGTAGCTATAGAGGATATGCACGAGACTGCCATTAAACCATTATGTAAACTTTAACGTCCTCGGGATGTGCACAGTTGGCCTCTAGCTCTGGCGGTGCGCCACCACCGACCTCGCTCGAGAACGTCAATCTGTTTGGGAGCGCGTGCCGGTTTATAGTCATCTCTATACTTACTTGTAGCTGGTGGAGTGTGGTTGTGGGGTTAACGTTCCGGAAGCACATGCATGCACATAACTCACCGGCAGAGGGGCATTAGACTTCGATCCCATTCCCACATGTAATTAAGAAATCACAACACCCAGCAGCAGAGCTTCCATACGCGTGATTAGGTTAGGTCGAGGATCTGTAGCTTCCTGTCCAAAAGCACTCGGTCTCTGCAGGGGTTTGAATGGATAGTTTTCTCCATTCTCCGTCATCGATATCAATGGGGGCAGACAGTAAGAAACATTGTAGAGCTTGATCAATTCCAGTCAATACATCTGGAACGAGGACTGTCTGTCGGACTGTATGCACGATAGATCATACGTATCTTGTGTGTATTTCCCTATACTACGGGTAAGCCAGATGGATCACCTGGGTTCTCAAGACCTTCACGTGTGGAGTGAGATGGGACTACATGCAGCCAGACCGGAGTATGTATACCCAAAGTATACGTAGAGTAGTAGAGTACATGTCTATATTGCGTGGAGTAGGCCAACCCCGCCCACCCGCCCCTCCTCCCCACACAACTACATACTCCGCAAACCCAGCCTGTTCTGCCCCCAGATCAGAGATTGATCAATATCATAACTGACAGAGAGTCACAGCATATCACTCGCACCCTCCGCCCTGCCCCTCGTTAGCGCGGAACATGCCGGCGCTGTGTTTCTGCGGGCGAATCACATGCTGGCGGCGACGTGTCTCCACTGTGAAACCGCGGTGAGACAACTGTTAACAGCAACAGCACAAGCTTTCTTTGGACGAGATAAGGATCGGCAGGACACAGCCAGATTCGCTCTTTGCATGCCTGAGAAGAAAACCCCGTTAAGGCTGATTGATACAAGGACCACACAGCTCAGATAACTCTCTCATCCTTACTCTTTCTGCTGCTCATACTCCCATACTCATCATCATCGTCATCATCATCATCATCATCATCATCATCATCATCACTGCTTTCATCACTACTTTCAGCACCATCATCACTACTACCATCACCATTCTCGCTGCCAGTCATCGAAATGCCAAACGGTTTCTCAGCTACCTCACAGGGTATCAACTATCCTGCAGCCATTGAGGCTCCAGTAACGCCGTACACCAATCCTCCAGACACAAACCCCGTACTAGCAGGATTTCCATTACGGCTATTGAGTGAAGCGTAAACAAATGCCTGCTCCCTTCATGGTCCATATGACCATTTCTAACAGCTACAAAACAGAGTTGCAAACATCACACCTCTCCAATCACTCCTCTGGAGCAACGCAGGCTTCGGCTCCCTACGCTCTCTTGAAGCCACTGGGATCCTTGATCCCTACCCGCCCCGCTTCGACCCCACCGTGATCCCTCACAGTGCCCCTATAGCGCCCACCTCTGTCCCGCACCTTCCCAAGGAGAATCCAGCCTTTCACTGCGCCAGCGAGTACATAGATGCCTACAGAGAGAAAAAGCTCACTCCCACCGCCGTCACCACCAAAGTTACCAGCCTCCTCGCTTCTCCCCAACACTCGGCATGTATTATCACGCCCATGACCCCTTCCGCTTCACTCAGCGACCGCCGCTATGCCAACAACGCCGAAGCCCCGAGAATGAAGCTTGACGGTGTCCCGATCCTTGTCAAGGACGAGCTCGCTGTCGCCGGCACTCCCAAGACCCTCGGCCTCACTTTCGCGGAGATGTCGCGCCGCGGCACAAGTAAGCTCGACGACGGAGAGACATCATGGTGCGTGCAGAAGCTGATTGACGCCGGCGCGCTCGTTGTCGGGAAAACCAACATGCACGAGATTGGCTTCGATACGACGAACAACAACCCGAACCATGGGACTCCGCGAAACCCCTACAATCCCAACTACTATACCGGCGGGAGCTCCGGCGGGAGCGCCTACGCCGTTGCGGCAGGTCTGGTTCCTATTGCGGTTGGCGCGGACGGCGGGGGCTCCATCAGGCTCCCTGCGGGCTACTGCGGCGTCTACGGGCTGAAGCCAACTCATGGGCGGATCTCACAGGCACCAACGCGATCAATTGCGCCGTCCAACGGTGTCATCGGGCCCATCGCCGCAACAATGGACGACCTCGAGCGTGCCTACGAGATCATGGCGCAACCCGATCCCAGCAACGCATCCTCCCGCCTGTTCCCACCCCCGCAATGGAACCCCTCGGACAGCAAGAAGCGCCTCATCGGTGTCTACAAGCCCTGGCTCGAAGACTGCAGCCCCGACGTCCACGCCGCGACCCAAGCGGCGATCCAGCACCTACAGACCAGCGCCGGCTACGAAGTAATCGACATCGAGCTGCCGCTCCTCTCCGAAGGCCGCAAAGCGCACGCACTCACAATCATGACCGAGATTGGCCAGGGTTTCTGCAAAGGCGACACGCACGGGCTCACGCCCGCCAATAAGGTCGTCGTCGCCATCTCCGGGCAGACGCCGGCGCGCGACTTTGTCCTCGCGCAGCGGGTGCGGGCGCTGCTGATGTCGCATCTGGCGTGGCTGTGGGAGAAGTATGGTGACACGCTGGTCATTGTGAGTCCTGTGACGCCAACGGCAGGAGCGAAGATTGGTGCGGATGGACATGTGCAAAAGGGAGGTGCGGGGGTGAGCGATACGAACGCGAGTTTGAAGAGCATGCAGTGAGTTTTTTGCCCCACCCTACCCCCTTAATAGTAGTAGTAGTAGCATGGCTAATTGGTGCAAGATATGTGTTCCTGGCAAACTTCACAGGCACGCCGAGTATTTCCATGCCGGTCGGGTACTCTGCAGACGGGGTGCCAATCGGTATGATGGGGCTTGCGGCGTGGGGCGCGGAGGAGACGCTCCTCAGTCTGGGAAGGGCGTGTGAGCACTACCTTGAGAACGAGGTGGGGAGACGGAGGCCTGCGGGCGAGGGGTGCTGGGCGGATGTGCTGGGGGGCGAGACAATGTGATGTGATGTGATTTGGGGGGGGGGGGGGGTAAGTAGGGTTTGATTTTTGATTTTTGTTTATTTTTTTCTGTTTTTGGTTTCGGAGAAGCTTATACCTGTAAACTAAACCTTAATAACACTTAACCATACACACATGACTGGTCGCGTGTGGATGGGGCATGCATTGATCTTTGATTTTTACCACGGGTATGTTTGAAGGTTGTGTGTGTATATAACGGGCTCGAGTATACATACAGGTACGTATGTGCGATCACCGATTGGCTCCGGCCGCACTTATATACCTGCTATACATGGAAAACAAGCAAAGAAAAAGGAACGGGTGCAGCCTCTCCCGTCTCTATCCCCGTCCCCTGTGCAGCTGCACTCAGGCCAGTACGGGTACGGTTGTCCGGTTGGAGTTGGATTGGGCTGGGTTGGGTTGGGTTGGCAACTATCATGAGATATATTGTATTATAGACCTCCCTCCTGATATCAGCCACCAGCTGAGAAACGCGTGCACACTCCACTCCACGCATGCTGCTATCCATTCGGGGTTTCAGAGAGTGGGAGAGTGGGAGGAGTGTCTCAGTGGACACCACTTGGTGTGTATTAGGGATTGGGAATATAGGGAGATATATTGGGGAGGGAGGGATATTGTGGTGTGCGGGTGCGGGTGCGTCATGGGGTATCACTCGTTGGTCTTTTTTCGACCGGGGTTCGTTGGTTTGGTTTGGTTTAGGGTATTGGCTACTCATGACGAATGCATACAAGGCTGAGTTAAGTAGATACGTAGTAATGACGGAGAAGGGTCTGAGGGTGCTCGACGTCACTTCACTTTGTTTCTCACCCCCCCCCCGGTCCAAAAGTGCTGTTCTCCGCTTTTGAGACAGACACTCAGGCACCACCACCATGGCCACCACCACTACCACCGTGTTTTGTCTTAGACAGCAGTGCAGTGGTAGCTCTGGCTAATTACTACTTGTGCAGTATACTGAGTAATATACATGTATGTATGTAGAGTATGTAGTCTTGCACTGTGCACTGTAAGGATATGTCATGGTTCAGAGTGGTGGATTTTGATTAGTAGGAACATAGCCTTGGAGTGGGTTGACGCTGTAGATAGATATAGAAGATGTACTAGTAGT